GGGGCTGCGTGCGGGAGCACCAGAACTTTCGGCTGAAAGTATCTGACAGACTTGCGGCGCGCGTCTACGGGCGCCTACTAAGAGCGGGGCTTTGCTGAGGGTGCGAAGGCGTTTTAGGGACGAGGTGATGGATCTCGCCTTCGGAGTGCGCGGTGTCGCAGCGAGGACAATGTCTTCTGGTTCGGTGACTATTTGCTCGACGGCACGGACGACTGGGTGGTCCTCTTCGATCGGACGTTCGCCCTTGCGGAATGGATCGTTGGTGAGAAAGAGCGTAGACTGCGACTGTGGCGGTGTCCTGAGGGAGCTAGATGTTCTGCTCGACGCGGAGGAGTCGGTAGAGGGTCTGCGGATGGCAACAGCAAGAGTATGCCTGTGATCGGAACCAGTGGATTCTCGACGTCGCGGACGGCTAATTACCTCGCGCGACTTTTTCAGCGAGGCTTGAGAGAGCTTCCGGAGCCGGGAGAGCGAGGTGCGGGAGCGCGAGAGCAAAGATGGATGGTATGCCCGCTGGTAGTCTGGATATCCGAAGGTTATTGACTTTATTTGATACGGACATTGAGTGGATGCTCACCGAAGACGGGCGCGAAGTGCGCGGTATCAGCAGGACAAAGAGATAGACGTAGCTCGTCGTAGGTAATCTCCTCGAACTCTTCGTTTTCCTGCTCTGAGGCAAGCGGCAGGCCTTCGGAAGGAGCTCCGGAGGGCGAGGTCGGGATGAGGGCGAAGGCCTGCTCCGAAGGTGGGTTGTCAGTGAATGTTTCGGAAAGCGGGGAGGGCCCGGCCGAGGCACGCAGCGAGCCTTGACGGCCGTTCGCAAGTCTCGACTGAAGAGAAGGCTTGGATGGATGCATAGTGACTCACAAGTCCTTGGATCGTGGACCCGTTGGGGAGGGAGAAGCTTGACGGACTCGCAGTAGATGAGGACGGCCGCGAATGAAGAGTGCGTGGAATCCTCCTGGCCCAGGCGCGAGTCTTCACACCTTGCGAGATATCGAAAGCGACCAACCGAAGATGAGAAATGGATACCTCAGATCGCGGGGGACACAAGCAAGCACCACGGAAGAGAATGTCTGCGCCGACCGGGCCTGCCTCGAGGCTGCTGCCCACCCAGGCGCCGCCGTGTTCTCCGGTAAGCGCACTGGCTTGTACTTAATCTCTCATGTCGTTTACCGCCCCCCCCTCTCGACCCTCGCCTCCTAACAATCACTGACCGCGGTCTCTATCTTATGTTGCGCTCATGGCGCGCGAATAGATGTCACTGGAGCAAACTCCTCAAATATCGTGCTCCTCCGTTACGAGTACTGGCGTTCTCATGCCGTTCGGACACCGGTCCTCCTACTCGCGTTCTTGCCCATGCACGAGGTATCTGCACACCGGGTAACATGTGCTAATTCAGTATTAGGGCGTTCTACGGAACCTACGGCTGCGCTGTGGTCATCCTCTCCGAGCAGCTGGTCTGGGCCACCACGGTCGTCCACCTAACCTTGACAGCGCGATCGTGGCTCTCACTTGAAACATCCTCAGCTCACCCCACCCAGCAGTCATGGGTCCAATTCTTCCAAGCCATAAACATACGTATAGGTCACGGTGAGACTGGTCGCTTAGTTCCTTCGCACCTCCGTTCACCAGGACCTATTCGACTGACGGAGATTACTCGCCTCTCCAGGTACCCCATTCTGCAGACTCTTCTAGAGGTTCTGCTTCGAAATTCATCTTCGAATCAGGATGCTCTTCGATATATCATTGATATGTCATTCCGCGCATCCACCCTTTACCGTTCGATACGATCGACACGCAGATGGGGCGTGGCCTCGAGTGCATAACACAGAGCCAATGATCCTCCTGTTTCGGGCCATCCTAGGCGGTGTCCGATAACTCTGTTGTCTGCCGTAAAAGACAATCGTGTCCCCAGATAGACTTTGAAAAATATGGCGCATGCCATTGTTGCTCCTTCACGTTTGAGGGCTCCGAGACACGTGAGAGGTATGCGAACACCCAAGAGGAGCTGTCAATTCCTAACGCTACAAATCCACTCCGGATCAGCTGCAACGGGCATCAACATGACCAGGCACATGAGAGGCGAAATAGACAGAATGACATGAGCTACAGCAATGGTTCCGTTTCACCCCGTCTATCCCGTCGACTGACGTATTCTACAGCTGCGCGGATGCTCCGAACAATCCTCACCGTCGCTCTGCCCGCCCCATGGTCACGATCGTTGAATGTGCTTCTAACAACTCCGGCCATCCAGAACAAACCCGCAAGGGCCCAGACCACACCCAACGCAGTAGACGTCCCCACAACCGAGAATACCGTGCGACGCTGGTCGAACGGCCACGGGATGCTCACGGTCTGAGACCAGGAGCCCGGGCCGACCTGCCTGAAGGCGTGCATCCCCTTCCCGGCCACGCCGCTTACCCCACCTTCGCCGCCGTCGCACCAGAGCACCATGCTCCCCTGCTCCTCGGCACGCGCCTTAGCCTGCTCCCACATCGCGAGCCCGATGCTCGTGTGCCACGTTCGGGCCGGGGCGAGGATGAGTGCGGGGCGAGACGGCAGGCCAGCGAACGAAGAGGAAGTCGAGAAGTCGAGGCAGATGGATGCAGTGAAGTCGACGGGCCGCGTGTAGTTGGGACCCGGAGCCCATGATGGAGCCGACCACCCCCTTGGGGCCTTGAGCTGCATTGTGAACATGGTCGGCCTCTCGTTGGAAGGCGTCATCGAGAACGACTCGGCTACTACATGAAGGGAGGTAAATGCATGAGCATCACTTCGGAAGCATGAATGATAAGCGAGCTTACTTGGGACAAGATGTCTTTTGTAATATTCGAACACCACGCCCTCTGAACTCAGGAGAACGAGCCCGTTTCTCCTCATGCCGGCCCTCCAGACGCCGTCTGCTGAGTCTTCATGAACGATCTCGTCAAAGCCAATGCCGTAGTAGACGCCGCGATTCATGCGTTGCTGTGTCTTGTTGAATGCATCTTCCCTCTCGTTGCGGGACTGGAAATGCACGGCGCTCTCGGGCCAGAGCACGATTTGTGCACTGCTCTGCAGCGTCCTCGACTCTGCTATGTAGTCATCCAAGCCAGGAGGGCCCAATGGCCTCCCATTCCTCATTGGGAACGGCAGGGCGCAAGCGACGCCAAAAGGGGTAACGTTCCGGGCGGCGACATGAGTGGGCAAGTCGGATGTGAAGTAAGAAGGGACGGCCAGGGCGAGTAACAGCCCCGTTAGGAGATGCGTTGAACTCGGGCTACGCGATGGCTCGTAGCTTGTTGCGGTGGTGCCATTGGCATTGGGAGTAGGAGGAGTGACCTCGACGGCAGGAAAATCGTCTTCAGCCACAGAGATGAGGTGAGGAGCGGCGGTCACGATTACCTCCTCGTCGCTTGACCCTACTATCCATTTTCCAGCCGCATCCGCGAAGACGACAGCCCAGGCCGCAACCACCCAGTTGATTGCGACCTGTCCACCGACGTGCCTGAGCCACGCGTATCCTCCAACCTGGACGACCGGACTCCAGGTTGCGAGCTGGCCAATCGGGCTGCAGTACTCAACTAGAGCCCAAGCGGTAGCCCAAGTGGCTGGAAAGACTGTGGCGAGAGCCCATGAAGTGCGAAAGGCGCGTTCGAGGTAGTACCCGAGGGCCACTGCAGATGCAGCGATGACAGTTGTCACTGTAGAGATCAATGCCAATACAAAAAGTGAGATGGACGGCGTTGACAGAGCGTGCAAGGATGATCCCGCGTGCGCTATAGCTATGGAAAGGGTAATCAAGATGATTTGTTTAGCCCCACCGGACCAGTTGCGTCGTGGAACGATAGTACCCGCATGCAGGCGCAATATTGCGAGTAGCAGGACGAGAGGGGGTAAAGAAGGCGTTGGGGACAACGCTCCTAGGGCAAGAATGGGTGCGAGAGTAAGGTAGGTCCAAGAAGGATGTTGGATTGGGAGTGATGCGATAGAGGGCATGGCGATGGCTGGGAGATACTACGCTACGGGGAAACCGACGCGAAAAAAAGCCTAAGAAGTCGGGGGAAGCACGCAGCTGCGGTAAGTATGGCATGGCAAAGACGCTCGAGTCCTTGTGTGGTGAAGCATAGGCGACGTCAACACGCCCCCTGAGTATAGTCCGTAGTACCATCACAAGAGTGACCTGCTCTGCGCCGCTACTGATACAAGGGGCGACAGGACATGGGACATATTGAAGCAATCTATACTTAGTCGACAAGGTGCGCTCCACGGCTGCTACACAGTCCTCGGTCGACGGTCGGCGATACGACTTGAAGTAACGATAGTACAATCACTAAATTTGTGCCGCTTCTTTCAATACATCTGGTACAGTGTTACAAGAGGCCGGAATCCACGGGCTGCGTATGGACGACGCGGTCGCAATCAGCACTTGCACTCTCCAGGCTTGCAAGCGCAGCTATATGGCCGAAGTTAGACATCAGGAACCAACGAGACCTTGGAAAACGTACGAGGAGCCGCAGCTGCAACTGTTCGAGCCACAGTTGGCTTGGTTCTTAGGGGGCTCGCTGCTGCAGGCGCAATTAGGGTACGAGCAGTCGCTGCTAGATGTCTGGGTGGCGCACTGGACGTTGGAAGGCTGCGACGCATGTCAGCGGGAGGAAGACAGCTAGCGGAGGAAGCACGACGCACCATGTTGAAGAGGGTGTGAACGTTGAGTGTGAGAGGCTCTGGCATCCAAGGCCTGTACCCGCGTCCTTTTATATCCAAACTATCTTTATCAGATAAGAACAGACGTCCCCATGGAGCCCCTGTGGTCGTTCCGGGGCGCGAGAGACACAAGGGAGCATCCCTAAAGCGGCCTTGATGGCTTATCGGTTTGTTATTCAGAATCCATCACCTGGGGCGTCCGTGCCTTCGCGACGTATCATAAGGCACACATTTGAAGACTCTTCGTGCAAACGCGACTCGTGCTCCCTGGGCTGTGCGGTCGAAGCTTACCCACGAACGTGGCTACAGAACACTTGGCATACGTATACGGATGCTGCGAATCCCGTAATCAATATCATGTTCTGAAGCTACGGCGTGCTTCCCGGCACGCAGGCGGAGGGTACATGCAACACGGAGCTTCACAAACAATCAGAGCAGATGGTGCAGAGGCGACTCGACGGACCGAGACCTCCCTCTGAGCTTCTCGGCTTGCTCCGGTCACTCTCACGCTCCATACTTGGTAAGAGAAGCGCCGATGCCGACTTTCTGACGGCTCGTCCCAGCTCTCCCGTTCATCATCTGGTCTTTGCTCCGCTGTGACGCCGTCCTCCTCTGTTATCTATGGCGACCAAGCGCATTGCGAATCAAGTCCACAAGCAGGCGTCCCGCCTGCTCCGCGAGGGCTACATCCAGCAGGAGCCCGCCTGGTTCCGCGCTGTCCTCGACAACCCTCCTCTGCCCCTCCCCGCCCGCGCGCCCCCGTCGCGTACGCGTTTCGACACCCCGTCCGGGGCCCCACTCACGGCCCCCGCGGACAGCAAAAAGACGAAGCCGCTCCCGATCAAGTACGTGGAGGACGAGCTCCGGCGGCAGTTCTTCCGCGACCACCCCTTCGAGGCGTTCCGGCAGACCACCCTCGTGGAGGGCGCGACGGTAGACACGGAGCATCCTATCCGCGGGGCACAGTGGAGGAGGTTGCGGCAGAGAGGCCGGAATCCCTCGCCAGAAGAGTGCGTGTCACAGTTGTCCCGTCGTTTCGCTTTTGTCTCCATGATGCTGACTCAAGGAACGTATGACAGCGCTATCCGCTATGCGGTAAATCTGTACGAGCACCACGACATGGATCTGTCGTCAGCATACGCGTCTGCGGTCGCCCAGTTCCGTTCACTGCGTGCTGAGCTGGAGGTCGCGCGTGCAGTTGCGCGCTCTGAGGCGGAGCATCTTGGAATGGAGTTCGGTCCCTCGCAAGTTGAGATTACGTTTGCGAAAGAACACAAGGCGTTCCGGACGTTCCAGGAGGCTGCTGAGCACGATCATACGGCGGAGACGGAAAGAAAACGTTGGAAGGCGGTCGTGGAACGCGAGGGCAGGCCAGACAACTGGACGAAGGGGCAGGAGTACACGCGGCTGTGGAAGGAGGGTGTCCGGCCAGTATACGCGCCGGTTTTCGTCGACCCGCAGATCAAACCAGAAGGTCTGGTAACACAAGAACAGGCTACACAAAAGATCTCTGCACAGGCCGACTTCATGAAAGTCATAACAGCATAGACGGCAGGATGTACTCGACGCTTTCGTTTGTTTCGTACATTACCTCGGAAATAATGCGCGTGTCATGCTTTTCGAACGTCAGCCAAAAAGCCCTCAAGAAACGAAGAAAGGATTGTCCACAGTATAGCTACAGTAAGTCCAGTACATCATGACGTCGCCTTCACTGCTCTTGACTGGGCCGCCTGCGCGGCGTTCACGCCCATCCAAGTCTTCTCAACGAGCCCCAGTAGCCTGGACATGTCCGAACTCCAGTCGTTCATGACATCCTCCGCACTCCTACTCTTGCGGAAGTTGACAATGCCTGCTGGTCGGTCGGTCCGTGCCCAAACGGTCCCGGAGACAACCAGTCGGCATAAAATCTCTTCAGTTTGTTGTTGCGTGAGGTCAAGAAGAGAAGTCAAGCGAGCAAGGGTGATGCGGGTGTAGTATTGTGACACGATGCGGATGTTCTGCAGAGGTCGTTAGCTCTATGAGTTACTACGGTGACAGGGTATACTTACGTGCTCGATGACCCTGGTATGCAGGTCTTCCCATAGCTTGGGCGAGCTGAAGACACTAGTTTTCTTCAAGTGTGGGCCGTATATTTGCTCAATACCGGGCCAGCGCATGAGCTCAGGTGTTGTGAAGCATTTGACTAACGCGCTGCAGCTGCGCTTCAGCTTGATGTTCTGAATGAGAGGACAGTCACTCACTAGTGCAGCTCAAGCTTTGGAAGCGCAGGATCTAGGAACAGACGGTGGAGCATGTCAGACTGCTCGTTCTCGTGAGGCGCCAGGACAACATAGTAGACGATATGCTCGAGAGCCTAAAGAGAAGATGTGAGTATGTTCAACGATATCAGCAGGTGTCACTTACTTCACGCCCACGACCGTTAACCTCCTCCTTGATTGCCGGGGTCTCCCAGACCTTGTGGTAGTACTTCGCAGCATCAAGGTACGCGCTCTGGTGTAGCGCATATTGGATCATCATATCGTAGTACTTGAGTTTGAGGTCCTGAACGTGCGGCCATACGTCAGTGAGGACTCCAGAATCGACAAGCGGATTGTGCGTACCTCGTTCTCCTTGTTCTTGAGGAACTCCTCGTTCACCTTCCGACCACCCACGCGCACCCTCACCCACTCGGATTCACCACCGCCAATGGCATCTTTGCCATCCTGACCGATCTCGGCGTCTTTGAGACGAGCGAGCGCGATCAAGAGGCGCATTTGCTCCAATATGAATTCGGTCTTCTCTCGTCGATCCATCGACGAGTACGTCTCAACTTGGAGATCGCTGAGCAGGTCAGAAGCAAGCTGAAGAGAGTCTTTGCGGGAAGCAGGAGTGGCGGAAGGGGCGTTGGCGAGGGACTCATGGTGGTGCGCAAGGAGGAGAGTGATGCGCGCGCGGGGTGTTTCGAGGAAAATCTGGGCAAATAATGTCAGCAGGCTTAAAGTATGCAATACCAGAACATACTCACCTTCCCTTCCGTGACGGTCCTCAAGGTCTCGATGAGCTCCAGCCACTTCTCCGTACCTGCGGATTTCCGGATGTCCTCGAGCCAACCAATAGCCTGCTCCACCAGAGCTTGAATGGCCGCCTTAAGCTGCCCATGCTTCTTGCTCAAAGTACTAATGTTGGTATTCAATATTTCGAGGTTCCCGGCCTTGTAGCAGAGCTCGGATGCTTCCTTCACGAGGCGATTGGTCGAGTTCATGTCTGAGGCCTACAAAACACCTAGTCAGCAAGGCTCGCGAGTCCTGAGGGTAAGGTGTCCACATTGCGAGTTTGCTTCTCCAAAATGTAAATCTTGTCCAAAGCCTCCTGCAGCTTTCCGGACTGAAAGGCAAGCGGATTTCAGCTTGTGCCACAACGGACACCATAGCACGGTTCAGGCCGCACCTGTGCCAGACTCCGCACTTCCGGAAGAAGTTCATCGACCTCCTTAGTGTAGTCCTTCTCCTGCTTTTTGGGATCGGCCATGATGTATGTCGGGTAAGGGGACGAGGATGAGAGCCAAGGACTGGTCGCGGTTCTGAGAGTAGACTGACGCGTCGCGTACAGACGCTCTCCCTCTTCCCTTCCAAATCCGGCGTTCCTCCAGGATTCGGTCACGTGAAATGGCTCGCGCGTCTTCATGCAAGCGCCGAAGTGGAATCGCAGAGGCTCGTACGGAACGTCTTCGGTTGGTTCAAGTTCGTCGACGTCGACATCGGCAGCTTCGGCTTGCTGAGAGACTTCGGGGCGACTCTCGCTCACTACAGCTACGGTCTCGGGAGCACAAGAAATAATGATATTGTCATTCACAGCAGATTCCTACGTTAGTGCCAGCACAGAGTCGTCCGTATGTAAGCATAGAGCATAAAACCATAGTCGAGGAATTATTGACAAACAGGGGTGATCTCCGCCAGAACCGCATTGCCGTTCGTGTACGTCGACGCCTGGGGCTCCGCCTTGGCGAGGGCCTGCTTCTCGTCGAGCGCGTGCTCGGAGGAGGCCGCGTGCGACTGCTGGGCGAATTTTGAGAGGATGGGCATGTGGGACATAGAGGTGGGCATAAATGAGAACATAAATCGGATGGGTGCGGTGTAGAAGCGGACGACGTTGTACGTCAGGTTGACGGCACCGTGGACGACCGCGCTGGGCATGAACATGGAGATCGGGGGGACGTTGTTCTCCAGCGTGCTGTCGTCCGAGGCTTCAGACTCGGTGTCGGGTTCGAACGGCTCTGTTCCCTTCTCTTCGGTCGGCGGGACAGCATCGATGCTGACCTCACTGTACTCGGGGACGACCATCACCTCAGCCTCGACGTAGACGGGCGTGGCGTCGATCGAGGCTTCAGTCGTCTCCGGCATGACCTGGACGTCAGCGTCAACGAGCAGGGGGACTGCCTGGATAGACATCTCCTGGACCTGGGGACGGGCGGACACGCCCGCGTCGAACATGATCGGCGTCGCATCGACGGCCTTGTCCGACTTGGGCGGAGGGACGTAGGGCGCGGGGGGAGGCTGGAGCTTCCTCTCGGACAGCCGGATGTGCTGGACGTGCGGAAGGATCTCGGCGACCCTCTGCCACGCGTTCGCGTTCGCTTCGACGGCGCCCGCACGGCTCTTGGGCTCGAAGTACTTCAGCGTCTCGAGGTAGGGCGTGAGGTGGCTGAGCAGCACCGCGGTCTGCAGGGGGTTCTTGATCCACGAGTGCCCGACGTGCAGACGGAGCAGCGCACGAGAGCACACGGTGCGCGTCGAGTACACCTCGTCGCTCGACAGCTCTGCCGCGTTCACGACGAGCGCGAGCGTGTGCAGACGACGGCATTCGCGCGTGAGGGGCACGATGCTCTCGAGGGTGATAGACGGGGCTGGGCCGGTGGGCGGGAACCGCGCGTTGGGCGACAGACGGAGGATCTCGATGTTGGGGCAGACGCGCGCAATGTGGGCCACGTCCCGCTCCTCGAAGATCACCGACTCGGGCAGGTCGACCTCGAACCGCCACAGACGCGGCAGCATCGAGAAGTACGTCAGCGGGAGGCGGTGCATCGGCGCGTCCCCGCCCCGCGACGTCGCGCGGACGAGCTCCCCGAACCGCGACGCACTCGTCGCGGAGACGCGCAGGGACTGCAGCGTGTCCGCGAACTGGTCGCACACGGCCGCGCACAGGTCGTGCCAGTCGATGGGCTGGGGCGGGTCCTCCATCACCAAATCGAGCTGCGCCAGGGGGCTCGTGAGGTGCTTGAGGAACATGGCCAGGTTCGCGGCCTCGCCCGTCAGCGTGAGGTTGCTCAATTTCGCGAAGGCGCCGCGGCGAGGCCCGTCGCGCGTGAGGCGCACCGCTGCCTTGCGTGCCTCGGAGAAGTCCGCTTCGTCTGCTGAGAAGACGCCGCTGTCGGTGCCCCCCACGGAGCTCGGCGTCGAGTAGCCAGAGCCGGGGCTGATGTCGTCGAAGAAGCCCTCGACCGCAGTGGTCGAGCGGGCGGAGAGGTCGACCCCCAGCGTCTTCAGCAGGGGGAGGCCTGCAGCCCACTTGCCGACCTTCGACGCGAGCGCACCGGGGGCGGTGAGCGCGAGCTTCTCGAGCTTCGCGTTGTCCTGGAACGTCTCCACGAACTTGTCGGGGAGGTTCGTGTGGAGCGTGAACGAGAAGGACTTGAGGCCCTTGTGGCCCGCGATCTCCTCCAGGATGTCGTTGATGCGCGGGCTCTTCGAGCCCACCTCGAGCTGGACGGACTCGACGAACGGCCCGAGGAACATGCGGCACCGCTCGAGGTTCGCCGCAGTCTCGACCTTCCACGTGAGCGACGCGAGGTTGGGCAGCAGATACGTCGCCGGGCGGTGCTCCTCGAGGAGGGGGAGGATCGACGGGGCGATGTTCCCCGACATCTCGACGTACGCGATGCTCTTCACGCGCTGGCCGTAGGCGAGCACGCGGGCCCAGTCGTCGCCCTCGGGGGCCTTCGTCTGCTCGGCAAATTGGGAGAGCAGGGAAGCAGGGGCAGCAGATGTGAACAGTTGTGTGAGTAACGGCGCTTGCGGTGCCGACAGAGACAGAAGGCGTACCAGGCCCATGCCCGGTCTGCGGGCACGTTTCAGTATGGTGCTCGGGAACAGGCCGAGGAGCGGGGTGAGGCTGTCGAGGTCACGCCAGAGAACGTTCAGAGCCGGCTCCTTGAAGGCCTTGCAGGTGCGCGCGAGGCGCGAGACCGAACGGCGCCCCTGAGGGGTCTCCAGGATGGCCTCAAGGAGCTTCTGTGTAGCGTCGGCGTCACGGAGAATGATGGGCTTCATCTTCTGCTGGTGGACGGCGTACGGGGTGTAGTTGTCGACCTTGATGGAGGCGGTGGACTTCAGTGAGACCGTGGACTTGCGAGAGCGGAGGCTGCCGAGGCGCGGACGCGGAATCTGCGAAATATAGTCTGCGAGAGAGGAGCGACGCGAGAGAGACGGGTCCGTAGACATGACGGGCGAGTTGTGGATCGAGTCGATACTTATTGCACTTGTAGCCTGCGGATCGTAAGGCTTTGGGGAGGAACTGGCACGTTCAATCTGGAATAGATATAGCAGTTGACGCGAAAGGAGATGAAGCTTCGTGGAGGATCTGAGGGTACGGGATTGGACAGAGTCGTGCTTCGACAGACACACGGAGGTGCACAATGCGACGGTGAGTTAGGAAGTTCCGAGAGACGTGAGGGCGGAAAAATATACTGTTGGCTGAAACGCTGTCCACTCGCCGGCGCATGGTGGTCGTGGCTCGTCGCACATTGATAGAACGCTGGGGTCTACACCTGCAATCGTAAGCACGCACGATCAACGAGGACATAAGCTCTGCCAGAACACGGGCGGACAGTGCGCAGCCGCCCATAACACGGTAGCACGCGCCTCACGTGAGTCGCGACACGCCTCGTCCACACGTCTCGGGGAGGAGCATGTTTATGCCATGGGAGGAGCTTCTGTACTGGACGCACACGACCTGCACGACCACAGCACTGTCGCAAGGTGATTGTGCAGCGCAAGTCAAGCATGCAGATCAAAGTGAGTATTCCGTACAGATGAGTGGACACATACTGTGACACAGCCTACAACTCCCCCGCTTCCCAGGGCACAGGATCGCCCTCCCAGTCCTCTTCGGTGCCTTCGCCATGCTCAGACTCCTCTCCGACATCCCATATCTCTCCCCCTTTAGCGGCGTCATAATGAGTCTCCCTGCTCCCATATAGAAGCCCTCGCACGACCTTCTCCTCTTCTGTCTCCCTCTTACGCCCGCCAGGCGAAATGGCCAGCACTCGCTGCAATTCGTCTGGCAGGGTCACTTCAAACCTTCCAGGATCGACAGAAGACGCAAGGAGCGCCGCCGACTCGCAAGACCCCTGTCGTGCTCCCCAGTGCGCCTCCCAATCGGATCCCGTATCGTCTACGTGACCGGCTGCAGGTAACTGCGCGAGCGGGTCAAGTTCCCGGACTTGGATCTCGTCGTCCTCCAGGCTGTCTGCGCCTTCGTCGTCGGCACCGTCGGCGCCGTGAAGCAACTTAGGCTTCTTCCGCCCGAGGGGACCGGACTTCCCCCTCCTCTTCTCGGCGTACATCGGTCCCGAAGGTTTCGATGCATCTGGGGGAGGCGGTGACGGCGGAAGGAGAGGCAAGTTTAGGAGAGCGTTCGAGCCGGTGGTATTGTCGTCGTTGGTATCGTCAAGATCATTCGGGAATGTACGCTTGTTGCCGGCTCGCGAAGAAGAGCTGGAGGCGCCCGACAGGCTCGAGGAGATACCGGGAGGACCTTTCGATTGAGACGTGCTGGCCGGTCCGATATCTGCACGTAAGTCGTCCTTCGTCGGCACAAATGCCCCGGGTATACCGCGCTTCTTGTTGACAATACGCCGTGTAGATTGTCCGGACCTGGCCGGAATCGCGGCGGACACTTCGAGACTCTTCAGCCGGGGCTTCAAACTCCAGTCCTCTTCCTCGTCCGAGGAGGGAGTGAGGGCTCGTGATATCTCCCGCTTCGAACCAGAACCAGACGCTGAGGAAGCGCTCTTCTTGTGGGAAGACGAGAGCACTTTCATAGGACGTCTCTCGCCGTTCGTGAGCGCGTCATCGAAGAGCACCTTGAAGTTCCTCCCGCCCGTGCGAGGCTTCATGGGCGTGTCAGCAATAATCGAGTCATTGACATCCGCAGCGAAGTCATCTCCGTCTGACGCGTCTGGGCTATCAAGGAGAGCAGCACGGCCCGTGAAGGAGAGGGTGGCCTGGGAGGAGACACGTGCGCGCTTCTCCTTGACTGGAGAGGGTGAGACCTGTTCTCCTCGGAGACGTTTACGTGCTCTTGTGAGTGCAGAATCTGCTGCGGGGGACGACGGTGGGCGCGGTACCAGAAGGAGGGGCTCAATGGGTGGGAAGGGGTCGGGAGAAGGCGAGCGAGGGGGAGCATGTGGTTTGTTCTTCGGTTTGGATGGGGTAGCGAAGGGATTCGAACGCGATTGATTAGATGCACGTTGTGATGATGAAGCATGGTTCGGGTACTTGTTCCTGTTCTTGACAGGAGAGAATGGATTGGAAGTCGAAACGGGAGGATCGACCTTGACGGCTCGCGACTTGGTCAGGATGGATGAGGCAGGTGGTTGACGTGGTAGAGAGGGCGGGGGAGTGGAAGAGCGGGCAGAGTGAGAGAGGTTGCCGGATGGGGCAGCCTTTGAGAGGGACTTGTAGAGCTTGTACTTTGCGGCTGCATTACGGGTGAACGCGGCGGGATGGGAGGGAGATGAAGGGAGGCGTACCGATCGCTGGCTGGTCCTTGATCTCCTGTATGGAGGGATCTCTGCTGTGGTTGGCCCTGAAGCTGCGTTCCCAAGCCTTGATCTCGGCGCGGAGGGCAGCGACGTCCATCTGGAGAGGGGGGGAGGGGGAGATGTGGCGAGACGCGTGCAGACGCGCAGTGGGCAGAGAACACGGTCATGGGCGCTTGGACGGGTTGAGAGTGCTAGCAGCACGTGGGTATGCCCGGAAGGGGCAGGGCCGGGGGCGAGTGCTGCAAGGTCGGCCTCAGGCTCAGCTTTTTGTCCGCTCTCTTCGAGGAACAATCTGGCAGCAGCCCCCTCCCCTCTCTTTCGTCATACCTCTCCCCCTCATGAACTCGTATTTTATTCCCCATGATGACCCCACCCGCCAACACATCCCTCTCCCACCCCACCTCCAGCCCTTCCCTCGCCCTGGCCCCGGCTTCGCCTACCCCGGCCCCCATCCTCCCTTCCAGCCTTACCCTCTATCTTATCCTCTCCACCCTACTCAATACACGGCACAGTTCCATCCATCCATGCACCAGCAATATTCTCCCCATTCCCGGCCTCTCCCCCCGACGTTATTCAATGATCCCGCATTTTCTCCGGATCCGCGATACAACCTCCACTTCTTCAGCATGAACGACCGCGAGGAGATCTACCCTGCAAGTGTCTCAGATAGCCTTTCAGACTACGCACCAACCGTCGCCGATGATGAATCCGAGGTCGACCATAATCACCTCCCACCTCGCATGCGCCGCTTGACAAACCCTCATGGCGACGTTGTCGTCCCCCACGCCCAGCACGCCCGCTCTCAGTCCACGCCGTACATCCCTGCTACACCCCCTCCGCAAAACCTCTCGCGATCAACCTCTGCCAGGGTTATTCCTGTTCCTCCACCGAACCCCACCACACGCTCGTCCACCCCGGGCTCAGATCATCATCGAAGGTCTTCGCGAGAGGAGCTTCCTCAACACGTTCACAGACCACCTTCAGGACATGCTTCTGCGTCCGCTGCCGCTCAAGATTACTGGCAAGCGCCGCCGCCCTACTATGACTCCGGGAGTGATTCCTCTTCTTCATCGAATCCACAGACGCCTTCGAGCTCTCCACCTTTATCTACTCATCATCATCTACCGAGAGAGTCAAAAAGATCCCTCGTCGCTGCCCCTCCATTACCCAAGAACCGCTCTCCATCTGAAGCGCAACACACTTCTTCTGCTAACCCCTCTAGCGCTTATGGGGCCTCGCAGCCTAGGAACGACGTCGCTGCTCCTGCCCCCCAGACATCCTCGGTGAAGTCATCTGCGGTCCGCCCTGCGATCAGTCCCCGCAATGCCTCCGCTCCAGAATTGCATCCTCCACCGCCCCCCGTCGACGTCCCACCACGCCCTTCCACTGTGCCCATACCTGCACCGCCACGCGAGGGGCCGTCTGCTCCGCTTCGCGGTCGCAGAAAGAATAGCACGAATCCGAGCATCTCTACACCTCCGCGCGACCTGGACAGCATCGACGAGCTCGACGAGTCCGATCCACTTGGATTTGCGTGGCACCATGACGGGCCGTACGAGGCCATCGCCAAAGCGACAGGCTCTGGTCTCATCCCAGGAGCGGGCGCTCCAGCGAAGAAGTCCTCCAAGGTCCGTGCTTCCCAGTAGACAATACCGCGCACGTCTAATTGTCTGTTGATCAATGCAGCCGAAGCGTAAGCCCGTCCAACCTTACGACAGTGTCTCGGTCGGGGTCGTCCCCGGCCAGATTTTCCCGTCGGTCTCGCAGTACCAGCCGCAGGTCGCTGGCAACGGGATTCAGGTGGACCCTAGTGCGCTGCCCCCGAAGCCGCCGCCCGAGAATTTCCAAGTTACGTCCCCCCCGAGGAGTCCGCTCGCGCTGCCGGTTCAGCGTCACGTTCCTCCCACCGGCCGTCCTCCCCCGACCCCAGACCAGTACAACAATGTGCACCTGAACCTCATGGCGAACTCGGGTCCGCCGCCGCCGATCGACCTCTCTGCGACGGTTTCCGAAATGCGGGACTCGCGAATGCCGCGTCCCCAGCCCGCGCAGCCTTCTCCAGAAGCTCAACGGGCTCACGATCGTCGAGCTTCCCGGGCTCCCACGTACTCGGATGCGCAGCACCTGGACGTGCCGCAGCCATCCCCCCCGCTGCCGAACCCGTACTCCCCGGTCGGCTCCTCGTTCCCGAATGCGCCCCCGGCCGCGAGCCGGCACGAGTCCAGCCGGCCTGCTTCCGTGATGATGCAGCCACGCGCTGACCTGCCTCCGTCGAACGTCGTCCCGCGGCCGGACATCGCGCTCCCACCGGACCGCCAGCAGAAGGAGAAGGGGAAGTCGCTGTCGCTGCTCCCGCGGCATCTGCCCAAGAAGCTCGTCATGCCCGCGCCGCTGCAGCCGAACCAGAACCAGAATCAGAACCAGAACCAGCAGAACGTGCAGCCTGGGCAGGCACACGTCGAGTTCCTTGCGCAGCGCCATGCGCCTTCTGCGCCGTCGCTGCTCTCCGCGACGGGCTCGTCGGTGTCGGTCAACACGCAGCAACAGCAGCAGCAGCAACAACAACAACAACAGCAACAGCAGCAGGTGCGTGCAAAGGACATCCCGATAAGCCACGGGCCGAAGCTCCTGCGGAAGAGGCATACGACCGGGGCGCCGCTGCCCGAGCCGTCCATGGCGTCGAACACGACCGCGGCGATGTTCGCGGCGAAGGTGCGGTTCGCGGAGCCGGCGAGGGAGGAGTCGAGGGAGGAGCGGAAGAAGCGCGAGAAGGAGGAGGCGCGGCGGGAGAAGGAGGAGGCGAGGAGGGAGAAGGAGCGCGCGAAGATGCGGCTGCCGCCCGAGGTCCCGCTCCAGGGCATCTTCGCGGTCGACTACGTGAAGGAGGCGGAGCTCACGCGGGAGCGCGAGTTCGCGAAGGCGGCGGACGCGGTTGCGTCGAAGACGTCGGGGCGGAAGCTGAGCAAGCGCAGGTGAGGCTGCGTCGTGCTTCGGCGGGTCGTTGTGTTGTGTCGTTGCGTCGGCGTGTGCAGGGCAGGGCTGCTGTCGCGTTAGGCGGGCAGGCTGCTGCGTTGGTTTGTGTGTGTTTCCTATCAGGTCGGGAGCCGGTGGGGTGTCGCCGGTCTTGCACCTTTCTTGGGCCCTCTTCTCCGTCATGCTGTCTAGGTCGTTTCTTGCTTTGCCCCCATCCCCGCTTCCCATCACAGTCAAAACGGACGGTCTTCCCGCAGATGTTGTGCAGTACCTAATACCTTTAGCTGTTGTCCGCTGTTCAAATCGCATCATTCCCATATTCCCGTCGCATGGCATATCCCCATTGCTCCGTGTACTCATCGCTAATACCTGTATCAGCACCACACTCCTGGAGATTCCTTCCCCCCATATTGTATTCCCACCCACATCGCGCTGCATTCACGAAGTGTATGTAACTATCACGACTCTTCACGGATCTCTAAAATGCTGTAGACTATTGCTCGCTGCTGTGATGGAGGTTCTGCCGAGTTAGCAGTGCTGTAGGACTAAGGATTGGATCAGTATATGTCAGAAGTATCATACTATCCCTCAAGGGTTCTGCAAAATCTGCGAGATTTGCAACTCCTCCCCTCCTCATGCATCGCTCTGATATTTCCAAGACATAATACTAGACCCATTTCGATATCATCTGGCAACTTTTCGGAGCCAAATGAGCTGGAGGACGCCTTTGCGAGCAGGAGACATTTAGTTACACCTCTAGGCGAGTTGACGCCCAACTTGATATACAGATCTCTCTTTGTCTCTCACTGTGAAAGCTCAAATATCTTTTTGGATGAATGTATGGTTTCATTTTGAATACCAAGATCATCCCCGATAGCTCCGAAGATGGGTAGACATCCTAGGGAAGCCGTTTCTTTCAGGCGCTTATGGGTTTTGCAAAACCCCTTTCACATAGGTGCTGGGAACATGGCATCCCCATAGCTCGCGTTCAGCTCCACGGAATCTTACGAAAATAGGAGGACATATGATAGATGTCAGTCTCAGCAATGCCTGAAGTTTGTGGAATACATAGATCACTGTTGCTGGAGAGGCAGGTGCCATCATTCCTGGCGTTGCAGAACCCCTTGAGGGGGAGTTGGTGGGAGCTAGCCAGTTGGCCTCAAGCTGGCCCCTTGCCACCCCACCCGTACTTAGGCCAATTCCAGAGCTATGAACGGGCAATTTCGCGTAAGCATGTACTTTGTTCGATCTGGCTGTGGGCTCCGAATGCACGTGTCCGAGTAACCTTAATGAGCAGGAATGAACAGGCGATGATCCAAGAATAGTATACTGCACTCCTCTTGCTTCTTACCCATCATTTGTAGACGTCGGCATTGTAGCTCTCCGACGGATTTTTGTCAGCGCATTATGCTGCGCATATAGCGTTCCTAAAACTTTAGAAGCGCCTCACGACGAACGTTCGTAATATATAGATGGGTGCGCCTATCATTCGTACGCGTCAAGACGATGTTACCTCACCTTGTAAATCAGCCACCACCGACGTCAGACATATGACGAATAATCCCGATTGAGAAATAGATGCAGGCAGCACTGTACTTAATCGATGCTAACTTGGACAGGAGCCGCAAGCCTCCTAGAGGTCCATTATGGCTACCGAGCATTGTTCTTGCTAGGTAGCATTGACTCGGACAAATGTTCATGGTATGTTCTATACTAAGTATACGATCATCGCGCGTCGGCTGGCGGCATGATTGCATGGGCAGTGTGCAGAGACGTCTGGCCCACATGGCCTCGCGACCCAGAGAACCATCTTCGGATCGCCTGTGCGTGCGTGCACCCTCGAAAGTGCCGCCGTACGAACGTTCTTTATCTATCGCTCCACCCCAGACAATCGGATGCCTTGTTCGCTGATGGATGAACGGAAGAATCTCAGCACCTTTGGTCGAGTCTTTCGGAGACACATTGTGGCGGCCTGCACGAGACCAGGAAGCCAGCAACCGTTCTCGTGATGTCTGCTTCTCTGCCACCTCTGTACCCTCGTATGCGGGAAGTGGGGCCATGTGCATGCGTCCATCTTGAGTCTGTTTTAGACGATGGGCGCGAGCCGAAATCCTATAAAGCCTGTGGGCGAGGAGACCATTGAGCTAGCAAGGACATCCGTGCTCCTCGCGGCTTCGCACTTCACTCCGAGCACACCAGACTGCAGTCATGAAGTTCTCCACCATCTTCGCCCTCACGACTGCTCTCCTCGCCTCGACTGTTTCCGCGCGTATTGCCAGAAGGCAGTCCGGTGGTTGCGACTGTGCTGGTTAGTTTGGATCCCGCGGCTAGGAGTCAGGAGAGAACTCTCACCTCGTTGAACATTCCGTATACACAGGCACCGAGTACTCTAGCTCGGACATTCTGAATGCCATCAACGAGGCTCTGGACGGCGGCGCCAGGTGAGATCTGTCGAGTCCTCTCTACCCTGCTTGACGCTGACTAGGCGTTTCAGCGATTATCCACATGAGTACCATGATTATGAGGTACGTTAGCCACATACCTTGATTATCCTAGAGTAGTTACTGACGCTGCCTTCAGGGCTTCTCATTCCCCTCATGTTCAGGCACGTTCTATGAGTATCCTATTGAGCAGGATGACGTCTACACGGGCGGTAGCCCCGGCGCCGACCGCGTCATCTACGACGAAGACGGCGACTTCTGTGGTGAGCATGGTCTTACCTTTGGATGGATTACGGGCTGATGGCTCGCACACAGCGTGCTTGACCCACACCGGCGCGAGTGGCGACGACTTCCTCGAATGTGATTTTTGAATGACATGCTTTGACCTCTTTGGAAAGCGACATCTAGTTGCATGCCTGGTCTGTAATTGCTTTCGGCAGTACTATCCTGATTGTAAACTGTAGCGCAGCCACCTGATGAACATAGTATAACCAGGCAGATACCACCCCTGACAAGCCCTTGTGTGTTTGGTCAGCTCATCGAGCTTCTTGGACGCTACATGACAGTCACTCACCAGGAACTGGATGCATGCGACACGTATATCTGGGCATTGAGGGTCATATCAGCCACACGATGCCGCGTTGTGGTTCAATGCAAGCGAAAGTCCCGGTCACGAATAGCCATCGCGACCGTGTAGTTCTTATGTACTGAGAGGGGAACTGACCCCCCTCGATACAGAGATTCCCATGAGCACTATGAGTCCATATATATCTGGGTGGAACGATCAGCGGCAAGTCGTGCCCATCATTCCAACGGGGAATGAACGGAAGTGTATTGAGGGCTTGAACGCATAGGGAGTCGTACCACGCGGTCAGATCGGTCGCAGGGAAGACACCCCAATCGTCCTCGACAGGATTGCTCCAGTACTTAACGAGGTCGGGGCTGCTAGACAGCGCTCTATTATAGCTTCTATCTCCAGCTCGCTTCTCCTCAACGGTGCATTATTGGTCCCAATACGGGTGTCAAGCCGCGCAAGGAGAGTCACGCGTCTTAGAGTAGTGCTTGAGACCGTCGTCCTCAGGTCAATCGCTACGGAAGAGCGGGCTCAGTTCTGCTCTGAAAGGGTCGACAAGTCATTGGGCATACCTTCATGCGAGTTGTAAGACGCGCAGGGCCCTTTATAAACCCCTGAAATAGCGAACAACGTCCACCGAGCAGCGACCCGCACCGTTCGCTGCGCTTCGCCTCACCCCTCGCCATCCTCAGGTCGACCTCCAAGTCATGAAACTCTTGTCCATCTTCGCGCTCCTCTCGACCGTTTGGGTGGTGTCGGCATCGCCGGTGTCGCAGCCCGACTTCGCCTACGCACTGACCACAGACGAGGCCGCGGTCACCTGCAACTGCCAAGGTTAGCATGTGAGTCACCGCGAAAGCACAAGAAATGTGCTGAGACATTCCGAACAGGTAACATATTATCCAACGGTGATATTTCAAACGCACTCAATCAGGCTCAAAAACTTGGTGGGGGCGGGTACGAGAGCACAGGTCAATTGAGTGACTAATCGCTGACCCACGGGAACTCACTGCAGCACTTACCCCCACACGTTCAAAAACTTAGAAGTTCGCAGTACGCTATGTCAGGTTGCAGGAGGCGAAGCTTACTAGAAAGGCTCTCCTAGGGCTTCACCTTCCCGAACTGTACCAAACCCTTCCAGGAATATCCGGTCTTCAAGGGTGCCACCTATACTGGTGCCAAGCCTCCCGGACCAGACCGCGTGATTTACCAGACAAACGGCGGACAATTTTGCGGCAAGTGTGCATTACTTCACTGTTGGATATCAGCACTGATTGGGATCTGCACAGGCTGCGTCACTCACACGAATGCTGGAGGCAACGCTTTCCTGAAGTGCACGTAACTGTCAAGGCACATAAGATGTACCTGGAGATCAGGATCGAGAAAGATTATCCAGGAGTGCCAGAGACTTGTACATTGCATTGCATATCCGGTGATACAGAGTAGGCAGTAGTATACAATCAGTACTGGAGACGGAACATGAATTGGAAACTGTACTGCTTGGTGTCGGGGTCCCAGTGCGACCAATTCCAATAGCCAGCATCGTCTGACTCATCCTCGATCTCTCGTGCGGGGATACGGAAGGCGATGGTCTCATAAGGTTCGGCTGCAACCTGAAGATACTGTCAGCATCAATGAAATTCGCTGAACTCGGTTAAAACTTACTATGAGATATTGGTAGGCCTTGTTTGGTGGCTCTCGCTTCTGCTCCCACGCGCTCATAAATCGTCGGCGGGGTATGATACCGGGCTTGATTTGCGGAAGGTGGACCTGAACCATCATTCCTTCCTTCCCAGTATCCCTGTCGCGGACCTTCGTAACACGGTATCCAGGTCGACCAATTTTGAGGAAGACCTTCTTATGGACGTTTTGCTGGGTCGGCGCGATCATGAGCTGCGTCTCCTTCAAGTCGCGAGCAGCTCGTCGGGCTAAGTTCGTCTGATGCTTCTTTCCTTGAGTATGCGCAAGGTAGGAACCTTCATTGGTGTGGAGGGTGAGACATAGTCGACATTCGAGTGAGCCAAGATGGTTGCGAAGAATGTAGGGATCCTGTAGCCCTGTCAGCGAACGGCTGCGAGAAAGGAACGCCACACGAACCTTGGCAAGGTCAATAGTCTCTAGAGCTAGCTTCCGCAGCCGCTCCCTCCTGTCTACATTGGTCTCCGAAGCACCGGCCACACCACCACCTCCGAACTTGGAACCGACACGATTCTATTCGAGCGTTGTCATTGCGGGTCACTTTCGCCGTACGCAAGATTGCTCACCTGGTAATCTGGAGAGCCAGTGGTCAGTTACAGACCAATCATGCCATCCGAAGAATACGCACCCATTTTACAATGAGGAGAGCTGAGAGAAACGAGATGGGCACCCCGTGGAGGAGAATTGAGAGACTCAGAGAGGGACACGGAGTCGTGCCCCAAGGGACCGGGGGCTTAGTCAGCCAATCTGAACGCGGTGAGATCTCGATCTGCCCGATCATTATGGGCGGCAAAATTTGGCTCGATATTCGTCGCCCTCGAGTCTCGTCAGGTCGGGGTACGCTGCTCGTCCTCGCTGTTTCATCTGCCTTCCTTCAGCTTCTCCCTACTATCAGCGGCACAGGATATTATTTCTGTTGTCCTAAGACTCTGTCTCTGCTCGTGGGAACTCATCCCATAACCATGGCCGCTGGAAAGAAGCGCGTCTTAGACGAAGCGTCGGGCACTCCCAAGGCCAAGAAAACGAAGACAGAGGAGCAAAGCAAGAAATCAAAGGATAAGGCCGAGAAGCCGACTCAGCCAGTCTCTTTCCTCGTGTCAGACGACATTGACTTCCCTCGAGGCGGAGGCACCACTTTAACTCCCTTAGAGGTGAAGACCCTCCGTGCTGAGGCTGCAAAGGAAGTGGACAAGGAATTGTTTGCGGTAGGTCCCACTAGTTTGGCTTCTTCCTTCAATATCAATAACATTTACTTTAGGAGGCTACAACAGAGAAGTCTGTCAAACGCAAGAGAAAGTCAGAGGCGAGGGGTTCCTCCAATAGTGCTGCAAAAGATGGCAAGGAAAAAGCAGGGATCCGTATAGAGCATCTCAACTACAAAGTGCGTCGCCTACATCATCTGGGATAGACTTTACATTTGACACGATTGCAGCGCGTTGTAGTAGGAATGAAGATCCTAGGTCAAGTCGTAGCCGTGGAACCTCTCGCTCTGATCGTATCTCTGCCGAACCAACTCTTCGCTCACGTCCCCATCACACATATTTCGACTCAGCTTACACATACCCTGGAGAGCATGGAGGACGTGGAGATGGGTAATTCTGACGACGAGGACGAGGACTCATCGCCATCTGGCGTACCAGACCTCTTCGAGATCTTCCGACCCGGCCAGTACGTCCGTGCCGTAGTCACCGCAGTCCACCCGCCTGGAACGACGGACGTATCCGGTCTGGGCCGCGCGCGCGATGAGGTGCAGAAGGCGAGCAGAAGGGTGGAGTTGAATTTGGTCCCAGAGAAAGTGAACGAGGGTGTGGTGAAGAGCGACCTCCGAACGGGTTTTGTGCGTAATATGTCCACATTTTTCGGGCCATATCTTACCAAGAGGTTTTCAGACTATGTCCGCCGCTGTGAAGAGCATCGAGGACCACGGCTACATACTTGACCTTGGCATGTCTGATGTGTCTGGATTCTTGTCGTTCAAGGACGCGCAGAAAGGATCATGGGGTACAGAGAAGAAGTTGCACATTGGCCAACTGCTGGACGTTGCCGTAGTCAAGATGTCCGGTAATGGACGAACTTGCAATGTGTCCGTGGATCCGAAGACCATATCGACTGCGTCTGTGGGTAGTCCCAGTGAGCGCGTGACCGAATGTCTGACCGAACCATGACAGATTACGGAGGTCAGCAATGTCTCGTCAATCGTCCCTGGTGCCCTTGTCCAGTCTCTGGTCACGGCAGTGCAATCCGATGGCCTCGTTCTGCAAGTACTGGGCTACTTTGACGGAACGATAGACCAGTTTCACCTTGTACCCGGTCAGCCCGAAGTGCATTACCAAGTAGGGCAGAAGGTCAAGGCCAGAATCCTCTACGACATCAACCCCTCTACGCCTCCGCGCTTTGCACTTTCCTTAGCCGATCATGTCGTTAGGTTCACTACGAAGTCACCTAGCGCTGATGCTGCTACGACCGACTTGAGGAACGCATACCCGATTGGCACCATCCTTGAAGCTGTGAAGGTGGCTAGGGTGGAAAGCGAGCGAGGTCTTGTTGTGAACGTGGGCTCTGGCATCGAGGGTTTCATCCACGTGAGTACTCCTCGTTTCAAATATAGTGTAACTAAATCCGTCCCTGCGTAGATATCACAAACATCAGACGAGCATGTTCCTACTCTCTCGGCATCGTCTGGTGCGTGGAAGCTCGGAATGGTTCATCGGGCTCGCGTGACGGGTTACTACCCTTTGGATGGCATCCTCCAGCTTTCCCTACGAGCGTCCGTACTAGGACAGAAGTTCCTGCAGGTTGCGGATGTACAAGTCGGGGAGGTCATCAAGGGGACGGTCAAGAAGCTCACCGACTCTGCGCTCTTCGTTTCGATCTCCGGTAACGTCGACGGCGTGATCTGGCCCAACCACTACGCAGATATCGCACTTAAGCATCCCCAAAAGCGCTTCAAACCTGGTAGTAGTCTCAAGTGTAGAGTGCGTGCTTTTCCCCTCATTCAACACCAGCTGCTCACGCCATGAAAGGTCCTTGTTGTTGATCCCGAGCGCAAGCGCGTCGCCTTGACTGCGAAGAAGACGTTGGTCGAGTCCACACTACCTACCATTACCCAATTCAGTGATGCGCAAGTTGGGGTCTTAACACATGCGGTTGTGTTCAAGGTGTCAGACAAGAGCTTGCAGGTAGAGTTGTATAATAACCTGAAGGCGACCGTACCAGCGCGTGAGGCAAGGTGTGTATTCTGATTCGTATCATAAGCTCGATCGGGCTCATCTACTATGACAGCGAAACCACTGTTCCATCGCTCTCGTCTGCATTCCCAATTGGCAAGCCCGTACAGGTCCGTATCACTGCCGTAGACCCAGAGACCTCTCGCATCACAGCTAGCATCCGGCAAGCATCGCCCAACTATAAGTCGGCCATTACCGACATCAGTGGAGTGGACATCGGCGACATCGTCGAAGGAGTCATCTCCGACGTCCGCAAGGATAAGGCCGTCGTCGCTCTGCAGCCTACACAGGTCACCGCACTGTTGTCTCTGAACAATCTCGCCAACCGTCGTGAAGTGTCTGTTGCCCAGCTGCGGTCGACACTGAAAACGGGCGATAAGCTTCAGGACCTGGTCGTAACTTCGCGGAATCCGGAGAAAGGCTTCGTCTTGGTTGCGATGAAGCCCAAGGAGAAGGAACAGCTCGTACAGAAGAATCAGCTGTCCATCGACACTGTACAGCCCGGCCAGCTTGTCGGTGGACGTGTCCTGCGTCACGCCCGCCATGGCGCGCTCGTCAAGATCACCAAAGCGATTTCTGGTATCCTTCACCCCACTGATGCGTGCGACGACTATGAGAACGGGAAGCCCTTCCCTCCCGTGGACTCGGTCCTCAAGGCGGTTGTGATCTCAATCGACAAGGAAAGGCGACAGCTCTCCTTGACTACGCGGATGTCTCGCCTCTTCCCTGGCCAGGACAAGCCCATCGTCGACCGTGAGATCACAAATATCAGTGATCTCAAGGTGGGCGAGACAATCCGCGGCTTCATCAAGAGCGTCGCGGAGCATGGCCTCTTTGTCACTTTGGGTCGGGACATCGACGCTCGTGTACAGATCAGGGAGCTGTTCGATGACGTGAGTGTTAGCTCCATCAATGAAGAGTCAGCGGGATACTCACGAAACGTTGTAGTATGTCAAGGACTGGAAGAGCCGCTTCTCAGCGAATCAGCTGGTCAAAGGCCGAGTCCTGAGGTATGCAGATTCTTGCCATTTACGTGTTTGCCCCAAGTTCAACTTCTATGTCAGTGTCAACATCGAGAAGAAGCAGGTCGAGCTCTCTTTCCGCTCCGGAGATCTCAAGCGCGACAATCAACCTCAACTCACATTGTCGGACCTCAGCGAGGGTCAGAAGGTCGACGGTCGTGTGAAGAAGGTCGAGGACTATGGCATCTTCATCGCCATCGAGGGCTCGAAGCTCAGTGGACTATGCCACAAATCCGAAGTATGTTGCATATCGCGTTTCAACGCCTGTCAAAACTCATGTTCAACACCTAATTAGCTCTCCGACAACAAGGATGCTGATGTTACGCTCGCCCTTCGCAGCTTCCGCGAAGGGGACAAGGTCAAGGCCGTCATCCTCTCCATCGACCAAGAGAAGCGTCGCATATCGTTCGGTCTCAAGCCGTCCTACTTCGAGGAAAGGGATTTTGAGCAAGACGAGTCTGAGGACGAAGAGGAAAGAGAGTCTCGGTCGTCCTCCGCTCTCGGCGTCGTCGAGGATGACGATGACGATGACGATGACGATGACGATGGGGGCGTGGGCGAGGACGAGGAAGAGGTGGGCGCCATCGAAGCTGAAGGCGATGAGCTAACTGCGGGTATCAACGGCGACGAGGACGACGAGGACGACGAGGCAGACGAGGCAGACGAGGCAGACGACGAAGCCGGAAGGATGGATGTCGACCTTACTCTCGACCTGCAGAAGCCTTCAGGAAGCTCCTCGGCCCCTTCAACGAGCGGGCCAAAGGAATCTCTCCGCCTCAATGGCGGATTCCAGTGGGCCGCTCCTGGTCCTTCTGAGGATGTCGAGATGGGCTCCGACCAGGATAGCGACGAGGACGTCCAGCAGGAAGGGAAGAAGAAAAAGAAGAAGCGCAAGGAGATCGAGCAGGACTTGACCGCGGACATGCACACCAGGGCTCCCGAGTCCAACTCCGATTTCGAGCGTTTGCTTCTTGGCTCTCCGAACTCATCCTACCTTTGGGTCCGGTACATCGCGTTCCAATTGCAGATCTCGGAGATTGACAAGGCGCGTGAGATCGCAAAGCGTGCGCTGAAAACGATCAACTTCCGCGAGGAGCAGGAGAAGTTGAACGTCTGGATCGCGCTGCTGAACTTGGAGAATGTCTACGGGACGGAGGAGTCGCTCGAAGCAACATTCAAAGATGCCGCCCGTCACAACGACTCCAAGACAATCCACCTCCGTATGGCGGAGATTTTCGAGCAGAGCGACAAGCTGGAAAAAGCCGAGGAGCAGTACAAGAAGACCTGCAAGAAGTTCTCCCAGAGCTCGAAGGTTTGGTCACTCTTTGGAGAGCACTACCTCAAGCGTGGTATGCTTGAGGAAGCGCGGAAGCTCCTCCCTCGCAGCCTCCAGAGTTTAGAGAAGCGTAAACGTAAGTAGTAACCGGTGCCAAAATCATGGTCTCTGAGTGCCTATTCGTTCTACAGACCTGAAGACTATCTGTAAATTTGCACAGCTGGAGTACAAGCTTGGTGACCCGGAGCGAGGGAAGACCATCTTCGAGGGCATTGTCGACTCGCACCCCAGGCGATGGGATATGTGGTCAATATACATGGATATGGAGGCTGGCCAGGGAGATATCAATAGTCTCAGGTAAGCTGTGCATTCGCCTGGATAGCGGATGGAACTAACGTAGTTTCACAGGAACCTCTTTAACCGCGTCTTGACCCTTAAAATGACAAGTCACAAAGCGAAGTGAGTTGTTTCCATTCGTCGCCTATTTCATGCAAGCTTACCCCTTCTGTAGGTCATTCTTCAAGAAGTGGCTTGAACTTGAACGTCGACTCGGCGACGAGGAAGGAGCCCACGCGGTCAAGACAAAAGCGATCGAATGGACACAACGTGCGGCCGGTACTTCCGGAGAGTCGTAGTCTTTCATACGTCCCATTTGTAGCATAGGATCTTCCGCGTGCATACATCTCACCCCATACATTTCATTGCATCATCTAACACGGCGAGTGTGGGTCGTAAATTAGTATATTCAATCGCAACTATACCGCATAGACAGCAAGGGACATTAACATTATGATACTGAGATGGAGACGAGCGAATGGACGAAACGAGCGTGCGCAACCAGGACAACTGATATAAAGGTAGGGTATATGCCAGCATAAATACTACGTGAAGGGGGTTGTCATGAGCGCGACCGGGCTCGTTCATGACCGAGAGAAGGCGAATCGTATTCTAGGACTGGCCTGCGATTGCTCATGGAACTGGCGAGCTGTCGCTGCCAATCATCCAACTCGCTTGACAAGTGCTCGAACGCCATGGCGTTTTCTGAGCTCGAAGTGCTAGCACGGCGTTCCGAAATGCCAGACATGGGACGACCATGGCCGAAAGAAGGCTGGTCGACGGCGAGGAGAAGCTCGATTTTATGTGAAAGCTGATCGTTCTCGCGCTTGAGATTGGTGTTCTCGTTGCTGAGCTGCTCGAGAAGCGTTTCATCGTGACCGCCGCGCGCGATGACGAGCGAGTTCTGCAGGCGCTCCACGTCTTGCTCGAGCTCCTCGATGCGGGATAGTCGTTCGTCAGACTCGCGCTGGGACTGGATGACGTTGTCCCGCATGTGTTCGAGATCCTGTTCGAGGCTATCTATCCGGTTGCGCAGGTCCTTGTTGTCGTTGTTGAGACGCTGGACCTGACGCTGAGCATCCTGCAGCTGGTTGCGCAAGAACTCGTTGCTGTCGTCTGACGAAGGCGTCCCACGGCCGTTGAGCCCTCGCAACCTCATGCTTGGTGATCCGCGCTCCATCTCGGCCTGCATGCTCTGATTCAGAGTCTTCTGCTTCGTCAGCTCATCCTTCATCTTGCGCATCGTTTTCTCAGTTGCCCTGCGACGATTTAGTACAAGGAAGACCGCGAGAGTAACGAAATACTCACTTAACGTAATGAACGGCGAGCTGATAGTCCTCCTCGAGTTGCTGGAGCCGAGCCTTGTACGAGCTCTCGGTCTCCTCCAGCTTTTGCTCCAATTCGGAAATGCGCACCTCGGAGCCGCTATCGTGGCCGTTGCGGCGCGATGGGCTCTGTGTGGTGCGAAGGCGGTCCAATTGCGCCGAAAGCGATTCAACCTGCGCGTCGACATCCTGCTTCTGGGAGAGAAGCGTTTGGAGCTCGCGCTCAGCGATCTCGTGCGCCCGCGTACGCTCTGCAAGCCTGTCCTCGAGTTCCTGGATACGAGCAGACATAACGTCATCAGCCTTGAGCGGATTCCCGTCATCGTCCTCGGCGACGACGCCGTTAGCAGCGAGGTAGGAGCGCATAGCATCCATACGCATGGCAGCGGCAGAAGCCTCCTTGCTCTTCGCTTGAAGCTCAGTCTCCTTGGCGAGCAGATCCTTGTGCAGGCGTCCGCTGTCGGCAAGGGCGATGGAGAGCTGCGTGCGGAAGCCGACGACCTGGGAACGCAGAGAGAGGGTCTCTGTCTCCGCCTCGCGAGCCTTCTGACGCTCCCTGGAGAGCTCCTCCTGGGCTTCTTCGGCGCGACGCGAAGTGTCTCTGAGCATGTCACGAAGGGAGGAGACCTCGTTCTGAAGGGCGTTGATCTTCTCTGAGTAGCCGCGAGTGAGACGGTCCTCGTCGCTTCTGAGCTCGTGGTGAGAGTCGAGAAGCTTTCCTAAGCTGCCGGTGGTAACGGCACGGAAAGCATCGGCCTCCTCGCGAGACTTCGCCCAGAAGTTCTCAACGTCCGCGATGCGCACACGAGCAGCTTCGATCTCTGCAGTGCGCGACTCTAGCTCACCACGAAGCTCCGCGACGTCAGCCTCGAGCTGACCAATGTGCTCACGAGCACGAGCGTACTGAGCATCGACCTCATCAGCACGAGCGGACGCAGCCTCGAGAGCAGCGCGTGTCTGGTCGAGAGCACGGATGTGCTGGTCGTGCTCCCTGAGAAGGTCGTCGAGCTGAGACTGGGCCTTGATGTAGTCGGCTTCGTGCTGCTCTACTAGAGACGTCTGTGAAAGTAGGCTGTCCGATGTCTCCCTGTGCTTCGCCTCCAACTTCGCGTGGCGGTCGCGCAAGGCGTTATGAGCCTCGGTTTGCTGCTCGTGTGCCTGCGCCAAAGTGTCAGCACGCTTCGACGCATCCTCCGCACGAGCCTCTGCCTGCTCCAAGAGAGTGGTTTGCAACGAGACCGAGTCATTGAGCTCCTGGATCTTGCGGTCGCGCTCAACTTGGCCAGAAAGCGCAACAGCAAGCTGACGCTCGAGATCCGCAATGCGTTCGCGCTCAATTTTCGCGACTTCGTTGTCAGACGATGTCTCGAGAGCGGCGAGCTTAGCCCGATAGAACGCGGCCTCCTGCACGGCACTAGCGCGGACGCGTTCAGCTTCGTATACCCGGTCTGATGCGTCCTTGGCACGCTCGAGGACGGCCACCTAGCGAAGATCGGCCATGCGTTAGCACAGCTCTCCTAGTCGACTCGCATATCGTGCACGTACCTGAATCTTAGCCTTCAATTGCTTGAAGTTGATCACCATCTCTGTGACCTTCCTGCTATCAATGTCGTCATCGTCCGCGCGCGAGGACAGCTCCTCTTCTGACTCGGCGTAGATGAACCCAGAACGTTCCGCTTTCAGTAGGGCTGCCTTCATCCAAGCCTGCTTCTTCTTCAGTGCCTCTACCTCAGCCTCCTTGTCCTTGAGGTCGCGGATCAGGTCGGCGGTGAGGTTGCCAGTCGATCCTGGTTTCACAAAGCCGTTCACGGTAGGAGAAGCGGGGGCCCTGTTGTGGAAACTCTCGAGGGGGCTCTTCGCCCGCTCTACAACCACCGGCGATGGACTGCGAGCATTAACGCCGTTGCGCTGCATGATGACACTCGCCAGACTAGCTTGAGGACCAGCAGGATCATACATCTCGGCGGCTTGGGAGGGGGACACAGCACGGCTCGCGCCCATGTTGGTGGGGCTCTTCGCCCGGCCGCCGTCGGGGGAGACAGCATTCTCGCGCATACCCGAAGACTCCACGGTGTCAGGGCTACTCTCACCGACATCATAACCCTCGTAATCTCCGTCGCGTGCCTTGACCTTGCCTTTGCTTGACAAGGACTGGGTTCCGTTCACGAGCAGCTGTCGTCCGGTCGGAGAACCTGCCCGCCGCGCCTCATCGTTATCGATGACCTTGTCATATGGAGATTCTTCTCGCGGCTGGAGAGGTGCACCAGCATCACCGCTGGGTCTCTGCACCGGTTGAGGCTGAGCACTGACCGATTTTCGCCCATTCACTGCTGGTGGGGGTGGCTTGCTCGAGTCCGGGTATTTGATATGCTCTGATGCGCTCCAGATGAGATTCGACCATGCAGATTACGTGGAGACAAACTCACTTGTGTCAAGCACATGAATGATCGAGGGGTCCTCGGGCTTCTGAGGGTTTAGCGACTCGCCGCCGAGACCCCCGAGCACAAACACTCTCGAGCCCATGGATGCCATCGCATGACCCGATCGTGGCGACGGCGCAGGTCCCATTTTCTGAAACATGTACCACCGCTGGTCTGGAGATTCGATGTCAGAAGAGGCGCCCGTTGTCGCGAGCGACCACGGCACTTACTAGACACCTTGAAGGCACCGAGGTCTCCAAGGTCTTTCCCATCAACACCTCGACCACCAAAGACATAAACGACGTCGTCGACCATGGCCGCGGAGTGGCCCTCTCGTGGGGAAGGAATGAAGCCGATGCAAGTCAACTCGGTCCACGTCTTGGTGTTGGTATCGAACGCCCAGGTATCGTTGTAGTGGTACTGGCAGTCCGTTCCGCCGAATCTGGAGAGCCGGTGTTAGTACAGGCCATACACGGTTTAGTGAATGGAAGTAAGTCACGTACAAGATGATCTTCTCGCCGTACGTCACACAGATGTGGCTTGTTCGCTTGGGGGGGCGAGGCGAGCCTTCTACGGGCTCGACCAGCTCCCACGTAGCCTTCGTTCTCACTGAGTGACGGGAGAAGCGGGAATGAATATCGAGCCGTCCGCACATGTTTGAGAGCAGTGCAGGATCAGCTTACGTGAGTTGAGGTCGAAGGACCACAGGTCGTTTAGGAATTCCCCATCCACTTGCCCACCAAAGACGTAGAACTTCGAGCCCACCATTGTCACCGCATGACCATAGCGGCCTACTGGCGAAGGGCCGTAGACAGCGACTCGGGTCCATTCGCGTGAGACTGCATGCACGTAAGAGGCGATCAGTGAAGTCGAGGCTCGACACAACGCACCGAGGTTGAGCAGGTATAGCCCATCGTCCTGCTTATCTCCCGGCTTCGCCTTCGAGCTCGTCTTGGTGTCGCCTCCCCACACAATCAGAACACTCCCAACGAGAGCGCTGGCATGACCAACACGGGGCGACGGGATCTCTCCCGTCGTTTGCAGCAGCGTCGCAGACAGATCCCTTGTAGAGATGAGGTAGAGGTCGTTTCGCACCGTCTCTCGCACAAGACCGCCGAAGAGGAACAGCTCTCCAGACGTCGTCGCATTCGCAGGCAGCGCATGGCCATATCTGGGGAAGGGCGATGGCGACGCTGCGGTGGGCGGCGCGACGCCTGGCTTGGGAATCGTCACCGGTGGGGGGAGCTGGAGGCGGCGCTGTGACCATGGATAAGCTGGTCGCTGGCCTGAGCTTGACTGCTGGCCTTGCTGGCCGCCTGGCGGGGCCGCGGGAGCAGGGTTCGTGCTGTTCGGTGCCGGTGGCGGGGCCTGCCCACTGCGCTGAGCTGTCTGGGTGATGCCTGGCTGGACACCGTTGATGGCGGGGGAGGGGCTACCGCGGCCATTCAGACCACTATGTCGGAAGTGATTAGAGCGCGGCCCATTGTACGCTTGGGAAAGGCGAGCGGGCATGGTGTGGGGCCAGACGGGGGAGCGATGAGTACACACCTATCGTAGCTGGTCTCCTTAGATAGTTGCTTTTGAGGCTGTTGCTGTTGCTGGCCCGTCGAAGGCTGCTGTTGGATCTGGGCGAGGGCAGCGCTCGCAGGTGATGGTGCAACAGAAGTGCTGGCCTGTTGTTGAGTATGCTTCTTCCTACTGAAGAAGGACATTCTTCTGCTGCGCCCCCCGAAGATGGACTGTATGGCTGTAAAGTGAAAAGAACGACGGATAGGGGGGGAGTGAGGAGGAAATGGTCGAGCGCCGCAGGCCCGCCTGGAGGGTGGATCGAATGCGGCAAAGTAGAAGGAGAGCAGGGACTCGTCCCTGGACAGCAACCGCCCAGTCACCCGTCTTCCTCACAACGCGTCTAGCAACCGCCTCCGCTGATAGCCGTCCTCCTCCCCCCATTCTCCTCCTAGGCACGGGCTGATATCCATAAACATCACACCCAAACCCCCGCACGCCTTCAGCCACAGCACATTTCACCACAGCATCGTGTAGTCGGTCCAGGCGACTTTCCCGTCATTCTGCCTTGTGGGAAACGAAGCGTCGCAGGCATTACCGCAATTGTCAGCAGGCGTACGCATAACGCAGACCATCCCCAAGCCGCCATCGGTATTGGATGACGTGCCACACAATCCCTGGCCAAGTTGATGCAGACTGGAAAGCTTCACCAGTGTACGCTGAATATAATCATGCCGTGCAAATCCCGCTGACGAACTGAAAACCTTGTTAATCATACCGCCGATGCCGGGAAGTTAAGAACCTTGCACAAGCGTCTCGAGTAATTGTAGGACTGGGATTCCAGACACACAGAGCACAGATTGACATAATATAAGGGATTCTCTTCATGTAAGTCAAAAGGAAGTGGTGTTGTCAGCTGCCGCTGGAGGCGGCACAGAGAAGGCAGCGTAGAAGCCTTGACAAACTAGGAGCTAAGATACGGAATATAAGCTGACAGACGGACCAAACACAGCGGTCCGGAGAGGCAGATGGCGAGGTCATGCGCCTGCGTGTTTGCGCAGCCTTCAGCTACGAGGAGGGGGGGCAGGCGGTCCGGAGAAAACGCGCGGACGTTCGCAGGATGTCCAGGGGCTGATGCAGGACTTATGGAGACGATGGGAGAGGATGTTCAAATCGGTAACCTGCAGTACGGCATCAACATCTCAATTTCGTCTGTTGCGCCGAGATGACAAACACACTCAAAGGATACTGCAGCAACTCCTTCCGTGCTCTTGTAGACAAGCGACTTGAAGTACTATGCGCTCATTCACTCATTCCAAGTGATGATGTCGTCTTGGTCCTCTGAGTCGTGGTCCCGCTTCCTGTGGGCCATTACGCGCTCTCGAGAGGGAAAAAGCCGGTAACAATTATCCAGAGCGCAGATGTAAATGGGCGTCCTGATCGTGCGGTTATATAGAGTAAGGTATCTTGCCGACTGCATACGTACTCTGAAGGATTGGTTATGCGGGCCATGCCCGCATTCACTTGCTCAGGTGTGGTTGTAACTGTTCATCCGTCAATATAGCGGATAAAGATGTTCAAGTAGTCGTATTGTGCATACCATCTTGAACTGCTGGCACAGAGGGGAGAACGGAGGGCAGCTTGGGGTGTTGCCATTGGGTGCCGGTCATGACGACGGTTTGGAACCAGTGCACGCTCGCCGTTCCTGTAATGGGCGCTTGCAATTGCAGGTGTGCGATCCACGTGTAGACCAAATAGGGCCACACAAACGCGGTAACTTCATTAACACGCTTGACAATTTCTGCTGTCGAATCCAAGCACTGGTCGCGTCGAGAGCTGGTAGTGACATGGAATTTGGCGGTCGCATCGACGCCGGTTCCAAGTCCTATGTCAGGTCAACGCGCATCAGACCACCCACACCGCAAAGGCCGCGAGGCTCACCCCGAACAGGATGTCGTCGCCTTTCGAGGGGACACATCCGCATTCGTGAGCGGGCTAAGGTCTGAGTATTCCAGTCTCCCTCGCTCGACTCTAGACGGGTCGTGTCTGTGAAGACACAGCGGCGCACCAGAAATCCTCCCCAAGCCCCGCCCTCACGGGTGGAGGTCGGTGCTCGCAAAGCGGGTATCCGGCCACCCCAAGAACCGTCCTGCAGTGGTCGGGGAGGGTTCGCAGCAAGGAATTGAAAGCGTCGCGGAGACCGGGCGCGCTGCCTTGCTCGCTCTGCTTCAACGCTATCGCGGTCCATTCGCGTTACTGCTCTCGTGGCACGTACGCGCCAAACTGCCTTTGTTGTGTTTGGCTCAACGGTGGAGTGTTGATCCTAGTAGCGCAAGCGCTGATCACATGTCCACCGCGAGACCTACGAGGTCGTTTGGCAGCAGAGAAGAATCCTCGAGGCACGCGTCCTTGAGTGCACTTCGCGGCTCGCTAATGGCACTTCGTGTGCCAGGTGAAACTCGATTCAGACTACTCTTGCGCTGTGGTGCTTTGCACCGAATTTTTCTTCCCAGTGCACTCTTCGCGAGAGCTTTTCCGACAACCTGTTTCGTAACGGGTGTACGATTATTCCCCCTTGTCTGTATAGTACTCATCTACGGGTATAGCAATATGTTTCTCTGTTCCATCCAAGTATCTGCTAGCCACAAAGAGGACCGACCGGCCTTCCTTGGTCCCGCTACTCTCACCAATCGACCAACGGTCGGCCAAGGATCGTGAAGCTCGGACTCCGGTTCCCTGAATCGCCGATTACTACATATACGGGCTTGGAGTCAGCATATAGGTAAGTCGACGCCCGCGTTTCACTCACAGACGACAAAATAATGGTTCGACGGCTTGACCGCAGGTACCTTGACCTTGACGGACCCCTGCGTCAGGTTGAACCCCTCCGCCAGGGGGTGTTCTGCGCAGACGTCAGTCACGCTGCTCCTCCTTCCCCGGGGCCGCCCTCACCGTAGTCCAGGTGCTCGTCCCCGTCCCCGCCCTCCTCCCACCCCAGGAGGACCCTCCCTGCGTAGCTCGTCACCTCCCCCGGCGGATCGGCGGTGTCCCTAGTGCAGAAAGCGCAACACGGCGTCCAAGTCAAGTCCGAAGCGCATCGCCCACGAGCGCACAGGGCCCACGCACCATCTGACGGCCACAGTCGAGCCCGCCGTCCAGACGTCCCGCGCGTTTGGCGAGAATATCTCCGGGCTCCACACGTCGCGCGGGACGAGCGCCGCGTCGTCGGCCCCTGCGGCGGCGGCGGCGGCGTCCGTGCCGTTCACCCCCGGGTACGTCGCCGCCGCGGCGTGCGCGAGTCTGCTGTCGGTCTCGTTCCGCGCGGCGGTGAGGTTGAACTCCTGGGGCATGTAGAGCGCGTGCGCGGTACGGGGGCATGCGGTGAGGGCGGAGAGCGCGAGGAACAGGCCGAAAGCGTGGAATGCAATGCGGAGGACGATCATGCTTGCGGCCAGGCAACCAGAGAGAGAGCGTAGCGAGTGAACGTAAACGACGAGGGAAGTATAACGGACAGACAGACAGGGGGAGAGGCTAGCAAGGACACGACGTCGCGTCCTGCCGGTCGTCTCCCTTGGTTCGTTTTGTGATAGTGATCGAGACGGAGGTGCGCTGGCGTTTGGGCCCGGTGTGCACACCCCAGGGATCGACGTCTGCCCTATGTGACTAATGGCAATGTTATATGTATTCTGTTTCCAGCCCCCTTAGGAACATGTGAGAGCAGAGCCGACGCGAGACAAGACCTAATAAGCACGAGTACCACGGATACGACCACACGCAGAACTACTATACATATCTGCCAAAGCTAACAGTCTAGTTGACGAGCGTCTATCTCATCCAAATTCGCAGTCGTACAAGTACACGCTGGATTTGTCATCAGTGGAAATGAGAAAGGAGGGTGGGGTTCGAGAACGAAAGACGAAGTCAATAACTTAACTACAAGACGGCTAAAGAGAGCAACGTCGGAAGCGGAAGTCCCGGTCTCCCCGCCGGGTTATATGGTGGAAGTTGTAACGAACGAAAAGGATATTGGGGGGGAGGGTACTGGCCGTGTGCAGGGACTCGATCGTAGTAAGGGGATACGTCAAGAGAGGCCAAGTGAGAAAGTAGAGCCGTCATGGCCGGTCTTGTGCCTGGCGTATCCGTATCGGGAAGAAAGGACGAGAGACGATCCTAGGCGACGAGCCTCCTCTCCCGGGGCGGCGACAGCCTGCTCGACGGATACCTGATGTTATCTGCAGAGGCCAGGCGCACACGAAGAGTCAGCCATGATCCAGATCCACGCCACGCCGCCCACACAGCCGACACGACACGTACTCGTCTCCAGAACATGCAGCACGTCCGCCTCCCCCGCGCCCCCCTCGCACACGCCCCCGAGGACGTACACCTTCGAGCCGACGGCGGCCATGCCGTGCCCGGAGCGCGGCGCGGGCTCGGGGCCCATGTTCTGGAACGTGAACCAGCGCTTGCTCGAGATCTTGAACGCGGCGAGCTCGCCGATGTCCGCGCCGCGCACGCCGCGGCCCCCGAAGATGTACACGATGTCGTCGACAAGCGCCGCGGCGTGGCCCTCGCGCGGCGCGGGGATGTAGCCCGTGCAGGGCAGCTCGCACCACGCCTTCGTCGTCGTGTCGAACGCCCAGGTGTCGTTGTAGTGGTACCGGCGGTCCGACCCGCCGAAGCTGTGGGTGGTTAAACGCGTGAGCGAAGAGAGAACGGGGAGGGGAGGACGCGAGCGCCGTGTGGTTAAGCGGGACAGGCGGGCGGGGAACGTACATGATGAGCTGGTCCTTGTACGCGACGCAGATGTGCCCTGAGCGCGGCGCGGGCTTATCTCCGGCACCCTTGGGCAGCTCGATCTGCTCCCAGGCGGGCTTCGAGACCACTGTCGACATGCGCACATGTTCAGATTCCAGCCCGACTGTCGAGAAGGAGGACGAAGATTTCACGTACGCGTGCTCAGATCAAAGCACCACAAGTCGTTGAAGAGCCTGCCATCGGCCTCCCCGCCAAAGACGTATATCTTCGGGCCGATCATGACGACCGAGTGGCCGATGCGCCCCTTGGGTGCGGCGCCGCTCACGGTGATGCGGGTCCACTCTCGGGACACTGTCCGGGTCTGTTTTCAGCACGTTTCCCACACACACATAGGGTGCGAGGAACCCGACGAACCGAGGTTGAGGAAGTACAGCCCGTTGTCGTACTTTGCCCTGGCCTGCAGCTGGTTCGACGACGCCGAGGTCGTGTCTCCGCCCCAAACGACGGCGACACTGCCCGCGCACGCGCCCGCCTGGCCGAACCGCGGGGGCGGAATGTCGCCGATGGTGTACATGCGGGTGACAGACTGGTCCTTGACGGAGACGGTGTACACGTCGTTCTTCGCACGGTCGTTGACGAGCCCCCCGAAGAGGTTTAGGGTGCCGCGGGACGACCCTGAGGTCGACAGGGCGAAGTCGCTGCGGGGGAAGAGCGACGGCTGCGCCGCGGTGTACTTTGAGGTGCTGTCTGGGGAGTGAAGCCTCCGGCGGTACCACGGGTAAACAGGCTCAGGATCTTCGAGCTCCGGCTCCGCTTCGGGCGTCGAGAGCGGCTTCCCTTGAACCTTCGTCTCCTCTAGCGATGCTTCCTGGGCCTGGGGTTTCGGCTCCGCCCTGTGAAGCGGCTTCTCCTTGGGTTGCTCTGCGACTCGTCCGTTCACGGCCGCCTTGTGAGCGGAATCAAGGGGGAGGGGCGGAATTGACTCTTTGGACGAGAGCGGAGGGGAGTCGATGAGGAGGACGTCGAAAGCCGCATATTTCTGGGACTTGGGTTGCGGGCGGACTTCGAGGAGAGTCCTGATGGATGCGCGATCGTCAGTGACGGCGATCACGGTACGAGACGAGAGACGGACGTACTGGTCGCTATCGGTTGAGTCGCCCCGCGACAGTTTGGTTTTCTTGGCGAAAGCAAGGTCGGAGTAGCTCTTTCTAGCAGTGAGGCGGCGGAGAAGGGGGGGAGGGGAGGGAGGAGACCACAATTTCATCGGGAGAGTAGAGGGGGGAAGGAGGAGGGGGTAAGGAGAGGAGAGGGCGGGAAGAAGAGGAATATGTGGGCGGGAAAAGTCGCGCGGGGGGCGGACAGGGACAGCGGGTGCATGGGCGACAGGATTAAGAGCGCAATCTAGGTGTGGGACAGATGGATCTGGAGATGGACACAGCATCATAGTGTGATTATAGAAGTCGGGCGAATCGAGGCACGAGTCGGGCTGGGATCAGGGATGGGCATCTGGCAAGGGAAGCGACAAGTTCCAAGATATGATACGGAAGTCGGACAGGGCGGTAATGCTGAAGAGCATGGGCATTTCGCGGGGCCTCATGGGATCCTGCGAGCGAGGCAGGAGGAGAGGTGTGCAAGTAGAAACGGTTTCGGGTGTACTAGCACTGGACGGTTGATGGGATGCGATGGTGGCGGCACCGGCGGCTACGCGACGCCTATGGATATTGGGCGCGTGACGTGACGGTCACCTCGCTGGTTGACCCAGTGCGTATGTTTGGGGAATGCAGGCAGCAGACAGCGCTGGTCAGCTCGATGGCGTACTCCTCCCCGCTGACGACCCCTCCGCTGACGACCCCTCCGCTGACTCTCAACCGCGCGACATCTCGGCCAGACTGCGCTCCTTCTTTCCACCATCACACTCTCCGACTGTCTCCCTCGACGATCCTCCCGAGTCCTCCATGAGGACTCCACGCTCCCCCCCAGTCACTAACCTCTCCTCAGTCTCAGTACACCCATCCTCTTCCCAACGACGTTCGACAGCCCAATCTCCCACGTCACCCTCCATGAACCTCACCCGACCCCAGTCCGCCGCCGAGGACTACTCCGCTGCTGCACAGAAGCGCAAGCGTCCCAGCCAACCTGCTCTTCCCATCCTCCGCTGGTTCTCCCCCAAGAATGCCGGAAAAACCGCCTCCTCAAACCCTAACTCCCCCGTGCGCTCGCGACCACCCACCCCGTCCGCCAGCCGATCTGATACCCCTGGCCCGTCAACGCCCACCACCCCTCCCTCCGCACTCTCCGCGCTCGCAGATGCGTTCGCAGATGATCCACATCTCTTTGCGCACTCGCGCAGCAACTCGGACGACATCAGACTCCCATCCAGGCCGGCGGCGGCCCGTTTGCAGTCCGCCCTCCAACGTCCGTCCTACTTCTCCAATCTCACGCGGACCACCATGCCCACCGCTTGCCTGTCCCCGCCCGTGACAGCAGCGTATGTCAGGCCCGGCTACACGGACCCCTTCGAGGACCCGTTTGCGTGGCCGCCGCGCGACCAGGACCAGCAGCAGCAGTCCGATTTGGACCTCCTGCTGAGCCCGACCCCCATCCCCCTTCCGATGCCCCACACGCCCGCGCCTGTCCATCTGAACAGCTCGCCGCCATCCAGCTCCTCTGTCGAACAGCTCCGGCACATCCATGAACGCAGCAGGAGCAGGAGCATCCACACATCCGCTTCCCAGGGCTTCAACTTCCCGCAGCTGCCGAACCTTCGCTCCTGGTTCTCGTCAGAAGAGGGTGGGAACGGCGACAAGGAGAACCTTAATCCTATGTTGAGCGACGAGGACAAGGCAGAGACGGCGGCGGGAGAGCGGGAAAACATCAGGCGCAAGTGTACGTCCCCGCGCACGCCAGCACGCGGTTCCCTGTGATCCTGGCAGCAGATCATCTGACTTCCTGTTGTGCATCCGCACGCTTTCGTTTCGTTGACAGATGTCTCGACGAAGAACCCGCTCGTGTTCTGCCACGGCCTCCTGGGCTTCGACACGGTCACGCTCGGCCCGGCGATCGCCCCTTTGCAGGTCCAGCACTGGAGAGGGATCAGGGACGCTTTAGAGACGAACGGGATCGAGGTGCGCTTCGCCGCTTCGAGCATCGTAATCCCCTCCAGAAGGCAGTCAAAGTACTCATAACGCGGATGCGCTATCAGGTTCTCACCACACGCGTTCCCGCGACGAGCTCGCCCATCGACCGCGCCAAGGTTCTGTGCGAGAGGATCGCGGAAAAGTACCCCGGGCGCGCGGTGCACCTCATTGGTACGTGCCACAGTCGCCGTCCCTGCTGGCGTGCTCATGCGGACCCTAGGATAATCGCATCCCACAGGACACAGCATGGTACGTCGCGCGCTTTCCTCCAGTTCCCAATCCGGCCCTGCGCTCCGAACTGCCGGTCTTCCTTTCCTTCCCCGTCGGCTGGGGGAGGACATTGCATCCAAACGCTTCGTGCTTGCTGACACGCTTGTTGGACAGGGCGGCATCGACTGCCGCTACCTGACGACGCACCTGACGGACCGGCCGTTCGACGTGCTGTCGGTGACGACGATCTCGTCGCCGCACCGCGGGTCCGCGTTCGCGGACCACTTCCTCGAGACGGTCGGCAAGGAGCGCATGCCGTCCGTGCTCGCGCTGCTCGAGCTGCTCCCGAACGGCGGCGGGGACGGGAAGGCGTTCGAGTTCCTCACCGCGGAGAACATGCGCAGGTTCAACGAGAGCACGCCGGACGTGCCCGGCGTGCACTACTTCAGCTGGGGCGCCGTGTACGAGCCCGGGCTGATCGATACGTGGAAGTGAGTCTTTTGTTGCCGTCGTTGTTGGTTCTTGCATCCCTCGTGGTTCTAGCCAGTCAGTTTGTCTGTTCGTCTGTCTGTTTGTGTGTGATGTTCCACCCGCTGCGCCTTGCCATTTTCGTTTTGGACTACTTCCATCGTTGCCGGGCGCTGCGGATTTCTGTTTTTGATCGTCAGTAGTTGGTAGACTGGAAGCTGATGCGCGCGTTACGTTCGCAGGTGGCCGCACTCGGTCGTGTACGAGAAGGAGGGACCGAACGACGGCCTGGTCTCGCTCCAGTCCGCGAAGTGGGTACGTAAACCCCTGTCGTCCTTTCCCCTCCTTATTACTCCCGACGACCGGCGTTCCGTACACTCGTCAATTCACCCACTGCACGTCTCACCAACCTCATTAATGACAGGGCACGTACTTGGGCACGCTCGAGGGCGTGAACCACCTCGACCTCGTCGGCTGGATCAACACCGCGCGGTACAAGTGGGCGGAGATCATGGGCCGTGAGATCAAGTTCAAGCCCGCGACGTTCTACCTCGGCATCGCGGACCACCTCGCGCGCGTCGTCGAGGGCCAGGAGCAGGCGCAGCCCGAGCAGGGCGGGAGCGGGAGTGGGCGCGGGCGGGGGAGCGCCGAGCGGCCCGAACGGGAGCGGGAGAGGGAGACGAGCAGCGAGCGGAGGGGGCGCGAGCGCGCGGAGATGGCGGACAGTTTGGGGAAGGGGGAGGAGTCGAGCGCGGGCCCGAGCGGGCGGGGGGACGCGCCGGGGGCTGCTGGTGCGCGGAGGCAGTCTCCGTCCCAGGATGAGCCCGAGCGGGCGGTGTCGGATGTGGACGATGGGTCGCGCGCACTTCCGGAGGCTCAGAAGAGGAAACAGAAGGAGAAGGACCCGGGTCGTCCGAGCTGACAACGTTCATTCGGGGATTGTCGCTGTGGACTGTCCTCTGCTGTTATACCACACCGCAACCCCCCGCACGACGTCACGGCGAGGGCTGTGTGAACGCACACACATGCTAACAATCTGTAGTTTATAATGTCCCTGTACGGTAATGCTAATCGCTACCACGGCCTGCGCAAGCGAACGTGCGCCTCGCGATTTCAGGAGCCTCGGAGTGCCGACGCTACCGTACGCTCCCGAGAGAAGGCGGCAGGATGAGAAAGATGAGCAAGCTGGACAGAAGTGCGTCCCATGGCCATGTTCATGGGACCAGGCAGAGGCGACCCGCGCGAGGGACGGAGTGCAGAATTCGAGAGGGTCCGGGGCGGCGCGCGACGAGCGCTGTCGTCAATCGGCGGTGGGACAGTTCGCGAACCCGGCGCGTCCAGCTGAATGTGCGTGCTTTGTGCAATCGATCGTCCCGTCCATATCCTGCTCCACTCTTTGCTTACTACCACGTACCCGTCGCGAATTCTCTCTGTGCTGGTGCGAACAAATGGCTCTCGAGCAGCTCTCAACGAACAAGGTCTTCGACGGCCAGCTTGTCAAGTACAGGTTCAAGGTGCGATAGAGAGCCGATGACGTCGTCTATATGTGTATACGAGGCTGGAGGGCGCTGATCACGACGCCGGCTACCGCGTTCTCTTCTCTCGTGCGGCAATTCCTCCACTCGCGACGCTCCGTAGTCTGCCGCACTGGGCGGGCTCAACGCGCAGTTCAACCTCTTCGTTCCGGCGAACGCGAGCGAGGCGAACAAGGTGCCCCTGTTGACCTACCTCTCCGGCCTGACATGCACGGAAGACAACGCGTGAGTGCTGCGAGTGCATCCAGGCGAGGCGGAGATTCGCTGACGGCTTCCCTGTCCGTACCCCCATGCAACTCCATACACAGGGCGCAGAAGGGCAACTTCTTCGGCGCCGCGGCGAAAGAGGGCATCGCGATCCTCTTCCCGGACACTTCTCCGCGCGGCGCGGGGATTGAGGGCGAGACGGACAGCTGGGACTTCGGTGTCGGTGCGTATTTACTGCTACTGCTGCTGCTGCTGCTGCTGCTGCTGCTGCTGCTGCTGCCGAGCCCCTCTATCGTGCTTACTGAAACATGCCCCGGAAGGCGCGGGCTTCTACGTGAACGCGACGCACCCCAAGTGGTCGAAGCACTACAACATGCTCACGCACGTAACGATCGAGCTCCCCCAGGTCCTCGAGGCCGCCGCGCTCCCGCTTGTACGTCCTTCTCTTCCTATCGCCACTAGTGCCATCTGCACACCGCGCTTATGTATCTCCTTCTGCGCTGATACTGTTCCGGGATATGTTACCAGGACTTCAGCCGCCAGTCCATCTTCGGGCACTCGATGGGCGGCCACGGGGCGCTGACGCTCTATCTCAACTCCATCCTGAGTGGCGTCAAGCAGTACCGCTCCGTCTCCGCGTTCGCGCCCATCGCGAACCCGATCAACTGCCCGTGGGGCCAGAAGGCGTTCAACGGGTACCTGCAGGGCGGCATTGAGGAGGCCAAGGACAAGTACGACGCGACGGAGCTCATCAAGAAGCTCAACAAGGCGCCGGTGCACATCCTCGTCGACTACGTGAGTTCTGGGGACGTGCCGTTGGAGGGAGAAGGCACGGTCGGTTGACGTGCCACTCGCATTGCAGGGCACCGCGGACAACTTTTATAAGAGCGGCCAGCTGCTCCCGGAGAACTTCTTGAAGGCTGCGCGCGACGCCGGCTATGACGAGGTGCAAGTCCGTGTACGATCGCAGGACGGCTATGACCACAGCTACTACTTTGTGAGCCATGTTATCCTCTTTCCGTGGCATGTGGGAACTTACCGTTATATGTGGGGCAGATGTCGACCTTCGGAGCAGACCATGTTCACTGTAGGTATTTCAATTGTAGCACACCCTGGGTATGCTGCTGACATAGGCGATAGTCCACGCCAACTTCCTGAAGGCATGAAGAGACATGTGGGATGGAAGCGGATGAAGTGCCAATTGCTGTATAATTTACATGAAGTTCAGAAATCTGTATCGATGTAGCTACGGTGAGAGAATGTGATACATCATCACCCGTATGGTCACTTTGTTGGAGCACTTGAAGTGTGTAGTTACAAACTGAGACCAGTATAGCCGACGCGAGAGTGCCACAGTCACTAGCCGCCGACGATGCCTGTAACGAGTCGCCTGTCGCTAGAGTTTACACAGAGCCAATCCGAGATCGATACGCGAGCTCTAGGTCCAGCAACTCCGCGGTCAGCCACTCGTGTCTAAGAGCTGTTTGGGCAGTAGCGCGATCCATAGGATCGTAGACGAGCAAGTCACTACAGAGATCCCGGGCTATTGTAAGGCAAGTTCAGTCATCTTCACTCGGAAATCGAGCGCACAATCAACGTACCTCGCGGCATTTTGTCCCATACCGGGGAAGGAAACTCAACCTCGCCGTGAACAATACGTCGCTTGACCAGCTGGTCTGCCTGGATCGACGTCTGCGAACACTGGGAATCGTCGTAATCCTCGCCTTCGGACTCGGGCATGTATGAGTACATCTCAGATTCCCCGTCGACCTTGCCGTAATCGAAGGGATGACAACCTCTGCCATACCGTGATCACTTCGTCGCCGCAGCACCTCAATGCAAGAAAACAGGAAACGTACGCAAGCATGATATACATGATGATGCCGGAGCTCCAACAGTCGGATGGCATGCCGACATAGCTCAGGTGTTTGTGATCCAGGGCGAGGATCCCTTCAGGGGGGAGATAGGAGACCGTGCCACAGACGTTAAACGTTTCTTGATATGCCTTTGGGCGTGCGAGGCCGAAGTCGGCTATCTGAATCCGCGGATATGGTCCAGGTGCATAGAGGAGAATATTCTCAGGCTACGATTGATTGGTCAGATTGGGCTGGTGGCAACGCTGTGGAAGCCCACCTTCAGGTCTGCAAGTAGTATTGTAAGGTGAGGGGTATCTGACGCGTAGGCCAAGAGTATCGCACCTCTATGAGATATGAGCCTGTCATGGAGATATTTGAGCCCCTTGAGAAGTTGGTACATGATGTATTTGGCTTCGGCCTGACATAGCTGCGAGTCGGGATGACTGACGATGTACGAGAAGAGGTCTCCACCGGTGCAGAGCTCGAGGAAAATGTAACTATATGCGGTCACGACCGGGCCTCTGCAGTCAGAAGAGTGTAGTGACATACAGGAAATTGTCATCGTTCGTTGCCGCCCGAACAGTATTGATATTAGGCTACCGGGGGGTGTCAATAATCATGAATCATTAAGGTAGAAGTGACGTACATGGCTCAGGTTGAGGAGAATGTCTACCTCCTTCCTTATTTTCTCGATCTTGTCAGAACTCTTGCGTTTGATACACTTGCAAGCGACTTGTTTGAACGCGGAGGTATCCATAGCCAGATGAACTTCAGCGAAGCTACCGCTTCCCAGACAGTGTGACATGACCAGATAGCGATCGATTTTCTGCGAGAAGATATATGTGGCACACACCTAGACGAATCGATCGACATACATACCTTCGTCTTCAGTGTTGGCAGTGCTGGTGGGGTAGGGTCGAAGACGTTAACCTTTTTTTCCGGTTCCTTGTGCAAAACGATGCATTCGAATTCTATGAAAAGATGAGCTCAAATATCGACACGACAAGTAAGGCACATTACTTTGAGACGACGGAATTTCGAGGAGATCTCCATCCATGAGCAAGATGGACGTCTTCCGGACCCTGTGGCCATTCAAAATGAGACCGTTCGTGGAATGGTCCTAAAGGCAATCATGATCAATCGCAATGGTATTGAGAAAACCTGCCACGCATGCGCTCGTACCTGACAAGATATGATGATGCCTCCGTGACTCGAACGCACACTGTGCCACGGTTATTCAGAGTCGGGGAAGATCGCAGCCTCCGCGACTTACGCATATAGCTTGCAGTGAAGGCCGGACACCACAGCATCTGGAACAACGTATGTGCTGACAGTTCTTTAAGCTAAGCGGGGGCAACGTAGTCGATGTGAATTTACCAGCCCGGACTTCTTCCGATACTGAGAGGTTTGTTGACGCTGAGTAGGAGTACTGCAAACATATTAGTAAGTATATGCATACATTGACTGGATGCTGGTTCCACATACCATCCTTACGACCTGTGCGGGTTGTGGTAACGAACTTGGCGCATATAGTCACTGAAGGATGGGGGTCCGATTCCTCGTGATATTCATAGGCAGGCGAGCGGTCTGTCGTGCTCAGGATGGTACGAGAAGGGGGCATGTTTGGCCAGAACGATGTGCAGCAGCTTTCTGTCCCGCAGGTGAAGACGTAGAGGATGAGGAAGGAGTGGAAGAGAGCAAGGAAGAGAACTGAAGGCGGATGGCAGGCTTCTACGTCCATATTCGCGATCACGTGGCACTTCTTCGGCTCACCGAGCAAAACAGTTGCAATGATGAAACAAGTAGACAAACACAGTACATGCAACACGGGCTGGAGAGTCTAGGGCTACAGTAGGTCAGTCGATACACAACAGGGACGAACACACTCAGTCGTCGTAACCTTTCCCGCTCCTCTGCTTGACCCGCTTCATCTTCCTATGGTGCTTCTTGCCTGGTGCAACGTCGCCGCCGGCAGCAAGAACCGCAGCTATCCGCGCCCTCCGTCCAGTCAATGGGGTGCCGTCATCTGCGACCATGTTCTGGTGCGGATACAATTTCGACCTCGAAAATTCTTGTCCCTGCCCTCTTGCGCCTTGCATATGTGGACGTGACGAGAGCGTCCCATTGGCAAAGAACTCTTGATCGAGCTTCCTGCTCTTGTTGGAGGAATTTGTTGCGGGCGCGGAGTCATCGGGAGCGGCGGGTGCGACGAAAGTATCCGCCTTTATCGTAACCCGTGTCGTAGGCGCACGCTTCTTTCCCATTGCGCGACGTAAGGCGAGTTGACGTGTCTGTTCGTTGAACTCATCTTCGGGGACACCAGGCGGTGGATAGCAAAACAGGAGCTTCGCGTTAACGTAATCCTTCAGGATATACCGTGCTGCGCGAGCTTCGTCGGGATTGCCCTGTCCTGATCGAGTGAAACCTCGGGCAACTGAGAGGAAGAAGCATTCCTTTAACGGATACACTGAAGCAGCTCGGTCAAGCAGACACTCACTCGCATATGCGACAAGTAGGTCAGGGCCGCTGATCCTTCCATCACCACCCTCCTCGATACTCCTTGTCCGAATGGACAAACCATAAGTCGCTTCCAACACCTCCTTTGGGATACGTCTCACCACCAACGTCGTGGGTCCGGTGTACTCCCTCATCTGATCGATGGGTAGAACGCCGTCGCACACTAGGTCGGCTTTGGTGGTGGCGAACTGGGGAAAGACGAGACCAGGACAATCACAGAGAACTAGCGTCGGGGACAGGTGTATCGTCTGGAAGTGCTTTGTCTTTCCCGGGGTCGAGGACACGCTGACCTTCTTCTCGCCAATGAGCGCGTTGATAGTACTTGACTTGCCGACGTTGGGATACCCAACGAGACCGACGACAAGCTTCGTCGGGTGTTGACCCGAGGAGTCGGTGAATGCTGCAGCTCTGGGTCAGCGAACGCCGCACGATCTCTAGTTAATCCGCATACTTGACAGATCCGGGGCAGTCCGAAGGAACAGCTCCTCCAACTCCAGCACAGACAGCACTTTTGTTCGCGGATCCGATGCCTCTGGTTCCTCCTCGATAGGAAGAAACGCACCGCCCTCTTCAGACTGGGTGTCATCGTCCGAAGATGTCTCCTCATCTGAATCTTCAGCGGGACTTTCGCTTTCATCGTCTGCATCGGCAGCGTCCACCGCGGGAGTAAACTCCGCTCCAGGAGCCTGCTCACCACTTCTGGTCTCAGCGTCTGCCTGCGCCTCAAGCACATGCTGTGGTCTATTCGCCGCGGCTGCATCCCGCCTCGCTTCTTGAATCGCGGCGGCGTTCGCGGCAGAGAAGAAGGCGTACTTCACGTTCTGCGAGTCGAAGTAGTCCGCCCATAGTTTCCTATTAGTACACACGACTGTCAGAGCACGCCTCGCTCATACGACGATCACGTACCTCTGCTGAGCGGTTAAGAGGTCTGCCTTGTTGATGAGAAGCAGACTTCTCCGCTTCCCTGTACCTGTCCCCGCCTCTCCTTCCGCTCCTTCCACGTCCTGAACATACGCCTCCAAGTCCTCGCACCGGAAGCGTAAAGGATTCCGCGCATCAACGATCTGAACGACTAGATGCGATCGTTCGAGTACACGCCAAAGTTGCCGCCAAACCTCGATGTTGCGTTCAAACGGCGTGAGCAGGAAGTTGTCTCTGTCTTGTAAACTGTCGGGGAGATGCTCAACAGCCGCTTAGGGGACCGCGTGAGGTGCAAGGGATGAAACGTACTCTGCAAGACCTCTTCTCCATTCCAAGAACGCATCCTTCTCTTGCCTATCTAGCTGAGCCGTCGTCATGCTCTTCGTCCATGGGGGTCGTCGCGGTACGCGTAGACGCTGTTTGTTCTCGCTTTGCTTGCGGAGAGTGGTCCTTTCTTCTTCCTCCGACAAAAGGTATGGATTTTGTTGTGCATTGGCGGCTGCCGCGATGACCTTGACATTGCGTCGTTCTAAATAGACACGACCTATATAATTTTCGGAAGGAAGAAGTATAGTTGCGACTTACCGGCTGTGAAGTCCACTCCTGCGAGAGTCGCCGTGTTCAAGAACTCATCCAAATCCCGTTCCTGGGTGATAGACTGTAGGCGAGTGGATTCGGGGTCCGTGGTATACTACAACAACATTTGTCTAAGGAAAATCGAATGAGACTTGTAAGAAATGCTACTCACAATCCCGGTCTCATGAGCGATCCGTGCATCCTTCGCCTTCCTATTGATGATTGCGCGACCCAGTCCACTCGGATTCGGATTGCGACCCTTTGGTGGCTGCGGATATCATAAGATCTCAGCCACATTCGAGAAAATTGAGCACAAGCATTCGCACCATGGAAAAATCGTACTATCCAGCAAAGGCGTATTGGGAAGTGGACGTCAAGCTCAGCTCAGCACAAGCTCGCAAGCGCTCGCAAGGTCAGATCTGCGATCAGTCAGGCAGATTGAGTCACAGTGCCCATCAGCCCGGGTGCAGAGCCACATTAGGCATGTGCAGTCGTTGAGCATCGGGGAGTCTCAGTTACCTTCACTTGAACAGTCTTCGAAATCAACAAGCGTGAAATTGAGACGTAATAATTTCCGTTTACATTCAAGTGAGATGATAACAACATTCCTAGACTTTTCTACAGGTCAAAGCGGCTCTCAATCGTCGCCTCCGAACAGCTCTCAAGGAAGGTTGGGCTGGACTGTATGACTGTGATGAATAGATAGTCCTTCATGAGTCAATTAGATACTTACTGGCAGTAGTCCAGAGAGGCTGATCCGTGCCATTGGCGAAGGGTGTCACGGTCAAAACGTAGGTGGTGTCGAATGCACCTGCAGCCCACACAGAGAAACCCGCGAGTGTGGGGAAGCTGCTTTTGACGAATGCGAGCTCCTTGCCGAGGCTGTGTTGCGTAGTTAGACGTGTATATTGTGCATATGACGAGGATCCACAGCGCTTACAGAGACTCGCAGCTAGCCGTGTTGCCTCCTCCGGTCTCGGAGAGGATTGCCTGGCGATTACCGTTGGACTGGAGGAAGCTAACGAGGGTAGTGAGGACGTCGACGTTGTCCTAGAGCAGATTGTCAGCAAGGATGATAGGATAGATGATGCGAAATCCCTACGGTGGTGCAATCAGGGTGCGTTCCACTGTTGTCGCTGTCCAGGTACTTGTGTACTGTATTCTAGGCTCAGCAGACGTCGCGGAAAAGTGCTCGAGATCCGTACCATCGAAGATCAGCTTGCTGGTGCCTCCCAAAGGGTCGGTGACCTTGACAAGGAGAGGTCCGGCCTCAGTGGGGAAGGCCTGAGCGGAGGCCCAACTAGAGCCAGGAAGGAGGAGGAAGTTCTGAGAACCAGCACCACGGACGGCGTTCACCACGTATTGAACTGAGTCGACCCAGGTGGCCACGTCAGGGATGTCGTGAGGCTCGTTCATGATACCGCTATTGCTATGCGTGAGGACAACGTGCAAACAAGTTTGTAACAGACGACTGACAAGATGATGCGCTCGTTAGTACCATATTTCTGAGCGAGCTGGGTCCAAATCGAAGCGAATTGATCGTTGGTGGGACCACCCTGAGCGATGATCTCGCCATTCCAGCGAGCGTAGTTGTGCTGAATCACATCAGCAGTTAGATAAGGTTTACTAACGCAAGTCTGATGTGTGATACCAAGTCAACGATAACATAGCTGTTGGGGCTGGAAGCAAGAGCAGCCTGGACGGTCTTGTCGTAGAAGTTGCTGAACCACGTCTCGTTGATGGGGCCGCCGAGCGTGGGGGTCATGAGCTGCCACGCTAGTAAGGTGCAACTATTACCGTGGTGGCCGAGAAGATTATAGTATGCGGTTCTTACCGAACGCTACAATGATGTTCGTTCAGCTGAGCTGGGCCGGCGATCCAGTTGATAGGACTTACGAATACGGAAGAGGTTGGCACCCTCACCAGTGAAATGAGTGTACTGCGCTGCGGGAGGGGAAACGCCGGTTCCGTTGAAGCTGCCATCAGTTGCCTGGGGCACGTGTGGGGCAATATCAGTGACATCCGAGAACCGCGCGGTGCGACAGACTCACCACGCTGAAATCATAGCCGGCAGTGTTCACACCACCGAGGCGTGGAAGGCTGCTAGGCGGAGATGCGGCGCCCGGGACGCACTGGGAGTAGTCTACATAGATTGTTCAAGATGCATTTCTTCTCCTGATGCAACGTATACGCACAATCGTTGTACTCGGTGCACACTGTTCCGGAGACGCAAGTGGTCGCGCCGGCTGAAGTAACATCAGTACTGTGATGGAGGGCAGCCGGAGAGGTATACATACTCCAGTCGATGCCTCCACACTGCTGCCATTCCTAGAGAGCGTCGTGAAGTCACCATGACAATGTCGAGGGAAGAACTCCATAGACACCTACCCCGGCTTGCTGCTGGGCGTAGACCACGGATGCCGCCGCGAGAAGAGCTGCTGTGTACTTCGTGTCAGTGTCTTGGCGAGGCGAGCTGCAAGCATCACGCCAAATGGTCGCGGATTTATATACAAATGCTCTTGCTACCGTTCACAGAAACCGCAGTTCGGAAAATCCACGGTAAGTGCAGTAGAAGAACCATGCTTGCGCGAAGAAATTTCTCCGAGACCTCGTGGGAGGAGATTGACTTCGCCAGGGTTGCTGGGATGCCCGTGAGCTAGCTCTACGGAACAGATATAGATGGCCGAAGAGGGTGCCAGAACGAGATCACCGAGCGAGTGTCCTCGTGCGCGAGAAGCCCTTTGGCGGAATTTGCGCTCCACCATCCCGAGGGATGCTATGGGACTGTTGAGCAGACTAGGATACTCCATGTTAGTCGAGATGAGGCTTGAAGACAACACCTAGTTGTGCTCCAGAAGAAAGTTGGTTCTTTGGACCAAACGTGTCAGGTCACTGGCCCATCCAAATTGGGCGTGTGCAAGAACGTAGGATTGGACGCTCGAGGACCGATTTCGCCGACGTTTAACCATAGGCGCCATAAAACGTTGTCTAGTCACGACGGCAAGAAGCTCAGCCCTCGAGCACTCGGAGGATCACATGCATGGCGACGTGAAGGCGTTATACTCTCTCTACAGGTCTGCCCTACGGGAGATCAGAAGGCTCCCAACTGATTATCTTCGGTAAGAGTGCCGGAGTAATACGTGTCGTCCACAGCTCACTGCCGTCCGTGTAGGCAGTTCTTCCGGCTGAAGGTTGGTGACGATGTCCGCGGCATCTTCGATGCCAAACTTGAAAGCGTCCAGTTCAGTAGGGTCAAGCGCGTACAAGCAGTAAGGATCTCATGACCCCGGTGCTAGACAGCTATTGATAGCAAGTAGGACTTACGGAGATTGCGACGGGCGAACTATGGACACATCAATGCATTTCAGCATGTCATGCAGACTGCCTACGGTAGGAGAGGTCCTCTAAAGTGGGAGCTTTTGCAGGTCAGCCATATCTTTATCTCCATAATTCAATCTTGTTAATCTAGAATATGCCGTAGCCTCTCCGCACTGAGCCCGGAGTCGAGCCTCCTGCCCCAATTATACGTTCCGACAAGTCATCTCGACCGCCTGTCTGGTCCTCAGAGTTGAAGGCGCTCGTCTCCTCTGACATTTCCCGTAAGAAGGCGATCAAGCCTGAATTTATCATCCTACCACCTTCCATCCCTGCCGCGCGGCTGGACCCGGAGTCACCTGAGTCGCGTGCTCTTGGTCCGTTCAGTAGGCGTAGAGAGGTCAACGCTCGTTGGAAGTACTTCAAGCACCAGTTGGACAAGACAATGTTTCCCTTACAGATTGCCTTCAAGCAAGGTATGACGAACGGCAGGATAACTGTCCACACAGACGAGGCAACCCTGATACATGCGGGGGTTCGAGGCATAGGACTTCAGGGTGCCGGAGTTTTCGAGGAGCTCGAAGGGCTTGCTTCTCCTCCGGCACTAGTCCGCCTCGAGGAGCCCTCCGTAGAAGGCGACGGAGATGATACGAGACAAGGCCCTCGTCCGACGATTCAATCGTACCTGCCCCGCAGGTTCTTGCGGCGTCGATTTCAGGAAACACTAGCCCAGATACCTGTCCTCACCTACACGCTGCCTTCACGGGTCGAGAAAACTCAATCTCGATCGGACAAGGAAGACGTCACGCCAGGCGTCCCCGGCAAGCCCGGTCGCTACCAGGTTACGCTCTCGCCTAAGGCGAGTACACACTTAGGGCCTATCCAGTCCATCGCGGATGAGGCGGACGTCACATGGATACGGCGCGCGGAGCAGATGAAGAAAGGCAATGGAGCGAGCAAGCGAGGTTGAGGTATTAGTTCACGTGTACATGTGGTATCCAACAGTGTGAGGAGAAGGGGAGAAGTTGCATAAATACTTGTAACAAACGATAGCTCCCAAAGCATCACCGCTGCCAGCCTTACGGCCCCAATATCATCAACTCCCGTCTGCGGAGTTCTCGAGCTCCAGTCCGTGCAATTCAATAAGATACATGTTGTAGTTGCGATCTGCCGCCTGCGCCGCACCACCTGCAGCGCTGGGTTGCACGCCACATTGGAGGTCTAGGATTGCTTTGTACTCGTCGAAGGTGAACTCTTGCTTTTGCCGCACTGTCTCGAGCAATTCCTGATAGTCCATGGATCAGTGTGGTCCTGGACATGGCCGATAAAGGCTGACGTACCGGTGGTGAAAGCAAGAACAGCGAGTAGTATCGCTTCGCCCGCTCAAACTGAGTGCTATCGCTATCATCCGTGATGGTCTTGATGTTCTGCTGCAGCGCGAGCATGTTCCTGTTCATCTTCTTGATGCCGTACACGTTTACAGAATGAATATAGCGAGCATTTGAGACGAGAAGATGCTGCATGAGGTGCCCCATGCCCTCGAACGCAAACCTAGATAATTCCATTGAACAACATAAGCCAGCAGATCATACGATGCCTCACTTTCGCTCAACATCAGGCAATGTCGCAGTCAAACATGCGTCGCAATTGCCCAGCTCGGTGTTCAAGTCAACGATGTGTGGGTCAGGCTCGCCCGCTTCTCGTTCGATACGGTAGATGCCCTGGAAACATCAAGTCTTCAGGACGGTGACTGAAAGGCGTGCTCTGGGATAACATACGTGTCTGAGCGCGAGATCGAGGTGATGAATGACACGACATCTGATGTCGATGCGAATGGTATCGATGATGAGCTCCGCCAACTGCACATATGTCATTTGTAGTGCTTGGAAACGCCTGCATAGCACAGTTAGAACAGATAGCAATCGCACATGCTCGAATACGCACATATTCATAGCAGATGACAATGGAAGGGTCAATGGTTCATCCGCACTCACGGGGGTGATAGTAGGAAGATAAGGCGTGGATGGTGATAGAGCGCTCGGGGGCTCGAGCTGTTGTGGCGACGTCGACGGAACATTGTTTGGTGCAGCTTTGAGGGCATTCAGCTGAGCGGCGAACCAGGTCTGGCAGGGTAGAGGTTGGTTGATGCGACGACGACGATGTCAAGGTATACGTACGACGCTATGGTATAGACTCGCGAGGGCGGATACGTTCCGAATGGACACAATGAGGTCATTCTTGCTGACTGCACCTTCGCCGAGCAAACTATTCTCCAGGTGGGTTTCTTGCCTGCATAGCTGGGTCTTTTGTGCGGCCGTCGGGTCTCCAGCGAGAAGTTTCAGAAGTTCTGTAAGACAAGGGCCCAGCTCAACCTTCTGGGCCCACTGCGCGGCGAGCGCAATACGCCCCTCATCGTCAGCTGAAGGCGTTTCGCTTTTGACGGCGACAAGATCTGAAAATCTATCGCTGCATCTCTGGTAAAATTTGCCAATGACGGTGAGGATGAGCCGAGAATAGTTCTCGCGATGGAATGGTGTTGTTCGCAGCATTGCGCATAGAGAGTTGATGAGAGCCATGAGCTGCACGCTTGCCTAAAGACGAATGTTCGCCGGGGTCAACGTCTAATGGCCGGACCTTCTATATCTCAACTTACCTTCACAAGAGGTTTCGAGGATAAAGCCAACGAGGCGGGATCAGGTTCGAAGGCGTCTGGGCCTAAACAAGACGATGAGTGTTGTATGAGATTGTGCGACATCGATCACCTACTAGTGACTGTTTGATGGAACAGAGCTGATACCTTGTCCTCGAGTTGAGGCAGATATACTCTTAGAACAAACTCGTCTAATACTGCGCTAGAAGCTCTTGCTGCCTCCACGCCGGTGGGAAGGACGTCCGTTATGCGGTCAAGGAAAGCAAGTGTAGGCTGGAAGAGAACGCTGACGTGGAACGCATTGGGATGCATCAATAGTCGATGGTGTTGGCCGGTGCCCATCAAACGGTCATCGGTACCAACGGCTGCTAGCGTTGCTTGCACGGCATTCTCTGAACCCTGTACAAGGCCTGGAACCGTATCCTTGAGAACACGAGTGAGCTCGTCCTCGTGTCGACGCAAAGTCTTCGTTGCGGACTTCGCATCTGTGTCCGCGAAACGGAAGATAGGCTAGAAATCGAAGGTGAGTATGCTTCACATACGACACGACCAATCCATGTACCTTTCCTTTGTCGCGATTGTAGCGACCGTCCCGAAGAATCTCGTTGATGGACGAGATTGGATTGCGACCGGATACCGCGCCTTGCTCCTCGTCGGTAATGTAATCGCTGAGGAGAGTCCTAACCTATATTACATTGTAAGCAGATGTACAGACTTGATACGTAAACGACTCACCTCCGCCTGTATGGGTGCCCAGACTTCCTCCAGGGGAAACAATGCTCCGGGCTTGGTTCCAGATGAGTCCTTGTAGTCCCTCCGCTACACGACAGCAACATCAATGGTCAGGAACGTTTCCCCCGTGTAAAATATGTGGCGCGGAAAACATACAGAACCGATACGGTTTGCAATCTCGTAGACCACACGCAGACCTTCGCTGACAGCGATGAGCTTAGAGTACAATGTCCAGAAGAAATCTTTCAGTATCTCCTGATCCAAGATCTTCGTCGAGGACTCCAATGCCGTCAGTCGCAATGCTGTAGCATCCATGACAGCGCGACGCGCATGCATAGGCGATCCCTGTAGCGCAGTAGCAATGGCGACACCGGCGATGCCCATAGCGTTGGATGTAATAGCCGGAGCCGACAGGAAGGAAAGGTCAGGGGATCGTGTTGCCGTCGCATTGGCGGAGTCGACCATTGCAATGACCGAGCCTCGACGACCATACTCGGCTCGTTCGGATACCTCTTCCACTGTCGCTTCGACTAGAGAGAAAATCTCTCCAGGTAATTTCTGGGCAACGATGTCCAATCCGGTGCCAAGCTTGCCCAAGATGGCGAGAGATTCCAAGAGCGTCTCGATGTACGCGAAGGAATCTGCTTCGGGATTGCGCGGCTGAGCATTCGACGACGATGCTGAACCAAACAGTGCACCAGAGGACGTCGGACCAAGCCCTGAAAGGCCGCCCGACAAGCTTTTCCGGTATCCCGTGTCATTGACATCAAAGGGCGGATCATTGGGACGCAGCGCAAGATCATCAAGAAATCTAGCCAACCGCGATGATCGTTTCGACGTAGTTGGTGAGATGGGGGACGATGTTGATAGTGGTCTTGTTGACTGGGCGTAAGCACCATCGTCTTGATCCTCTGAGCTGGAGACTGTCAAACAGTTAACAACGTGTGTCAAAACAGTGTACGCTCGACATACATCCGTTTTGGTTAGGTGTGTACACGGTCCATCGTGACTCGCACCAGAACGACTTAAGGTACAGGTGACTGTGGAGTTCGTCAACGAGGATCTCCCGTAATGTCTGAGGCAAAAGCAAGGTGAGATGGGAACAACATTGAACTCGAAGACCTGCATCTCCATACCGTTTCTTGGCCAACCAGATAGCTTCGTAAGTCCGAAATTGCACCTATCTCCCGCATATCGGGCTTGTTGATCAGCTTCAAACTACGGATTAAGAGGGCCGCTGCTTGTAAGAGACGCTTCTCGAGGATGAGACTCTCGAGAGCATCGGGAACCAACTTCAGGTGTTCGCTACGCAGACGTCAGCAGTGATACCAAGGCATCCTGAGCAAATAGATGACGGACATTTGATCCAGAATGCGCATCATCTCTTCGACGGTTTGGTTTCTTGTCCACAATTGCACAAGGTCCGCGCGTTTGCTGCCCAACGTCTCCTTTGCTTCCTGCAGCGCATTGCGAGCGTCCTTGATTTGTACTTGTGTGGCATCGAGATGATTGAGCAGAGATGCATGGTGAGGTAGGGCAGCATTGAACGCCTGATAATGTTCTGCAGTCGACAGAAATTCTATCACGAGATATGCTGGAGTTTGGCTGAGTTACGCACGGTCCACGGAGCCCTTCATAGCTCGCGAGAGCATATCCTTCGTTCTCCGGAACGAATCCATGTCTTTCCCAAGTGACGTTTCGTCCAGCAGTTGCAATGCGAGGTCGACTGGGTTGAACTACTCCAGTCAATCTGATGATATATTGGAGAACTACCTTCTGCAACTTACATCGGGATCGGTGACAACTGCCCACTCATCCTTGATCTCATCGAGGACCGCTGCAGTCAATATTAAGCATCAAGCCTCGTCATACATTGCTTATGCGCCTATCCACGGGTTGCATCATCGCTGAAGGACTTAGAGGCACTTACCGTCAATATCGCCTGCCTTCGCCTTCCCTGTGGCCCGCCGGCCAGGAACCTTCTCCTTGATCCTCCTCTGACGAGCCTTTTGCATTTCAATCTCCCTCCGCTTCTGCTCCTCATACTCCGCGTCCATCATGTCGTCGGTTGACATACCCCTCCTCCTCCCCGCGATACTCTGGAACGCCGCTATGGCAGCGAGACCCGTAGGCGACAGCTCTTTGGGTTGAGAAGATGCAGAGGTTCTCGGAAGTCCATTGGGCTGATCATAGCCGTTCATTGCGATATTCCGCGATCTCGAGGGCTGTGGGCCGTCAGGTAGGCCAGATGGTCGTCCGTCGTACGCGTCTCTCGAGTCTCGGGTCACACGCGATTCCATTGACGAGCGGTCGGTTGCGGAGACTTCGGAGACTTGCCTGCTTCTCAAGCCGGATCGGGTAGGCCTGGTAGGACCGCGAGGCGAACCGGCGGCGGCAGGCACGGAACTGCCGCTTGGTGTTGTGGGACGCGGCGGGCGGTTGATCTGCAGTGGCCTGGTGATAGTACCATTTTCGCTGACACTGGGAGAGCGAGTGCGCCTGGCAGGTTCAGAAGGGTATGCAGGTATTCGAGACATGCAGCAGTGGGAGGAAAGGATGGGGGTAAAGCGCAAGTAAGGAACTCCCTCCGGCTATGATTGTTGCTACAAGGTTACCTGGTATGGTAGTCATTGCCTTCGATGGCAACTCGCGGCCACATGCGAGTGCGCCTGCTCCACGTGCCGTAATACACCTTGGCCATAGCCCTGCGCTGTGCGTTGCTGGGACCACACCGTGTCCGACGCGTCGAGGCGCGTTCTTTCCCTCCTTTCCTACCACCCTCCTTCTCGCCACCCCAAACAGCAATGTCGGAACCATCATCCGACCATTTCGACGCCAGAATGCTCTTCTCTCCCGTGCGCTCAGTCGCTCGCGAGCCATCCTCCGACGCCCCAGTACCGGCCGACTCTTCCATGTCCGCTGCTGAAGATTCTGACGGCTCGGCATCGCTCACGCGACAGCAGCGCTTTGACATGGCTTGCTCTGTCTCAATCCCTTCGCTTTCTAGCTCTCAGAAAGCCAGCTACCGTTCGGTGGCTGAGCGCGACATCCAGTCCGACGAAGAGTTTAGCCAAGAGGGAGCTGAACGCATCGTTGGGGAGTCGAAGCTCGGGGGAACATTGGGCTTCTATGTCCGGTATACTGACGGCGTTATATACAGCGTGAGTGGCCGCCATACTGTACTGTGTGCTGACTTCAGGGCGTGAAGGAGATCGGACGAATGTTGTTCGAGATTTGTCGGTCTCGAGCCAACCACTTGCGTCTTCACTCTGCGCTGATGTTCAGTGTCGATTGCCGTGCTGAAACCATGCATTGCCAGGTACCTGCGCGTTCTTTCGAGCACCGCTTCCCGGACCTTGTACAGGAATACAGTTAGTGTCTCACTGTGTAAGCCTGCGAAGCATACTCAGTGGTCCGCAGGAGAATCTTATGCAACGGGCACTCTGCCCTCCTTTGACCCGTCGTCCTCAGACGTTCATCCGAGCTGTCGTCGAGTCATACCTACGGTCAAAATTCCTGGCCTCAAGTCCAGAACCGCACGTGCCAATCATTCTCCGGACGCCTACAGTTCGGACGAGCTGGCCAAAGATGCGGATTCGGAAGAATATTCTGACGATGACTCTCTGCCGGCCGCACGACGCAGCACGCGAACCGCAGCCGCCACTGCGAACAAGAAGCTCGGGACCACACTTCCGTTCAACCGCCAGAAGACTCGAACAGCCACGCGGGCAATCATGATCCACGACTCTGACTCCGACAGCGACATACAAGAAGTTCGGGCACCTACCAGAAAATCGACTCGAGCTCGCAAGACTCTGCGCTCCAACCTGGATGACGAGGACTTCGAAGACAATACACCTGCGGATTCCGATTCGTCCGTCCGTCCGAAGGCTGAGAAGAAGAAGGCTGTCCGTGGCAAAGCCTCACGGCCGGCATACGGTCACTTCCGCGTTGTCGCCGACCTCGAGCTCGATGAAGAGGAGAACGAAGACATTGCTCCGTTGATCGCCCATAGAGCGGTTTGTGAGAAGTGCCAAACGGCACCCACCCACGAACAGGCGAGGAAGAAAGGTCGCAAGCGGAAAGCGAAAGACGAAGATTCGGAAGACGAGGAGACTAGACTAGCCAACCTCGGTGGTTGGGTTCGTTGGTGGGTGAACGAACTTCTCCCAGTGGTCATGTCGTACTGACATAGAACAGCCTGAAATGCCCTGTTGCTGCCCACTGGGGCTGCTTGGCCAAGACACAGCGCGACGAGATCTTGCGTGCTGCTCAAGAACGCGACAAAGCCGAGTGGCTCGAGGCTCACTCTACTTTGCCCGAACCTGGGAGGCGCCTTGGATTAGACATCTATCAGACTACTGAGTTCATCTGCGGTTCCTGTATGAAAGGCGGTATATGTATGGGCTGCAAGGAGGTCGCACTCAAGCCTGACGCATTCGCTAGGACTGTCCATTCTACTGCACCGCCTGACCTTGCTGCGGCTCCCTCCGGCGACGTCTCTATTTCTACTTCTGCTCGCGCATCCATCCAGCCCGATCTACAGAACGAACCGGATGCGGACGAGGCTTCTCCGAAAGAACTCCTCTTTCGGTGCCTTACTTGCAAGCGCCTCGCTCATTATGCTCATTTACCTGTCCCTGATGGATACGATCCCGACGACACCACTCCCGCTCAACTAGCCAGTTATTATCAGGAATCGACCGGTTGGAGGTGTGCGGACTGCTTCTCATACGTCTACTCGGTCGAACACATCCTTGCTTGGCGACCTTATCCCGAGAACGCAGTCGAGCCTCCTCGCAAGCCTGATGAGCCGCCCAACTACAAGTCCGTGCTCCCTCGTGAGTATCTCATCAAGTGGGTCGACAGGAGCTATCGCCGCGTGGAATGGGTTCCGCATGGATGGCTTCTCGCCGTCGCCCCTTCAAAATTGAAGAACTTTCTCCTGGGTGGGGCCAAAGTTCCTCTCCTCCCCGAACCTACCTCCGAGCAACAGGCCTCCGCGGCCGGCGAGGGCGAACCCGCGGACTTCGACATTGGGAGTGACGATCCCGAAGGTCTCGGAGGTAAGGAAAAGGTGGGAGCCTCCCCGCTCATTGCCCTTCCTGATGCCGAGAAGCGGATACCTCCTGCGTGGAAGACCGTCGACCGCATCCTCGAGATCAAATTGTGGAAGCCCAGAGCTGTCAAAAAGGGGACCCGCAAGTCAAGGGCGGTTGCCTCGGACGAAGAAGCGGATGACAATGAGGATGCCAGTATTACGAAGATGCGAGCTGCGGCGTACGACCAGGGCGAAGAGCCTTCCGATGACGCGATTGTAACGCTCGAGGAGTTTGAGTCTCTTACTCGGGAGAAGCTCAGCGAGAAGCACGCTTCCCAGGTCGCATGGGCGTTCATCAAGTGGGATGATCTCGGCTACGACGATGGTTAGTACGATCAGCCATAACGACCTTTGTTACTGATAGGATTTTGACAGCATCTTGGGACTCTCCGCCTCGCAGCGACGACGCTAGCTACGCTGCCTTTGTTAAGGCGCTCGAGCGTTTCATCGCTGCGCGTTCCGTGATTGTGTCAACCCGTGGTAAGAACGATGTTGCGAGGGATGGTGCGAGGTGGCTGGTGAAGCACAAGTTCACGGTCGACAACCAGCCAAAACTTGGCCAAAGCGCTCAGCTCAAGCTCATGCCGTTCCAAGTCGAGGGCGTGAACTGGTTGTGCCACAACTGGAACACTCTCCAGCATTGCATCCTTGCTGACGAGATGGGTCTGGTACGAGAATGTATTCTCGGTATATCAGCGTGCCTATACTGACCGGTACATCGTATGAAGGGCAAGACGGTCCAGATCGTTACGTTCATTGGGTACATCGTCTCTGCATTCAAGTGCTTCCCAGCCCTGGTTGTAGTCCCGAATTCGACAATTACGAATTGGGTGCGCGAGTTTGAACGCTGGGCCCCGAAGTTGCGTGTTGTTCCGTTCTATGGCGACGCCAAGGCACGCGAGATCATCAAGAAGTATGAGCTCTTTCATTCTCGTCCCACGTCGGGTACCACTGGCGCGAAATACCACGTCTTGGTCACGACATATGAGACGATCACAAATACAAAGGAATTTGGGCCAGTTTTCAAGAGCACCCCGAGCTGGGAGATGCTGGTGGTGGACGAAGGTCAACGGCGTGAGTCTCATCATTCAGCTTACTGTATCGGCTACTGATCATCCTCCACACAGTGAAGAGCGATGCGAGCCTCATCTTCAAGCGCTTAAAAGAGCTGAAGAGCAAGCACCGCATCATTATGACCGGCGTAAGTCATTGCACTTCTCAATGACACAAGGTGTAGATACTCAGTTTTTTGCCAGACGCCACTGAACAACAACATTCGGGAGCTGTTCAATCTCATGAACTTCCTCGATCCTGACGAGTGGGCCGACCTGGAAGCTCTCTCGAAGCAATACGAAGAACTTACAGATGAGCTGGTCGCGGACTTGCACACGCGATTGAAACCGTATTTCCTCCGCCGCATCAAGTCTGAAGTTCTGCAGCTCCCGCCGAAGGTAGGGTAGCCTGTCGGCCATGCTTGGATAGTACCTGACATTTGTGCTATGTAAGAACGAAGTCATTGTCCCAGTCAGCATGGCGCCGCTGCAGAAGGAGATCTATCGTTCCATTTTGAGTATGTCTCTTCCCTGTTGACATCGCGTTATATTCCAGCTGAATGTCTTGTAGGCCAAAACCTCGATATTTTACGCAGTCTTACGGAACCCAACGCCTCATCTTCGAAGGGCAATGTCACCAAGACCAACATGAACAACATGCTGATGCAGCTCCGAAAGTATGCTATACAGGAATATGGACGAAGCCTCACGATTGATCCTCGTTTACAGATGCGTTCAACATCCTTACCTCGTGTCCCCAAATATTGAGCCGAAAGGATTGTCTCCGACGGAAACACATGAGCGTCTCATCGGAGCCAGCGCAAAGTTGCGTCTTCTGAAGACGATGCTGCCCAAGCTTCGAGCTCGCGGTCACCGAGTCCTACTTTTCAGCCAGGTACGTTTCGCCGCACTGATAAGGTAGCCCGTCAGCTTACCTTTCTGACGGGCTACCTTTGCTAGTTCGCAATCGCCCTTGATATCATCGAAGACTTCTTGGTGGGCGAAGGTATCACATACCTCCGACTTGTAAGTAGGTGGTGGTGAACAGAAAGGTGCAACACACTGATATACGTGTCCCAGGACGGCAACACGAAGCAGGCAGATCGTCAGAAGGGGATGGACGAGTTCAACAAAAAGGACTCGGACGTCTTCATTTACCTTCTGACAACTCGCGCAGGCGGCGTCGGCATCAACCTGTGGAGCGCTGACACAGTCATTATATTTGACCCCGACTTCAATCCCCATCAGGTACGTTAACATCGAGAGTTGATAAGTACGAATTACAGGCTGACCCTACTTGCTTCTATCTCCAGGACCTCCAAGTAAATTGTTCCATCACTAAACTTTTGGCATAAGAATAACTCGATTACTGTTTGCAGGCGATTGCTCGGGCGCACCGATATGGTCAAACGAAGACCGTGCTTGTGTTCAAGCTAATGGTCAAGGACTCTGCGGAAGGTGCGTCGTAAGCTCCGAAAAGCTGATACGGTGCTAACTGCCCTTAGAGCGTATTATGCAAACTGGCAAAAAGAAGCTCATCCTTGACCATCTCATCGTCCAGAAAATGGATGATGAGAGTGGTTCTCGAGAAGACGTACAATCAATCCTCCTGTTCGGTGCTAAGGCTCTCTTCGAGGAGACGGAGGAAACAGTCGCTCGAGAAGTCCATTGTGAGACGATCCTCCCTACGCTGTGTGCTGAGGCAGTTACCTATTGGTTCGACACAGACTCCGAACATGACATTGATAACCTGATCGAGAAGACAGAGAAGGAAGGCGACCAGGTCGAATCGGAGTCTGGCGCCGGATCGTTGTTCTCGTTCGCCAAGGTTTGGTCAGCAGATAAGGAGGGTATGGAGGAACTGGCAGAAGAAGCAGCCGAGCAGTCAGAGCAGGCGGACGCGTGGACGAAGGCGCTGGAACTCATTGCCCATCGAGCAGCTGCCGAGAAGGAGAAAGAGCAGACCGGCCGCGGCGTGCGCCGTAAAGCCGCTGCCGTTTTCCCCCAGGTACCCTCCGCAGTGTCCAGTGTCCAACAACCGTACTGATGTCCAATAAAGCAAACTATCAATCTAGGTGACACCCCGACCAAGAACAAGGAGAAGGACAAAGGCAAGGACAAAAGGAGGAGGAAGTCGAAGGGCAAGTCGACTGGCTCGGATGATTCTGACTTCCATGCTCCGGTATCGGACGCAGCTTCAGACTCAGACGGGACCGATGATGCTGTCATGGATGTGGACGACATCCGCATGCTACCGGTGTCCGGCCTCGGTTCGCCGCCACCACCCAGTATGATAGCGTCATCCAAGCATGGGCACTCGCGACCAACACACTCCGATGGTCTGTATCATCCATTATCGCCTGTTCACAATCGCCAGAGGGTCCCGGAGCTGCCGGAGGAGTTCTGCGGGTTGTGCGGCAATCGCCATGCTCCCGGACAATGCTCTATGACCGAAAGCCCCGAGAACCTCGCCACTTACAGATTGATCCTACTGTCACATGCTGGGGATGAGACCATTGAGGAGAGGGTACGTGCGGTTGTCAGCTAATCTGAAACTCATCATCTGAATTGGCCTAGCGTGCCGCTATCCGAGTGATCGACGAGACACTTCATCGGCTTGGGAAAATTCACTTGATATATGGGCAACCGCTCCATCTCGTAGAAACACCACCTCAACCAGCCGTCCCGCATCCGCCCAAGAAGCCCAAACTTGACAACGCTCCCCGTCCTACGTTACAAGCTCAAATCACTCCGCCAATACTACATGACACGCCCAATCATATCCAGCTCGCTGCAGGACCGTCGCGGCTGAATGGTACAGTTCCCAACGCGGCGTCCCCAGCTACCGCAGCTCAGATGCCGAGGCCCGTTCCTCGCGCTTACAACGCTGCAAACGCTGTTGCTAGTTCGTCTAAGGCACTGACATCACTTGCCGCTGCCGGTGATGTTCCCCGACCCAAGAAGGCCAAGCTGATTGGTGGACAACCTTGTGCCGTGTGCGGGCATGTTCCGCATCATCTGGTGAAGGACTGCCCCGTGGTGGCTCAAGGGCCGTTGAAGTAAGATTTAGCGGTTAGATATGGCGATGGTTCTCCCAGATGCTAACAGGGCATGTGTTCTTCAGAATCAACGACGCCATACAGCGATTAGCTTCAGACCCTTCGCAAGAGCCGGTTGTGGATGCTTTGAGGAGCATACTGACGAAACAGCAGAGGCGCGTGCTGGCCGTGTCCGCCGCGAAACCCAGCTCTATTGGTCCCGTCATCGATCTGACGGAGTCATGACTGCTGCAAGCATGCTCTTTAGGCATGCTGGGGTTTTTGCCGAAGCAATACAGTGCATATCTTGCAAATTTCTTCTCATGTACGGCAAATCAAGTCATTGTGACAGGTCTCTATTGTAGAGCGTCCTAGTCAACGTGTTTGTATAGATGTAATGAGATAGTAGACACGCGGCTGAAAGTATACCCATTGTCCTCCCTTTCTGCCCAGGCGTTTGGCGAACTGCGGTCGGAAGACCATGCGTCTCCGTTTGTGACGGGTGCCGTTCAGCAGAGCGTAACGGAAGTCAAATTTCTACTTCAGCGTGGTGAACGCCCGCAATGAAGTGTACCCTCCTCGTTCGGGGCTGTGAGTGTCGCGCTCTTACAGATACCCTTCATTCTATGCTCGACGTCCTCAAGGAGCTCCTCAGGGTCGGATCATCGAAAACGCCGCCCGAACCTTCCATCATTACCGCCGAAAAGTCAATGTCTACCGCAGCACCGCAACATACTCCGACTCACTCAGGTTGGTCTACGCTCTTACTCCCACATGCTTGAATGCCGCAGCACATTCGGAAGGCTTATAACCCCTCTAGACTCTGCTGGCACGTGTCCGCCTACCCCCCAGTCGTCGACTTCCAAGTCTTACAGTCCTCTCCCATCTCTAAAGCGCTCTCGTTCACCCTCGCTCCCTGCGTCTACCATGGCTTCCGAGCTTGCTCCCGCTCCTCAAATCGACGGCGAGGCGATGCTCGAAATATTCGTTCATCGCTCAATCAAATTCACTGGCATGCCGCTGAACCCAGACTCTCCTTACGGTGACGGGAGGAGGCTTGCATCCATCGGAGGGAAAGCGTTGGAAGCAGCTTATACGCTAATATTCTTCAACAAGCGGCCGATGTTGACGGCGGAAGCTCTCGAGGTGCGCGTCCTATAACCGTTAGCCTGTGTTGGCGTCTGACCTCGAGGGTGACAGTTGGAAATAAGCAAACTCCCTGAGCAGGTGGAAAAATGGGTGGAAGGGTATAAGTGGCGGGAAAAGGTGCGGCATTCGCCAGATACCAACATCAGGACCCCCGAAGTACGTGGCATCATTCGTATCTGTGGCTCACAACGCTGAGCGTGCTGTAGGAGACTCGCTATCTCATGGACGCGTACGTTGGAGCAGTCCTTGTTGGAGAAGGTTTCCAGGCTGTCCTCAACTGGATAACTGCCCTTGTTGATCCCAGCGCGGCGCAGCCGGCTCAACAAGGGCAGTATTCAGAGCCGCCGTCTAAGAGATTGAGACCCGACCAGCAGATGCCGTTTCCTCAAGCACCTCTTCCGAACGCTCACGCTCCGTACCCACCGTATTCTCCACCTCCCCATATGCACATGCCCCCTCCGCAACCCCACATGCCGGCTCCCCCCCTTCCGCCAAATCCTCTTGCACCTGCTGCTCCCCAATCTGCATTTCTTCCTCTCTTCAACCAGACCGCTCAACAACGTCGGCTGGAAGTTCAATACCCCGCGCAGTTTACGGGCCCTGCGCATGCTGGGCGGTGGACTGTTCAATGTCTCGGTATGCACATCGTCACTGACGCTTTCCTCATCTCATCTCAATTTGCGCGCAGTCAACGGGATTGAGAAGGGTATCGGTACTGGGCCTAGTAAGCAGCTTGCGAAGGAGGAAGCAGCTCGCCAGGCGTACTACGCAATGGGATGGGCACCTCGTGAGTAATGTTCATTGCACCCGGCTGTAGGGCTACGGATTCATGAAACCTTGCGGCAGGTGTATGAAATTGGTCAGACCTCGGCGTCTTCCTCGATGAATGCTCCGCGCCTATGCAATCTAGCTCACCGAGATCGAGGACGGTGTGTTCATGGTTGTGCTCTGCAAGACAAGTGTGGTCAGGCTCAATCCAGAAACCGGCGGGTCGGGAGCATTTCGGGATTGAGCCTGACTACACTTGTCTTGCCGAGCTCGGTCACGGCTACACAGGTCTCGATCAGGTGGGAGTACTGTCTGTACAGTGTTCTGGATACGCAAACTATCCCTATACAGCCAATACTCAGCGTGCTAGCTTCCATGGGTTCGAGGCAAGCGGCAGGTAATTTTCGGACATGCTCTTCGTATCTCGTTCCGCTTGCTTGCGATGAGGTTTCGTATCGTCGTTCGTTCTCTGAGTGTACCGCTCCTCGTCTAGCTATAGCTTACCTGTACATACGTCATAATGCGCTTGTAGTTTGTCCTCCGAGTTCCTGTCTCCCACACCATCTCTATCCTTCCGTTATGCTCTTTGTACGTTACCTTTCTGAGTATCCAAACTTTGCCTCCCAATAGATGAGTACCCGGAACTTCACGCTGCTGTCCACTGGGCAGCAATACTCTATCCCAAGAGATGCTCAGGCTACCGCTTCGATCCGTACTACACGACACAGCAAAGCCTTGCCCGACCGGTCGTCCCTCACATGAAGGTATTCAAGCCCTATATAGCGATGAGGGCCCATGGTTCTCCACCCCTGAAATCACCTAGGCGATGCATGGTGTGGGCAGGGACTCCACACCGTTACCTTCCAGTTTCAAGGTCTCGTATACGTCCGAAGGGCGGAAGCTTGAAGCTTGAAGCCGCATGTTGGCGGCTGGGCGTTTGCGATAGCTACGACCTATGGAAGTCCTAAGCATTTAGCACTGACATATTGATGGAACCTAGCGTAAACGTTCCCGTTCCTTACATGCGACACGTCGGGTTTCCGAGCGGGTTTCCTGTAGACAGCTTCATGCGGACGGCGTTCAGTGGTCAGGCGTGTAGCGACCATAACCCCGGTCGGTCATGGTCAGTAGATTCCGATCGGAGATAGCACATACAAATGTGAAGTAGCGGAGTTGCCAAGTCCATACCAATGCGTCAGGGCCGTGAACGACAATCCGCAAAGCTGCGGTGATCGTGCTCTGTGGGCAGCAGCATTCCCCGAGGTATCGCATCCGGACTATCGTATCTGACTAACGCTTAGTTCCTCTGGTTTTGTGGTATGCCTTCGGACAACTCTGTACTTGAGGTTTGCTTGAGCAGCTCCTTACAGAAAAGCGGAAAGCCAGCCGGACTGACCTCGGGCAGAATGATGTCACATAAGACTAAGGATAGCGTGTTCACCCATGTGCGATATACTGATCGTACGAGGTCTCCGAGGAAGACTATCGGTACCGCCCCGGCGGAATTGAAGCGCAATGTTGTCAACCATACACTGATACTGGCTATTGAGTATAGGAGTATAGAAGTGATCAGTAGTCGATGCCGATCGGTTTCCATCCGCATCCCTTCCGGTGACTTTACGGCCGATCGTGCTCGCCATACCTCGGCCAACTAGTGCAAGCTGCTTGGCTCCGAGCCTCTGCGGCAGCATCCAGCACGGCGTGTTCGGTGGGGCTCCTGCTGCACCAGGTGGATCAGCGTGGACCACCGGAGCCCACATCGACCCCCGATCGCGAACGACGTGTAAGGGCGGCGGTCGCCCTTAGCATGGACCAGCCCGGTACCGTGCACATATACTCGCCGGTGAGCGAGAGTACAGGCCCTGATCTATCCTGCCTTTTGGCGTAAAGGCTTCGGCGTGCGCGTTCGGCCCACGGTACACGACGATGGCAGTGGAAGTTGCACAGACGCAAGGCTGAGATTAGGGTGTTCCTGTCGCAGATTGGCGAGAACCGGAGAATGCAATGCTGCTGAGTGACCGGTGCCCAACAACGTGATGTTCAGCCGAATGTAACGGATCGTCAATGGGAAGCACGCACCAGACTCCCCGGAGTAGACGTAGTATGGACTATGGAATTCGCTCCGGGTCGCGACGCCCCCAGATCGCCTTCCTCAGACAGTGCTCGAGAGTGCGGTAAGAGTTCGACCAGGACAGCGGACGGCGTTAATGGCAGTCATCCTAAGGTTGGCCGAACGAAGATTCGACACCTCCCGTCACGCCTGTCACACTGTCCGTGTCCCGCCCCTCCACTGCGATTCCGGGGTATCGGCTCGTATAAAATTGAGCTATAGGCTCTGTGGTACCATACATGCCGCCTATCCAAGTTTTTTCCTCAATGCAGAGGGAGGGGAAAGCAGCGAGGGACCTCGCAAGCTCACGTGATAATCACGTGATGGGGTCGAATCTTCGTTGGACCAACTTTATGCCGCTTCATCACCGCACGTCGCCACGAGCCTCTCAGACTTCTAAGCTGTTTCAGCCACCTTGCACCATGATGACCAATGCAAGCTTACGCTGACAAAGCCCGTTCGTCATCTGAGAGACAGCTGAACGCTACGTGCATGTTCGGCATAGTCACACTGTCTAGAAGGAGAACAACATCTTAGTGCTTTATATTGTAGACACTGTCATGTGGATGGTGCGGTACTTCACGCTATGACAGACGTTGTATGGTGACCCAAGCGCTGCTGGTCTCAAATTAGTTGCAGGTTTTGTGGGATCGCGCTCAATCGCTCGCAGTACTAATGAGAAGGGAGGGCTGCTGCGCATGCGCCGGGTTCGCTCATGAGCACAAGGACTATGTAGAATGAATTTGTGATTGACTGCATTCCTGATGCCTTGTGCATCCTAGTGTAAACGATGGTTTACCAGAAAAGGATTTCGACGGCGTTTAAGATGACTTTGTGTACTCGGAAAAAGGGCAACGATTGTCTGCATGTGCACGGTATAAGCAGATATTACTGGAGAGGCGCTGTAAACCCAAACCTTAGCTGAAGATCTCTCGTACTTGCAAGCCGAGTGACTTAGTTTGCGACCTGCCACAATTAATGTCCAATATATGTAGCAAGGACAAGACTCTACCGTAGCACGCCACATAATGATTGCGAGATGCGTGTGGCCTTTGAACGGATACTGTGATGCCAACGTACCCTGTGAACGTTTCACCTCTCAGCCACCTTGTACATCGACATATCCATACCATACTTGGGTGGCGTGACGATTGGCCAATCAGCATCTAGGAAGAAGTGTGCCATCCACAATCTGCGTTCTGCGCATATAGCGATGCTAGAAGTTCAGTCTGGTCTTCTTGTTGACAGTTCATGAGGGTTCAGTGAAGCTCCAAAGCTTCTCTGTGCCGCCATCTGTCCAGGTTCGGTGGTAGCACTGTGATTCGGTGCGTCGTATGGCTAAGTACTGGTCATGGTTAGCTGTGTGAAGCGAGTACGGGGGTGTAGATAAGGGTCATGACCGCGAGAACGTCTCGCTCGCTCGCTCTGCGTACATAAGAGGGGTTATGACGATCAATGGCAGGATGGTGAGATGAGCGGCCAGAAGACCTCGCGCGGACCGAGCTCCTGGGCAAAATTTTTCGCGCTAAGCCGCATGGTAGGACATAAGTATTCGAAGGAAGCCTCTGCATAGCCTGAAGATGCGCTGGGACATGGTAGCAAGGTCACATGTGCTTGCCTGGGTCGACGTGTGAATGGTCTGGCAAGATGTGTCCGATGGAGATAGCTGCAGCAGCTGCATAAAGCGTACTCTGTAACACACCAATCTCGTGACCACATTGGCCGTATTGGTAGTAGGACCAAGATACGATTGCACAGAAGCGGGGTATCCCAAGAATAGATAACAGGCAGTGTGGCCTGAACTGCACCAGCATCTTTGACGGTTGAGGCGGTGTGACTGTAAGTGAGTACGAACGTCGGATTTCCATCCCATCCGGCTATGACCCGTCCACAACAACATAACCAGGCGGATGTCTATGTGACGTAGATTGTTTGAGACGGATTCCGTATGAACTGATGTTGTCGACTGCGTGCTGATGTGACATGCTGCAGCCAGCGGGTATACTGGCATATTGCGAAGCAGTCTGGGAACTTGGAGGACATCGGCCGGGGAACCGTGTAAGCAGCAGCTACAGCATTGGTAAGCGGGAAGACCCGGAGCCGGCGGGGATACAGCGAATGGTGGTGGGAATGACGCAAAGGGGACGGTTGACTGCGCAAGTTGAGAGGCAGTAGCGAAGGAAACTACACGGGACGTATTTTCTAGCCCCCGTCTAGGCAGAACAGAACAGGATGTGGGCAGGGGCGGTGGCGGAGAGCAACATGCCTGCTCTTGCATCGGAGTAGGATATCTGGACCCTATCACGTGGGAGATGGCCAACACACAAGTGTCCAAATATGGGAGGCTTCGAAACGTCACGTAAGCAGGGCTAAGGAAGTGAGTAAGGGAGCTTATGCACGCCGAGCTATTAGAGTGTCCTATAGGCCACTACCGCCTTTTCTTCCGTCCTTCCCGCTCTCGCAGCCGTCTTGCGCCGCCGCCGGTTTTCTTCCACCACGCCCCCGACACCACATCTTCGTCGGCACTTCGTCTCTTTACACGCATTTTCTGCTGTTAGTTTTGCTTCCGAGATGGCCTCTCAGTCCAGCTCCAGCACAACTGCGACACATCCCGCGCGGGCGTATGCTCAAGCCAACCCTATCGATCTCACTCTCGAAGACGACGACGAAGATATCCATGTTGCAGAGCGCATGCCGAAACGACAATGCACGATGTCCAGGTCGTTCAATGCCCAATGTTCGAACACTCCGAACACTCCCTCCTCCACATACAATCACCAATCTTCTTCTGGACTCTCCCCTGCTATGTCTCATTCCAGTCTCGCACCTCATACACCGCACGGCGCGTCGGACGCGCCATCTAGTTCGCGTACACCACAGCTTTCTCCATCTTCATCGTACTACCGCGACGACTACCATAACAATTCTGTGAACGCGCTCAGAGCGCAGTTCCAGGGTCCCTCGAATTCGTCGGCTTTCTTCCAGCCAAGACCTCAAGCCCTTCCTCCTTATAATCCTTTGGAGCAACCTTCTCCCCCGCTGCCGCAGCATGCGTCGAATGGGAGCTCTTCGTCAGGTTCTCAAGCGGCGGTGCGTCAGGTCATCGACCTCACAGGTTCTCCTTCACCGCCTCCCTCTTCTCGGCCCTCCCAACCACCACCACAGCTTCAGCCTCCACAACAACCTCAGCTAAGTCGTGGAAATCTTCCCGCCGACCTTCCTCCGAAGACTCCGGTGTGTATCGGAGTCCTGAATGCGACCGCACTTGTCCTCTACCCCATATCCTACTTAAACCCACCAGACTATGGCTCGCAAGATTCCGACTGGGCACCGGTCCGGCTGCAATACGAACATGTCGAGAACAAACCAGGCGGGACGCCCGCGACTATCAATATCAGGCCGCCGTCGGTTAGGGGGATGAATGGAGAGATCATCCCTGCAGAGACATTCGCCGTGGTGGAACAGAAGGTTGCGACGCATCTAGGGCCCATGCTGGGAAAAGGTCTCATCCGTCTAGATGCCAAGATTCGACGAGGGAATCGCACGGTGAGCATGTATGTATCATGATTAGTTCACCGACTTACGCGCTGTAGCTACCTATACTCCAATTGCAAATGCTAGTCTTCACACCAAAGGGCAACATTGACGTCGTTTCACAATACCTCCATGCCAATGGTTTGTATCTAGACCATCCGACGCTTCCCTCCGACATACAATACGTATCATCCAGTTACTACTGTAACCCCCATAATCCCCCTCCTGGTGGACACTCCCGAGGCGGCCAGGTCCTGAACCGTCCGGGCTATATGGCCCCCACAGGAAACATCCTCAGCAGATGGAGCGCCCCTGCAGTGGCCGGGAGAAGCGTTGAAGTTCAGCGCAGTCAGGTAGACGAGGTGTTCAAAAGCTTGAAGGGTGGAGACGAGCTCGACGAAGCAGACCCTCGTGCGTACTTCCCTTGTCATATGAGAATAGCGTGTTAGAGGGATCTGACTACATGCCCGCATACAGCGCCGGAGGTCGCTACGAAATTGTATCCGCACCAGCTGAAAGCTTTGACATTCTTGCTCGCACGAGAACAAGAGCTTGGCGAGGCTGGTTGTCGGCAGACCTCCCTGTGGCAAGAGAGGCTCAATCCCCTTTCACAGCAGGTTTCTTGGGTCAACATCGTCACTCAGGCGGAAGAATTCTCCAAACCGTTCGAAGCGAAAGGTGCCATTCTCGCGGACGACGTACGTGCTTTGCCAAACAACCATTGCTGCGGTTTGGAGCTGCATGTGCTCACGTCTCCTGTCATCTATGTGTAGATGGGTTTGGGAAAGACGATTACCTGCGTCTCGTTAATTGCGGCGACGCTCCGCTCGGCACGCGCCTTTGCTGAGACACCGCTCACACCCCCACCAACGCCGCCTCTTCAATCATCGGATGCGCCCTTGACAGCGTCTCATTTTCAGGGGAGCGTGTGGGGCATCCCGCCGCCATCCATCGAGTCACACGGTTCGTCGACGAAGGCGAACAAGAAGATGGCGCGAGAACAGGATCGAATCGAGGCGCAGTATACGCGCGCCTGCAGGATCAAGATGAAGAGCCGTGCCACTCTGATCATCTGTCCGCTCTCGACGGTGGTGAACTGGGAGGACCAGTTCAAGGAGCACTGGCGCGGTGAAGTCATCGTGTGCGGGGGTCAGTCGGGCGTCCCCCCAACCGCTAGCCAGCCCTCGACGTCTGGGTTTTCAACGCCAACGCCTACGGGCTTGCAGCTCGACATAAAGGCGGAGATGAAGAAGCCTACCGTAGGACGACTGCGCGACGGTCCGCCTCTGCGCGTATATGTGTACCATGGGAATGCACGTCGTCTGGAGCCGACCTTCTTGGCCGACTTTGACGCTGTCATCACCACGTATTCCACGCTTGCGTCTGAGTTCTCCAAGCAGACGAGGAGCGTGGAGGCTGCGGACGATGATGAAGAGGACGACGCGGACGGTGTTGGTAGCGAAGGCTTCATCGAGGTGGATGGGTCCGGTCAGCCTATCACGAAGTCCAAGGGTAAGAAGCCGAAGAAGCGAAAGAAGGCCTGTGGTTCTGCGATCGAGGCGACGAGCCCGTTGCAGAGCATACACTGGTTCCGCGTTGTCCTAGACGAGGCACAGTGAGCATATGCACTCGTTCACTCATTTTTGACGGTTCGTTGACGTCGTGTGACCTTCAGTTCCATCAAGGAGACGAACACAGTTGGCTGCCGCGCCTCCTGTGATCTGGTTGCAGACCGTCGTCTCTGCCTAACGGGTACCCCCGTCCAGAACAAACTTGATGACGTCTATGCACTGATCAAGTTCCTTCGTCTGGCGCCGTTCGACGACAAGAACACGTGGAACGAGTTCATCGGCACTCCGGTCAAGTACGCGCAGCCCCTGGGCGTCGCCCGTCTGCAGACCATCATGAAGTGCATCACGCTCCGTCGGACGAAGGAGTCTCGCGCCGAGGATGGCAAGAGGATCCTCTCACTCCCTCCGCGCACTGATGAGCTTCGATTGCTCAAGTTTGACCAGCAGGAGCAGGCGATTTACGACCAATTCTTCAACGAGTCCAAGGCCGAGTTCCACGAGCTGTCGCACAAGAACGAAGTGATGAAGAACTACGTCGGCATACTGCAGAAGATCCTCCGTCTTCGCCAAATCTGTGATCACTTCGAGCTCGTACAGAATAAGGGCCTCGGGCTTCCCGGTGACGCACCGTCACCATACGAGGATATTGTCGCGACCGTCGCCCGCGAAGGCCTCGACCTTCAGCGGGGAGCGATGATCTTTGCCTTGCTGAGGGAAGCCGGTACGACGCAGTGTGTCGAGTGTCAGTGCGAGCTATCCGCGTCTATGGATGCCAACAACGAGGGCCTTGCTGAAGTCGACGCTCCCGCTGCCCCAGCGAAGCGCGGGCGGAAGCCCAAGGCTTCGGCGTCGACTTCTCGTACATCGACACGCCAGAACAGCCCTTCTGCTCCCCAGCCAGTCCTGACACGATGTCAGCACCTCTTCTGTGCTGGCTGTTTCCGCGCCTCGACCTTCCCCGGTTGGCCAAACGTCCAGTCGGACGTGCACAGAGCTTGTAGTATCTGCCAGACTGCGCTGCTTCCGAGCGATGCCGTACAACTCAATATCGACCTTGCGATGCTGGAAAATGTCTTCTCGGGCGGTACGAAGAAGAAGGCAGCGAAGAAAGAGAAGCGGCAGAAGGGCATCGCTCTCGAGGACTTCCATCCGTCCACCAAGGTCCGCGCGCTTCTAGGAGACCTGATCCATTTCTCTAAGGCGAACCCGTACTCGGCCAACTACGATCCGAGCTCGATCGAAGTGCAGATGGTCGATGGCGATGGGAACTGCTTGGACGACGGTGTCACGAAGACTGTTGTGTTGTACGTGACTTCGTTATCTTCGGTGAGAGAAGGCAAGTGCTTACTTGGAAGGGCCGTAGCTCCCAGTGGACCAGTATGCTCGACAAGTAAGTGGTTTTCATTGTGATCTGAAGTCCCCATCTGACCGATTGTTTGTTAGGGTGGAGGATGCTCTTGAGATTGCCAACATCCGTTACGACCGTCTCGACGGTACCATGAAGCGAGATGAACGCACCCGGGCCATGGAGGCGCTGAAGCACGATCCGAGCTGCGAGGTCCTCCTGGTCAGTCTGAAGGCTGGTGGCGTCGGTCTCAACCTCACCGCGGCTCAACGCGTCTACTTGATGGATCCTTACTGGTACGTCATCGAGTCTAATGGAATGTGGACTACTTGGTTGACTCGTGATTTCCGACCTGCGTACAGGAACCCTGCCGTCGAGAATCAAGCCGTAGACCGTATCGTGAGTGCCAATAGAGTTAGCCATCAGAACTTGTCGCTAAGTTCTCTATAGCATCGACTTGGTCAGACGCGACCCGTCACCACGGTGAAGTTGATTATTGAGAACACCATCGAGGCTCGGCTGCTAGAGGTCCAGAAGAAGAAGACGGAGCTGGCGAATATTACGCTCGGCCCGCCAATGAGCAAGTCCGACCTCCAGGCTCGTCGGATGGAGGAGCTCCAGCAGCTCTTTGCAGCGTAACTTATACTTCCTCTTCGCATCTCTTACGCTATTGCATTATAGACTCTTGTTTATTTTACTACTGTATTGTCTGTCTAACTTCTTTCTTGGCGTTGCTTGTCGCTATGTTTTCTTGCTGTCGGCTTTTGGCACTGGCGCTCCTCGAACATCGATTCGCAGAGTTAGTGAGCTGCGTTCGCCATGTATTCCTGCGTATCGTAGTGTCTACTAGAATGCAAAGTGTGCAGCGCTTTTGCGCCGTCCTAAAGTATACACGAGGATCTGGGCAACGAAGAGTCCGATGGTGACACCAATTGCCACCTGAATCATCCGAATTCCAAGTTCGAAACTCCCGGAATACCGTGCCGCAGAGCTGCTGTAAGGTTGGATGAGGCCTCCGCCATTACCGATAGCCGACTACACACATGCCGTTATCGTCGGTTAGCAAACGAAGTTCTGGATCCACAAGACGCGTGCCGACTTACCGGCACAAGAAACAAGACCCCAGTAACCATGGACGTAAACGCTGTACCCCCGACAATGCGGGAATACGCATTCCCGCACAAGCTTATGACGAAAGCTCCAGACGCAGATACAATATCGCTCCGGTCTGAGATCAAGTAGTTCGCCGTGCGGTTGGCGGCGTAGGCGACGCAAGAGAATGCCACCATAATCAGGAGCTGGATGCTGCGGATGGCCTGGAGGTTTGCGATAGAAGAGAATATGGAGTAGATCGGTACAAGGAAGAGCATTGTCCACCACGGGAAGGGCTGTCTCCAAAAAGGCCAGTTTGGATTCCGGTAGCAACCTAATGTAGAGTAGTGAGGCTCGACTTCAGTAATTGTCCGTTTCAAGACGGTGACCTGTTGAAGTACCTTTGATGATATGGCTGTGACCAGAGTCCTCAGTTTCTACGAATGTAAAAACTGCGCCTAGGTTGGTGATTGGAAGCGAGTCGTTGGCGTTGAGAATAAAGCCGTGCAAAACCTCCGCATCGAGGAGACTTGTGGCGGCCAACTGTCGACGCGCTTTCGGATTGACAAGAAGGTAGAAGTCGGAGCCAATGGTCAAACCAAAGCCCTGTGACGAGTCAGACTATAGCAACTAGCCAGCATATAATCCAGCCGGATACGCACGAGGAACAGGGTGTATATGATGGCGTAAACCATTCGTACGGAGCCGCATAGAATATTCCTCGATGTCAGCTCTAGTGCCGCGATCACTGGGTGGGTCGTACTGCTCAGTTTGTGCATATAGACTGCACTGAAATTCAGTACTCACGAATGGTGAATCCCGGCAGGATGAGGACGACGCCAGCGGAGGATATCGCGCTGTAGCAAAAGATGTTCCCTGGAATCGTTCCGAGCGCCCGAGCGAGGAATGAGACGACGATGGAGACAGATATTCTTGAGAAGCATTTGATCAGGTATCTTGTAGTAGGGCACAGATCCTCACTTACTCATAGACATTCGCATAGATGGTGCTCTTCGCGGCTGCGTTCAGCCCTAGATACTGCAGCAAGGCCGCGCTCGCCCCGCTCACGAACATGTCCACGAGGGACCCTCCGAACGAGAGCACGCAGATGATCGACGCGCAGAAGAACGCCAGCACACAGCGGGTCCAGATGCTGTACAGCGGTTTCGCTTTCAGGATCTCCTTGAGCTGTTCGCTTCCCTCGGTCGCCCCGATCTTGTCGTGCAGGACGTCACGGTAGACGTGATGAACCTGGTGCAGCTTCGTGAGCGCCACGCGTCCACCAGCGCGAACAAAGTGCGTCTCGGAGGTGTGCGTGTCCGAGTCCATGAAGCTGACGATGATGAGGTTTGGAAGATGGACAAAGGCGACCTTGACGTCCAGGATCGCCCCTGCCGCGTGTAGCTGGGACTCGATGCGGTGGGAGGGTGCCCCGAGGAAGAGCAGGACCTTCGCAAGGCGCAAAATGAACTTCTGTCTTGCCACATAATCTGTGATTTTTCGTGAGCGAGCAGACAGGAACCAGAAGAAGACGAACGGCGTACCTTCAACATGATGCACGATCTGCGACCGCCTCCTCTTGCGGAGCGCCTGGCACCTTTCGGCGTAGCTCAGCCGCCTCCCCGCTGTCGAGCTCTCCGCGTCTTTGTCCTTCTCGTCCTGCTCATATAGAGAAGCCACGGACATGGCCCTCAGCTTACCGATGCCCCCACTCACACTCACAGGACGCCCTATACCGTGCCGCAGGCCATACTGAAGGAGCTCCGCGACGACCCCGGACCCGCCACCGCTCCCTCGTCGGCGTCTGTCCCGACCACCCTCCTCCGCCGAACTGAGCGTGCGCTCGACTGGCCCGGGAAATGATGAACTCGAGTCCATAGTAGATGTTCTCCGCGGAAGCGGCGCCCGGCGAGGAACGGGCCTGGACGTTTCAGCGTTGCGGGACGGACCCGAGCCTGACGGCCGAGGTCCTCGGGACGGGCTAGAAGCGGAAGAACGACCGCCGCGGCCGCCGCTCGTGTCATGACTGTTTCTAAGCTGTCCAGCAACTTCTGCGAGTTTCCTCGGGTGAGGCGTTGGGTATTCGCGGTATGCCCTCGGTGGGGACGAGCTGCTCTGACTCTGACGGATGTCATTGTTGAGAGTAGCTGCCGATGACGACCAGCGGTTGGACTCCTTGCGAGGAGGCGGCGGCATAGCAGCAGCAATCTCTGTGCTACTATCTGACGGTATGAGTTGACAAGAGGCGTACGGAAGACCAGCTTTCGTTAAAAGGAGGAGGGCGCGACAGAATGCGTGGGTGTCCGAAGGACAATCGGAGACCGGTATGTCCTCCGCGGGGGCTGACCGAGGCAAACAATACATCACGACCGCGGAGCTGAGCCGAACAAGCCTTGGAGGATGACAGGCACATAGTGCTGAACGAGTTCCTACCCAGTCCATAACTAAACGATCAGTAAGCTAGACGTGAGGAGGGTGGGGATGTACACACTTGATCACCGTACAAGGATCTGCACCCAACGAAACGTACCAGGCGATACTCTTTATATACAATACCGATATCCAACCTTGTATACGCTGAACCTGTGCACATGTCTGTGAACGCATACGTGTCCCAAACGCACGTACCAAGGAAGTAGATACTCGAAATCACTGTCACCAAGATCGAAGTATCCTTGCTGTCTCAAAATTCCAGTGCACACGACAGGATCCGAATCAATGATCTGCGACAGACGGCCGGCCCCGAAAGTCGCGGACCGCTGCGCGATGCAATATGCATATGCTTCCGACACCGTCCACAAAACATAGCGACGACACCTAATCGTAACAACCACCGAACACACGGGCGTGTCCAATGACACATCTCTCGACCGCCAGGCAGATAGGTAGAGTTCGAGGTCAAGACTCCTTGGACCCGATTAGGATCCGAATCTTCCTCACCGGCGGCTCGAGCGCCCCGGTATCGGATTGCTTCTGCGCCTCCAAAATCTCATGTCGGAGCTGCATCTCCTCCCCTACCTCCGCTTGCGTCGGTGGGTCGCGGAAGGGGAGCTCCCAGCCGTTCTGGACGGCGCAGTTCCAGAGAGATATCCGACCTCGCATATCGCTACAGCAGGGGAGTCGCAAGGCCATACCAGTCAGTCACCTAAGACACAGAGGGAGAACGTGACGACGCTCACCTCTGGTACTGGTCGATGGCATACTCGAACCTTGCCCGACTCGCCTGCTCGTTGTAGTCCTCGTCTTTCCATCCAAACTTCCGCAGAGTCTCGTCCCTCGCCTGCACGCGGGCCAGCAGCTCGTCCCACATCGCTTCCTTCGTCGACAGGACCCAGGTGACTGTGCGATAAAGGTGCATATACTTCGTCTGTTCGTCTTGCGCCTGCACCTTCTCCACTGGGAATATGTCCGCCGCGCTATCTCCCCCCAGCGACGTGCCCTCCTCTGGGGAAGCGAGGAGCATAACGGATGGCCGCTTGGCGGACTTGGAAGATGTCGATCCGGAAGAGTACGACCCTGCCTGACTCGTGTTGGACAACATGGATGCTGCCTCGGGATCTTTCTGGGAGGGCGCGCGCTCGTCGAGTTCCTCGTGAGGGAGGGAGGATACGGAGGGACAGGGTGATAGGCCGCACTTTGCTACGTCTTCCGTCGACACTCGTAGCGTAGACGACGGGGATGTGGTGAGGGAACCGTTGGTGAATGTCGCTGCGCGAGGGGAGCCGTTTCCTTGGGGTATCGTAGTCGTAGTGCCGTTGGGGTGTGGCGTTATGGCACGGGGTAATGGGGGTATCTTGGAGTCGCGAGTTCCTGGAAGAGGCGCAAATGGTGCAAATGGAGGGGACATATACTGTACAACGGGGGGTGATAATACACGCTCGAAGAATGCTCCAAAGTATCCGGGTAATATTGACGTGGGGTAGGCATTGATGAATCTAGTGGACCAAACGTCGTCGTAGAGCGTCTCAAGAAGCTCGTGTTCGTGTCTGAGGTGAGATGTTGCTGATGAAGCACTGTAGGACAGGCGAGCTTGCACGCTTCCTGATGTCGAAAGGCCACGAGAGTGTGCTCGCAAAGGGTCAGTGTACCAACGTGGTAAACTGGGGAATATTGCGTCTGCAGCCGGCGGTGAATGATGGTATCATTGCCGACATGACCCGCACACACCTTCTTCGATATGCTCAATGGTAGCGCCTGGCTTCATAACTCGACGTATTTCCTATTGATATCATGTAAGCCACCGAGCGTAACCAAGGGCGTCATAGCTTACTTCATACAGCGGATACCACTGAGTCGGGAGATGAGCAAGAGCATCGCCACGGCAAGTCAAGATTGCTGACCTTATTCTCAGGGATACCAAGCGCTATGCCATTGATATGCACATGGTCGAACTCGTCGTCGTCGAAGGGGAGCTTATTTCGTAAGCTGCGAATGGTCATTGAGGTCAAGCTCCGGTGCAGACAAGCAGACTTGGCTTACATGTTCGTGTGCACCCATTCTATGCGCTCGGCGATGTCTTGTTCGAGCACTTGGAGGGGGATTTGTATGTTGACCATGTCCAGCCCAACCTGAGGCGCCCCCTTAGGGACATCCGGAGCATATTGTATAGCATATACTCACGAATGTGGCCTCCGGCCAAAGCTTCGCGGCGGAAATGACCCACAGGCCCAACTGCACAAGAATGTGCATGAGCACAGGGTTTAGCGTGAACAGACGGCGGCCTACCCCAGTGCCGATGTCTAGACATCGCGTCGGCTTCGGCCTTGCTTCAAAGTCGATGTAAGTAGACTTGCCCGTAGAGTCGAGGAGTATAGCATTGTCCAGGCTTTGGCTGTTCAGCGTTCCGCTTAGCGAAGGGAGAGATCGGTGGGAATTAGAGAGACGCACAGTTCGATAACATCTCGATCGAAGGAGCTAGGATAGGGGACCTTCTCTCTGTCGTAGGCATGGAGCTTGGAGCCGTTGCGGTATATGAACTGGTTCTCCTTCCTGTGGATGTTCCTGCGGCTGGGATCGGAGGCGTTTGAGTGAGTGGCAGTAGAGCTGCAGCTGAGCCTAGTCGGGCGAGATGGATAGGGATAGGGAGGGCCCATCATTGGAGTGAGATGGGGGACATGGACGGAGGAGAAGAGGGAAGATGAAGAAGGGACGGTGACATCGCGGAGGGACAGGCCGAGACGGAAGAGGCGATATTCGCAGGAGCGCGGTTCGCAGCAGCCCTCTCCGAGCCTCCTCCGCACCCAGCGCCCATCAGTCGTGCCTCCCGATCCAGATCTCAATCTCTCCTCCCGCTTAGCGCCTAGCCTCCTCCCCCGGCCGACAGCCCCCACAACCGCCACCGCCACTGACGTTAAGTCGCCGGCAAGGCTAGTCTCATCTCAGCCTCTCGCCCACACACTTCAGTAGTTGCGAGCACAAGACTACATACAGCACGTAGCACCATTCCGCCGCCGCCGAGATTGTCTGCTACTGACACCGACGTGCATGTCCTTCCCTGCCCTGTCGGAACAGACGGGCGGTGTACTCGGACCATGAGGCTTGCGAACGAGCGTTACGAGCCTCGCACAATGCCACAACGCTCGCCGTGGAGACGGGACCGCACCCGGCGAGATACTCATGCGGCGAGCGTGGCTGAGGTACGAGCCACGTGCACACCCCTGCATGCCTGGTGGCAGGCCGGTGGCAGACCTGATCGTGCAGATCTACGTAGAATCTGGTGGCTTGAAATGCGGTAGAAAGCCAAACTGGCGAGATCTGGTGTGCACGATGTTGCGGCAGGCTGAGGGAGGAAGGTGCCTCAGACGGAGCCGCGAAGGATTGAGTCACCAAACGAGGGGGAGCGCTCAGCTAGTCCAACGCGACCTGTTGTCTGTCTCTCATCGACGTCCACACGGCTCGCACTCCCTCCGCTCCACAACGTTCGCGATCGGTATCAGACACAAGAATGCAGAGACGCAAGCCCTGCTCCCCGAAGAAGCGCAGGGAGCAGCTCCGCCTCAAGCGCGCCGTCAAGCGTGGCGACATCCCTCCTCCACCGCCATCCAAACCAGATCAGCACAGGAAAGGCCGCAAAGGACCCACAGGACAGTCCATTGGCTCAACCACACGCGCCACCGCTGCAGAATCCACCCGTCGCCTCGAGTCCTCGTTCGTGAAACTCCCCCCGGCATTCCTGGAGAAAACAAGGGTTCTGGCTTACAAGCTCCCTCTCACACGTCCAATTCCTCCCGAACTCGCGATCCTCCCGGATGTTGACAAACAGATCACAAGCGCTGACGGCGGACGGACCGCTGGGGAGCTCACTTGCCCGCGGCGTCCGAAATGGCGATATGACATGTCCAAGAAGGAAGTCGAAGCGAACGAGGAAGGCCTCTTCAAGAAATGGCTCGCACAGACTGACGCTGCGGTGAACGCGTGGTGCAACGCCAGCAGCGATGATGATGCACCCCAGACCTCATCTGTACCCGGCGCACCTGACAGAGTCTTGGACAGAATACCAGAGGCGGCAACTGACGCGATGCCCCGCGCCCCCACGTCGTACGAGCATAACCTCGAAGTTTGGCGGCAGCTGTGCGTTTTCCTCCATTCTAATGCTCGCAGGAATGTGACCATCAATGACACTGACAACTGCTCGTCCATAGATGGCGCGTCACGGAAATCTCGCAGATACTGCTAATCCTCCTCGACTCGCGCTGCCCGATCCTCCACTTTCCACCCGCGCTGCCCTCGTATCTTTCCAGCCTTCCGCACGCGTCTCGGATTCGAACGATCTTGGTCCTCACCAAGGTCGATATCTCCGGCCCAGACCGCGTGGCGGCATGGACAAAGCACCTCAACGCGCTCTACCCGGATATGCGCATCGTACAGGTAGAATCCTACGTGGAGAAGCATGCGGGAGAAGGGTCCTCTAGCGGCAGAAAAATGTACGCGCCCCACCTCCCGTCTGCATTCCGGGAAACGCTGGTGAACGCGTTACGAGAAACGCATGCCGAGCTACTCGAGCCGCCCCCGGAAATCAAGAGCAATCCTGAGCGACTCGCTCGCTGGAGGCCGAGGATGAGATCCTCAGTCGATTGGGACGCCGTCCTCAGGGCACGTGGAGGGCAGGTTGGGACCGTGGTAGGTGGTGCGGCCGACCCAAAGCCTACCAAGCCGCCCCTAGAAAACGGAGTTGGTTCCGAGGGACACGAAGAGGACGACGACTCCGATCCCGAATTCTTGACTATCGGGCTTATTGGCAAGTTCAGGGGCTGACCTGGGGCCGATGCGTCGTCTCATGACTAATGCGCATGTGTCGAGCAGGTCAGCCCAACGTGGGCAAGTCCTCGCTCTTGAATGCTCTCTTCGGCACTCAGAAGGTCAGGGTTTCTCGGACGCCTGGGAAGGTACGACACACATTTGGGCTGTCAGGCAAGGCTCGAATGTCCGAATGTCTCACTGCATGTACTGTTCTCCAGACAAAGCATTTCCAGACGCTCTTCTGGACCTCCGAGGTCCGGCTCGTAGACTGCCCTGGCCTGGTCATACCGAACTATGTCCCAATGGAAACCCAGGTGGGTTTGCTTCCTATGTCAAACCTAGCCGGAAGGAAGGAACGCTGACACAAGAACTTCCCCACCCCGCCTATCCAGGTCCTGAGCGGGATCCTCCCCATCTCACGCGTCTCGGCCATCCCCCTTTGCATATACCACGCCGCGCGCCTCATCCCGCTCGAAAAGGTCCTCGGACTCGCTCACCCGAGCCCTCCCTCGGCCGCCCCCGAGGACAAGCGCACTTGGCGCGAAGACATCTTTACCTGGAGAGATGGTGAACCACCGAAAGCACAGCCGAAGGAGGTCGTATGGACGGCGATGGACATCCTCACCGCGTACGCGAACAAGAAGGGCTGGATGACCGCGCAGGCGGGGCGGCCAGACGTGAACCGCGCCGGGAACGCCAGTACGTGAACCTTCCTTGCTCAGATCACCGCCGACAGCGATCCGCTCACGTCCGGCTCTTCCTCGCATGTCTTCGTGTGCATTCACGACACGGTGCGACTTGTCGTTTTGGCTGATCCATGGACCGCGTCGAACCTTGTGACCATCCCTCTCGCTATCTCCCCGGTCGCAACTGCGCACTGCCGTCAATTCTGTGTGTGGTTCCCCTTCCCTTCCGTTATAGTTCTCGCCGCCATCGCCGATGGGAGGATACGCTGGGCATTCTGGCCGCCCGGCACGGATCTCGAGACGATCACCAAGCATCAGGACAACGTCGGCGCGGGCATCTGGATCGCGCACGACCGCGGCATGGACGAAGAGAGTGATCGTGAGAGTGACGACGACGCGCAAGCGCGTCCGGCCGGGTCCGAGGACGAGGCCGGTTCATCTTTCGACGGCAGTGCAGAAGAGGTCTCGGAAGGTGAGGAGGACCCTGCGACGGGGGGAGGGATTCGGCACCAGATTGCCAGCGAGGGCGGCAGATTTCGGGCGCTGGTTCTGGACGATCAGGACGACGACGAAGGATCTTGAAGAGGATCCCCTTTGCAAGCAAATTTGATGGCGCATGCGGAGTGGCTAAACATATGTGCAAAGCAGGGAGCAGACCACTGTGTGTATCATAGAATCCTTATCTGTACTGTAGTGGCTCGGTTTGGGATTATCTGTATGAAGCAACGTCAACATCCGGTGTACCTGACTCTTCCCCGGAAGGACCAGGCCCTGCTAGCCCTCGCTGGCCCCAGCTCAACTATCATTATCATTATCGAGGCTCTAGTGCCGTACAGCTATACTGGGCTGGCGCTAGTGCAGTCCCACAATCATTGCCGTCTTCCCAGACACTAAATGTGAACGCGATACGGAGCCACATCACCCCAACGATCCCCTTCTGTTGAGAACGAGTGGGAACAGAAGTGAACTCGGCCAGTCAGACATAGCCATCACACCACGCGGGCCTGACGGTGGGTCGACGCACTGTCTTGCCAAGTCGTCACGATACGCACATAAACATAAATCATCGACGAGCAAGAAGGGGGGAGAGCAACGGACTACCGTTTCGTCGTACGAATTAAACGCGGACACGGTATCAAGGGGAAAGGGTTGAAGCGTCCAGCGGAAATGGGGCAGAAGGTACACGTCTCGATCGATCGCGCACTTCTCCGGCACGGGTGAAAGACCGGGTTAAACGAGACGGTAGTAAAGTATCGAGACAGACCGGGAAACGGGACTGAAGAATATCGACGGGGCGAGAGGGTAGCAGCAGGGGTAACGGGAGCAAGCGTCGGGGCCCGTGCGTGTGGAAGCTGTAGCTCAAGACAGGCCCCGCGTGCATTGATCATAAGGAACAGGTATCGTTGTGAGCGCAATCCACTGTTATCCATACAACGTCTAGGTTCGCGCTGCGACCAGCTACATCATATCACGACGCATGGACAGGATAACTACGCTGCAGGCCTCAGAGGCTTAGTACCGCACGCCATTGTTGTAGTCGTACGCCGAGTAGTCAGCACGCGTCGCGCTAGGGCCACGCTGGAGCTGAGCCATCGGCTGCGGGCTCGGGCCACGCTGGAGGTCAGCGTAGCCACCGACAGGCGCAAGGGCAGTAGGGCCAGCAGTGAAGTCGTGCTCGGGGAGCGGGTCGAGGCCGCCATGGCCGTGGCCCGAGGACTGGAACGAACCGTGGGAAGCGGTCGAGTTGACGCGGCGAACGGTGGGGAGGCCAGACTCTTCGGGACCAGTAGGCTGCCAGTCGATGGGCTGCATGCGGTCGTCAAAGTTGGAGGACGGCCTAAGCTTCCACTTGCGGAAGAGGGTCCACGCAAGGGCGATGAAACCGATCGACGCGGCGATGACGATGATCACGGTGAGCGTCGTGCGAGTGATGTGGCTTCCGTTATTCGAGTTGATGCCACTGGAGACAGAGGCACCGGCAGAGCCGGTGGGCTGGTCAGAAGTCGAAGCCGTGACGATTCTGGTAGCAGTACGGGTGGACGACGGCAGGGTATCGGTTGCAGCATCCGCAGTGGGAGTGCTGGTTGCGCTGGTACTAGTCTGCGAGTCGGTCGTGCTCGAGGAAGACGAGGACGTGCTCGAAGAGCTTGACGAGGACGAGCTTGAAGTAGCGGAGGACGAGGAAGAGCTCGACGTAGTGCTCGAGGACGACGCCGACGTCGAAGAGCCGGTGACCGAAGCCTTGTAAAAACATCCCGTAGATTGTCAGCCCCCAATCATCGCTTCCATTCTTGCTGTACTCACAGAATCGGTAGCACCGGTCGCCGAGGCAGTGCCCGAAGTGGACGAGCCAGTGGTGACAGATGCGGCGCCTGTGCTCGTCGTGGACGCAGAGGTGGCCGAGGTAGCGGAGGCCGTGTCGGTCGAAGCGGACGCGGTTGGGGTGCCCTCGGCACCAATGATGGGGCCGGTAGGGAAGATATCGATCTGAGGAGCCCGCTTCTTGATCATGCGGTTGAGGTCGGCATGGTCGCGAGGGGAGTGAACGAGTGAATTCGCCTCGGATGTGGTGGCCAAGCCCAGGGCGACGACGAGGCAAAAGAGTGTGAGAGCGACCTTGCTCTTGCGGGCAAACATGACTGCTATGTTCAAATCGGAAGGGAGAACGGGGGGGTACGGGACGCTGTGGACGAGAGGAACGTCGTCAGTCACCGCGCTGCTCTGTTTTTCAGGAGCTGTCCCAGAAGTGCGACAGGGGGTAGAGACGAACGAAGGTTCCGAGACCAGCCCGGGCGGTGGGACAGAGGAGGTGGGGTGGTAGAGAGCAGGAAGACGAACGCACTGGACGTGGGTGGGCGTCCCCGTGAAGACGATGGTTTTGTTTGCTGACGAAGGAGGGAAAACTGAAATGAGCGGAGGATGGCTGAGGCCAAGGGGCGTACTAGAGCGCGGCAGGAGACAAGCAGAATGCTCCCCCAGCACGGATGGCCCGGATGCCAAGGTAACCAGCGCCAATCCATCCCCCGCCAGCCAATCACCGCCCTCGGCCTTGTCTGTCTGCCACCGAGCCTCGCACAGCTTCTGTCGCAGCGTCTTCCATCTCACACGCACTCACACCTCGTATTCAATTATCACCTCCTTCCATTACCAGACTAGTAAACACCCCTACTCAACAGGGGTCCAAAGCAAAGAGCATTCAAATCGAGACAGAGATACAAGTAACGAGTACGGAACAGTCCATCACTGATGATAGCCCTCGCCGACAACACAACAATATAGCTGCACCCCATCGATCAGTTGTGGCTCGTCAGCGTCCACTGGTCAATGGGGACCGACGGCGGGGTCACAAAGTCGCTCGACGACATCCCATCCCACTGAGGGTTGAACAACACCTGCAAGCTGTACGTCCCGGCCGGGAGGTTGATCATGACCACAGTCACCGTCGGGTTGTCCTGGTCCGTCATGCCCGCCGGCAGCGGCGGGTCGTTGTCGAAGCGTTTCGCAGGCCCAGTGGTGATGGTGACACCGTCTGGGGGATTCAGGATCGACATGATGAGAGTCTTGTCGTCGATCTTCAGCGTCGCGCTCGTGCCGGAGACGGACACCGTCGCGTTCGTGTGCATGCGCCACATGATGGTGCCAGACGCGTTGATGTCGTCTTGGAGGAGCACCTGCTTGCGGCCGTTCAGGAGACGAACACCTCGCTTGAACGAGGTCCTGTGGTCGATGCTCAGCCCGAGGTACACGACGTACAAAGAAACGGGGAACTTACACACTGTCGTAGGCGGACGTAAGGTCGGCAGTGAAGAGCGCAGTGTCGTCCTTCTGGAGATTGAGTACGGTGCTCGAGCCCTGAACGGTGCCCGAGCTCGCGTTCTGCAGGATGACAGGCTGAGCCGTGACCAGCTGGTTCGCCTGGTTGACGAGGATCGTGTTCTGACCCTCGGTACGTTTGCGGTAGTACAACCAACGGTTGCTCTCCTGGGTGTCATTGCTGAAGTAGCCCGTCGAGCGGTAGTCACCGGAACCGAGCTCGCCCGCCCAGCGCGTGCCCATCGCGTCGAGGACAAAATCACCCGCGTCAAGGTCATTATGCGTCTGGTGGCCCTGGAGTGTGCCAGCCTTGATACCGACGTACAACGCGTTCTCGTCGGTCCACGACGAGCGCATCGATGCCCACTGGTCGGTGTTGTTGGTAAAGAAGTGGTCGAGGGCAAGACCATCCCAAAACGCGCCGGAGACAGTCGAATCGTACCAGAACATGCTCCAAGGCTCGGCAGCGTCGTGCTGATCTCGCTGGAACAGGACGTATTCGGGGTGATTGTAATGGTCACCGTAGAGGAACATGGCGTTCGCAGTGGTCGAGAACTTGTTCGGGCCGTGGTCACCCCAGGCGAACAGCGAACCAGGACCAGTGATGTACATGTGGAAGAGACCGGTGAGGGAGAAGCTGGGGTTGACGTCGAGAAGGCCGTAGTCAGAGCCGGTCGCGGTCTTAAGGCTAGCCGCCATCTCAGCGTGCCCAGTGGTACCGAAGTACCAGTAGTTCGCTGTCTCGGACCAGCTGCCATCGGGAGAAACGGCCAATGCACAGTTTTGATTCGCATTGTCGACAGTGAGAGCGAGGATCTGCTCGGCTGTACCAGTGTCATCGTCGCCGAGGATTGCTAGCGCACCGATGGTGAGACCACTGTTGCAAACGCAGTTCCAATTACCGTAGATGTTCTGCGACCACCAGCCCGTATAACGGAGGTCGGTGTTGTTGTACGCGACAAGTCCCCGACCGAGGCCGTAGTAGATAAGGGACGTCCGGATCTGGCTCTTCTGCTCGTCGGTGAGAATGTCGTAGAGCCAGTCGTACGCGTAACCGAATGCAGCGCTGAACTCAGCGGTATCGAGGAAGTGGGTGGGGTTCCACTTGTCTGTCCCGTCGGGGCCAAAAGGCGTGGTGCCGTTTCCGGCAGCATTCTGGGAGACATGTCCAGATAAGGGATGAGACTCCGGCACTGTGAGAAGCCGACATACCTGGAGCTCCTTGAATGCACGGTCAACCCACTTGGTGTCATTCGTCAGGCGGTAGACGTAGGAGAAGGCCTTGACCCTCATCTTCACCTCACGCGCGTTGTCGAGGATACCACTGTCGCCATCCATGAAGTACTGGACGACAGGAAGGTCATAGTACGTGGACGCATTGCTGAAGATGGTATCGTTCCAAGATTTGAGGTAAGGGTCGTTGGCAATCATGTTTGGGAGTGCCGCCCACTTGTACGCGGGGGCGATGAGGCGAGGGCGATCGGTCCGGACCTGAGTAGCAGACGGGCTCGCTGGCTGGAAGGGATCGGAGGGCCATGTAGCTTTTGCTTTGCTGGCGGCATTAAACGTCGGGGTAGTGTAGAGCGCCGTGTTCGTCTGACAACACATAGCCAAGTGTAAATGAATGCCCCAGCGCGATAGTGGATGGCGGAGTCAACATACCGTGGAGGGGTATAGCGGAAGCATGTACAGGCTATCCGTCCCAGTGGCGAAGATGCCAATATCATTCTGCGCCCCGGATGCAGAGTTGGAGCCGGAGCTTCCTGACTTGCTCGACGCCGAGGATGACTTGTTGTGGGCACGAATGCCGAGGACGACACCAACAACGGCGGCGGCAATGACAAGGATGGCAACGGGGATACCTATCTTCACCCACTTGCTGGTGCCCTTCTTGGGCTTGGCAGGGGTGATGAAGCCGGTAGACTCATTGTAGTATGGGTCACCCGAGCCGTAGGGGGAGGCCTGGTGGATGTTGGAGGCGTTGCTGTGATTGTATGTAGGGTTGTAGGAGTAATTGGAAGCCATGGCGCCGCAGGCCCAGTGGGCTCGAGAGAACGTAAAGAAGACAAGAATAGCTGAAGGACATATAATGTGCCGGCGCCTGCCGAGGACGGGCAGGACAAGCGGCGTGAGACACAAGCCGATCAGCACGTCTCCCGTTCGTCCCTCACTCCCAGTGAGAACCTTCCCTGTTGCTCACGATTCTCATCTTTTTCGGCCCGTTTCAGTCCGCCCAAAAGGCAGAAGTAGTCAGATATCCACATGTATGTAGGTGAATGCATATATATCTGTCCATATGCACACAAAAAGCTATTTGCCGTTCGTCGTCTTTTCCCGTCTGTCTCCGTCTATTTGCATATTTTTCGCCCGATATCTGTATGTTCCACTCTATTGAACACCTGGCAAAAATATAGGAACAGAGTGCAACAGTCCTATACAGTTGGGGCTCGTTGCGCTAGGGCACCAGATCGAGCATGAACGGATATATATATTTATGGGTGGTTACTCTACGATACAAATTTCGCATTACATAATAATACGCTACTCCCCGCGCCCGCGCATTGTGCCAAGCCCGCGTACAGTGACCTACCACGACGTGCTCTAACCTACTGCGTTGCTGCACCCGCACGACTTACCTGTATGCTGTGTGACAGCGAGTAACCCACTCACCTGTGTTGACGTGTACAGACAGCGATACCCTACCTGTTAGCGAGGCTCACGGTGAATGAGAGTACCGAGGACAGAAAGGGATGGTGAAAGGAGGGAAGAAAGGGCGCAGAGATGGGAGGACGGCTTTCGCCCACTATATATAGAGCATTGCGAACACCGATGGCGTCATGGACGAAGGAGCTGGGGACGAGATCGTAAGAATGGATATGGTAGGATAACCGTCGGTCGGCACACAGGGAGGCATATATGTAATAGATGTGGATGGAACAGTATATATACATCGGACACCGGTTTAATACTATCGATCGACGTCAAACGGCCCATTGTACATATAGAACGGCCCATTGTATATATAAAACGAGCCAATCGATGTATGAAACGAGCCATTTTAGACGCCGAGCTGTCATCCAAATCGCTCCGAAAAGACGGCATCAGACGGCAATAGCCAGCAATCTTTGGCAATAGGCGGGGTTTTCACTGGGCCTCACTCCCTCCCTCCGTAACGACAACGACTCGCGCAGGCCCACGCCTGTTCTCTGGCCTGACCGTCTTTGATACCACCTAGCTGAGCAGTTTGCTGCTGTCCTTCCTCTATATTTAGGGTGGTGTCAAACTCCCTGCCAGCAGTCCAACAACGCCTCTGTAGCATATATCGTGGAAAGTCTTAATGTAAGTCTTGGATAGGTACACTTTCTGACGTTCTCAAGCCAATAGCAACAAGCAGTCGTGATACACCAGTGCGCGACTAAACTTTCGACAACACTGCGTCCCAGACGGTCAGAGTGACACTACAGAAGGCGGCCGCGCCATATATATCACTCGGCGACAAATACCGCGGCGGCACCCATGCCGGTGCCGATACACATGGAAGTCACCAAAATCTTTGAGGGGAACATCAGCGCACGGAACAAAGCAGTCATATCAAGATGCGCTCACTTTGCCGTTCCGCCGCGAAAGCGCGTTAAGACCTGTAGCGATCTGGCGGGCACCCGTACAGCGTAGAGGAACCCCATCTATTGTCAGCATGACGGTGGCAAGCGTAGAAGAGCAGCAACTTATCTAAGGGATGTCCCAGGGCAATCGCACCGCCGTGGACGTTTACTTTGTTGATGTCCAGACCGAGTTTCCGTACGCAATAGACATACATCGACGCGAAGGCCTCATTGATCTGTCGCATAGTTCCAGTCAAACGTGTTTCCGATGACAATGCTCGGGAAAATATACCTCAAACAAATCCACGTCGTCCTTTGTCAGGCCGGTTGCCTCCAGGACCATAGGGATAGCGATTGACGGGCCAATACCCATGATGCGAGGCGCCAGACCTGTGACGGATGTGGTGACATGCTTAGCAAGGATCTTCAAACCAAGCTCTTCTGCCTTCCTCCTTGTCATGAGCAGGACCGCAGCGGCGCCATCGGTGATCTGACTCGCATTTCCGCCAGTCGTGTGCCCCTTTCCCCATTGAGGGAAAGCCGGTTTCACCTTCAGCAGGCCTTCCTTTGTCGTCCCATAGCGGATGCCGTCGTCCTTCGTGATGATCCTGGTCGTGCGCTCGCCAGTCGCAGGATCTTTGACGTACGCCGTGAAGGGCACAATCTCTGCTGCGAAGATGCCCTCCTTCTCTGCCCTCTCGGCGCGTTGGAAGGAAAGCGCGGCGAATTCGTCCATGTCCTCCCGAGAGATGTTGAAGTCTTCAGCGACGTTCTCGGACGTCCAGCCCATAGGCATGGCAGCGTCGCGAGCAAGCTGGCTTGCTTTCACGACATCGCTCATAGGAGGCCCTCCTCGGTCGGGACTGCCATGCAGACGTTGAGCGCTGAGATAGACTTCGACATCGCAGGCGGACGTACTTGTCTGTCATGCTCTCCATGCCAACTGCAAGCCCAATTTCGATCTGTCCGGTCTTTATCTTGTTGGAGATGTCGGTGACGGCCATCAATCCAGAAGAGCACCAGCGGTTGACGGTCTGTAGCGGGGTGGTGTCCGGGATGCCCGCAGCCAATGCAGCATTACGAGCCTGGTAGGGTGCGCCCGCTGTGAGAACGGTACCGACGGTTACATCTTGGATCAGCTTGGGGTCGATGGAAGACCGGGCAATGGTTTGCTATGGGTAAAGCTGAAGATGAGCTTGCGAAGTCAAACGTGCCGCCCCGTCGGTTCTGACCTTAAAGATCTCGTAGAGGATCTCGTCGCTCCTGCATAGTAGCATTTAGGCCTGTCCTGAACGAGTTGCCAATATGCGCGCACTCACTTCGTGTCCTTGAATCCACCCTTCTTCGCCTTGCACAGTGGGGACCGAATGGCCAGCGTGATGACCACGTCGTCCGGTGACTTACGCAACAGCGCGTCGCGACCCTTCGCGGACCCAAAGCCCAGGTGAGAGGCGACCTGTTTGACGCGTTCTACGGCCATGTCGTTCGTCTGAGCGTAAGGAGGGGTTTAGGAGGAACCTGGGGGGCAGCAGCTCGAGCGCGGGGTAATTATCGAGAATCGTCCGAGCGCACCCTCGGAGACGCTATAAGCAGTATGACCGGCAGCGATCGCCCCAACGGTCAGCAGACGTGCATTGTGCGGCCCTAGCCTGAGCGTAAAAAGCTTGTTCCGGATCTTGAACGTCACGACGAGCGGTGGGGGCGGACGCGAGAGAGACCGGCCGTGCCGCACTCATGTGATATTCCGACTTTTTCGGGAAGGTGTTCACATCGTTCATTCGACACCAGTGCTACGCTGAGGATCACCGTTTGCTCTGGTATATGCGCTCACAATGCATGAACGCTGAGGTTACTCCGTGGTCGAATGGCTGGTAAGGCGTCCTACCTATGAAAGTAATGCCCAGTGCGCCAACTCCCGGTTGAGCGCTGTCCTAACGTGGCCGAGTGGATGTCGACGTCTTACTTATCCCCGAGGCTCCTCGTGCGTCCTTTCTGCTGTCCTCAAGTGCGAAGACACATCTTCGACTCTCTACCAGTGCCACAATCTATCACACCACGACCAAGGAGCCTAATAAGAAGCGCCTCTGAGATCATGCCAGTGACAGTCATCGCCGCGAGACCACCCGAACAAACGAGTGCCCCAAGCAATCACCGATACATCGGTACGCCCTGTGGCGGAGATACTGCATGCCGTTCGTGTACCAGTGTCTGATTATTCGCCTATCGGCGTTGCAGATATCGCAGGTGAGCAGTCGTCTGTGTATAAAGTACGATCAGCACCGCCGAGACATTTCGATTGATTCTGCGTGCAGTAAACTTGACCGATCCTGTTTTCCGGGGGTACCACCATGGCAAACGCAAACACGAAGGTGAGTCGATAGAATACGGGGGCCGTGGCGTCTTCAATCTTGGGTGCGGCGCATAACTAATAGCCCGTGTAATGCAGACGACCTGGACGCCATGATTGAACGCTCGCGAGCGGCGGGTGTTAAGAGCATGATCATCACCGGTGGCAGCCTACATGAATCCAAGGAGGCATTGGAGCTAGCTAGCCAGTTAGGATTCTATGCCACTGTTGGCTGTCATCCAACCCGATCGAAGCAGTTCGATGATTTCCGTGGAGGCCCTGCAGCATACTTGGAAGAACTTGACAAGCTAATCGCCGCGAACCTGACTGGGAAGGGCAGGGTCGTCGCAGTAGGCGAGTGCGGCCTAGGTACATCATGACCACTAAGTGCGCCTTCGTCGATAGCACGGAGTTGACGGCCTCTACTGCAGACTACGATCGTACACACTTCGCATCACGGGAGGTCCAACGTCGTCATTTTCGTAGGGCTAGTTCTCTGCTCCTCGATGCCCGAGGCTCACATCCAAACTTGCTTGCTCTCGTCGCTTCCACTAGGTTCGCAACTATCACTAGCGAAAGAGTACCACCTTCCACTGTTCTTGCACTCTCGTGCCGCACACCAAGACTTTGTCCAAATCCTCCGCGAAGAAGGATATGACAAGGACGGCGGCAAAGAAGTTGGTGGCAAAGGAGGAGTTGTGCACAGCTTCACCGGAACCCCCGAGGAAGCCAAGGAACTCGTATGTTCCTGCGATCATATCTTCGCCAGCCGCTGACGGTAGTTCGACAGATGGACATGGGATTCCACATAGGGTAGGTGGCCTTCTGCGAACTACCAGAGGCTCCTGCACTCACAAACAATTACAGCGTCAACGGGTGTAGCATGAAGACCGAGGAGAATCTTGCTACCGCCAAGAGCATCCGCCCCCAGTGGATCATGTTCGAGACAGGCAAGTCCGTCGCCTCCTCGGCGTCTGTGTCCTTCAACATACGATCTGCGCAGATGCACCGTGGTGCTCTTTGACATCTACCCACGCGTCCAAGCCCCACCTCGCGAGTCTCCCACCTTCTCTGGGCTCGCTGTATTTTCCGCAGGCCACGAAGCCCGAGTCCTTTGTGTACGGCAGACCCGTGAAGGGCCGAAACGAACCGACCGCGATCGGCGGCGTGGCATGGGTAATCCATCGGCTTACCGAAGGCGTCCCGTTCGAGAAGGTCACAGAGAAGGCATGGAAGAACACAGTAGAGCTCTTCGGGCTCACAGAGCTGCAATAGACCACGCCGGGGTCTCAGGAGCCTCGTCGCTAGCGAATACAATACATTTCACTTTGACTCGTCAGCACAGTCGTACGTTCAGCGACCGGCAATATGTCGTACCAGCGCCACCGTTCCCATCCGCGAGAAACCGTCTTACCGCTTCCACGCAGCGGCCTTCTTTGTCATATAGACGCAACTGACCGAGGGGACCTTCTCCCGTAGCCACGGCAGCACGTCTGAGTCCAGGTTTGGACAGCCGTCGGCGATCAGGGTTTGGAGGGGCTGCACGCGCGTGACGCCAGACTGCCCAGGATCATCTCTCTCGCGCGCAGCGCACTTCTCAGCCTCCGCGATGCGCATCTTGACTAGACGGACGAGCTCCCCGCCGCTGACAGCGTCATTACGGGAGCAGTCGAGATGGCGAAGGACGGGACATAAAACGCCCGTGGAAACCTCGTGCGGTGCTCCCGTGTCGACAGGCTGGGGATCTGGTACGCGCGTGAGGGCTTCGAGAACGGCCTTCACGGTGCTGATATAGCAGAGCTCGAGGGTTTCCAGCAACGGCGTCGCGGCCAGGACGCGGATCATGAGTTGCGGGTCGCAGGTCGAATTCCGTATCGCGAGTGACGTGAGCTTCGGGGCATTGCCGTCCGCGAGATGTCGCAGAGCGTGGTCGACACTAGGAGGGGGACAACCAGAGATCTCCAGAGTCGTGAGAGACGGAAACGCAAGGCGTGCCAGTAGGGCGCCCGGAAGAGACAATGAGATTTTCAGGGAGGTGAGTTTGGGGAAAAGGATCGTAGGGGGTAGTTCTCTCTCGGTGGGAGGAGGAAGTGTCGTGACGGGGTACCATGAACGGATTTCAAGATGAGCCAAGTTGACGTTACGATGAAAGAGCCACAGTGCATTATGCCAGTCGCGCTGACTGAACGCGCCGTAGAAGTAGCCCTCCTCAAGATCCGTGAGACTGTTCGAGAGCTCAGTCCAATCAGCTTTCTGATCAGTGCGAGAATTAAGGTTGAGCACAGAGGGAGAGAAGACAGGCGTCTTGCCATGCCACTGCAGCCTCCCCTTCAGCAATGTGACGTCTGCCCGGCGCAATCCACGAAGAGCTTGCAGGCATGCGCCGCCAATGGATGGTAGATTAGCAGGAAGATGGGTGATTGGGAAGTTGTCTAGTCTGAGCGTGACTAAGGAATTGAGAGACAACTTGTGGAGTTCCTCGAGGACAGATGGCGTCAAGCTAAAGTCCTCGGTCAACGCTAGCTCTCGTATCCGGTTCTTGGAACGCTCCTTCCACACTCTGATTTTACGCGCCGGGTGTCTTTCCGTAAGGACAAGGATGCTCCAGAAAGCAGGGGTGCCGAGGATTGTGAAGCGCCAATTTTGGCACACCTGAGCAAGGACAACGACATAGGCATGATCGTCGGCGAGGAGGAAGGAGAATATAGTGTTCGCGATTTCCACAGGAAGCTTGCCAAAATGGCAGGCTCGTTGAGACACGAGCTTCGCAGCTTCCTTGGTGGCCTCTTCACGCGCGGAGTCCACTGCGCCCCGAAGCGCGAGCATTTCGTCGCGTCGTGCGGACTGATGGGAGGGGATGCGTTCGAGAGCGAGGTCGATCATACGCGATGCAGCATCGAACTTGCGGATGTGGTGAAAGAGACGAGCGGAGCGTGCATATCCCTGCGACATGGTGTTACTGGATATCTCATGTAGCCCGGGGATCGACTCACCTGCCAACGGCTAGGCTGGGAATCTATCACCGTCTTCGAGTCTCGTAACGCCTCCTTCAGTTTGCCCATTTTCTGATAAACGGCTGCCCGAGAGTCACATATCGTCCCAGGGTCTCCCCCGTGTTTCAAGGACTAGAAACTTACATGTTGAAGGCGCAAAAGATTGGAATTGTGGACAAGCTCACCTCGGAGAATGAAGCAATGGCCAGGTCGTACTTTCCTGCCTGGAAGCTTTCTATTCCCCTTCTGAACGGAGTTTTCCAGTAGTCCATGTCTCGCAGAGTAGCGGTCTTAGATGGGTCTGCAGCAGGGTTTGTGGAACCATGGAGGGGAGTCCGGGGCAGCCTGGCGGGAGGATGACGGAAGTTGAACGCGTCGCGTGGGCAGGCGCTAATGTGAACGCGTGTGGTCACCGCGTGACGGCGGATCAGTTGGCCGGACGACGCTGGGGTGGCGGCCGACGGGCCGCCCGTCGCCCGAAACGCGTGCACTGCGGTCGCTTCGACTCCGACATCGTCCAGCACCAGCCTCAGCCTAGTCTCCCCGGCCTTCGCAGCCAAGGGCAGCCTCCTCCGAGGCATCAGGCCTTCAACTTGGATCCATGTCCGCCGACCCCCAATCCCGGGATATCCTCAGGCTCTCTCTAGCTTCGGTCAGCGTTGCGTGGTATGTCATCCTCTTCACTTTTGGTTTAATCGGTTGCATAGCCGCGTGAGTGTCTCCCGTCCTTCTCGAGTCCAACATTGCTCATTCTCCTAGTCGGAAGCGGTTTCGACTTCGTCCGCGTTCTCCCTTGTCATCCGCACCCGCGTCCTCTGTGCCCGGAGTGTCCATTCTACGACCCCTTAGAGGCTTGGATACCAACCTGTACGAGAACCTAGAGTCCACGTTCATTCAGGAGTACCCAAATTATGAAATCTTTTTCTGCGTCGACGACGAGGATGACCAGGCTCTCTCAGTCGTCCGAGACCTCATGGCCAAATACCCTCATGTCGACGCCCGCATCGCAATAGGTACGTCGTCATGCGACATTGGTCGAGTACTACCTCCTGACGTCCTTGTCAAGGGAGCGGGTTGACAGTGGGCGTGAACCCCAAGGTCAATAACCTCATGACCGGCTATCGCGAGGCCGCCCACGACATCCTCTGGGTGCTGGACTCGAACGTCATGGTCGACCGCGGCACGCTCGCCCGCGCAGTCGACATCCTCAGCCCCCCGCCGTCCGCCCCCGCCCGCCCGCGCCGCATCGGCGTCGTGCACCACGTCCCCCTCGCCTGGGTCACCAACTACGCGCTCGGCTCGTACGTCGAGGAGGCCTTCCTCAACACCAACCACGCCAAGATGTACATCGCCATCAACACCGTCGCCGTCGACTCGTGCGTCGTCGGCAAGTCCTGCCTCTACCGCAAGTCCGACCTCGAGCGCGTCGACGGCTCCCTCCGGCGCATACCGGACGCGGCGAGCGGGGGGTGCCAGCCGGGCGAGCGCGGGCTCGCCGCGTTCGGCCGCTTCCTGGCGGAGGACAACATGATAGCGAGCGCGCTGTGGCACGAGCTCGGCCTCGGGCACGACATGTCCTGCGACGTCGCGAGGAACGCGGTCGGGGACATGTCCGTCCTGGACTACGTCGCGCGCCGCATCCGCTGGGTGCGCGTGCGCAAGCACATGGTCCTCGCTGCGACGCTCGTTGAGCCGCTCACGGAGTCGGTCCTCGTCGGGTTCCTCGCCGCTGCCGGGCTGAAGTACCTCACCGGCCTCCCCGTCTTCCTCTTCCTCCCCGTGCACTTCCTCGTTTGGCTGCTTGTCGACTTGGACGTCTGCGCCTCGCTGGCGGGACACCCCGTGCCCGCGGACAAGCGGTGGCAGTTTATTGGCGCATGGGCGTTGCGCGAACTGCTTGCACTCCCCATCTGGACTGCTGCCATACTCGGGAACGAGGTGGAGTGGAGGGGGAAGCGGTACCAGGTGATGCAGAACGGCGAGGTCCAAAAGGCGGGTAATGAGCGCCGTGGGGTCCTGGGACGGCTGTGGGGTTTTGGCAGGAAGAGCACAGACTATTACGAACCGTTAGAAATGAGAGACTAGATTGCCATAGTTCGCATGAGCGACCAGGGAACGGGTCGAGCCCCGGCTCAAGGCCTCTGACTCTGGGACCAAGAGATGCGAGATGCAGGAATGACAAGCCCACGCGGTACGCTGTTGGCTCGATGGTCACCACGCACTGCGATCCGACCACAATCGGAGGACTTCGCGGATGTCGACCGGAGGCTCACACTGCTGCCCTCAGCATCAAGGGGCATTGTATGCGCCCCTGGCATGCGATCGACTCTTGTCACTCGATAGACGCGAAAGGGCTACTGATCATTAGAGACGTCGTATAGCCAGTATAACACCAAGGTCTCCCAAATGTAGGTGGTCGCCAATGAAAGTCGCCTGGGATCTACCACGGACACATGTACAGGTCCCTCGCTAAAACCGCAGAATATGACCGAGATCCCCCGCGGCCACAGGTCGCCTCCATAGACCTATTGGTCAAGCGATACGCTAGGCCTCGCTCCGTGTACAGTGGTTGAACTCCCCCTGTGTTGAGCCCGTCGGAATGTGACGCTGCTCGAGGCCTCGTAAAGTCAAGGAGTCGCGAGATGTCACGAAGAAAACGCTATCACCCTGCATAGTCTGCAGTTTCCCGGGTTGGTCTGGTCCGGAGATAGCCCAGCTGGATGTGCTGCGAGGCGATCGTTGCATCTATCCCCGACGTCGACGAAGCTCGCATTTGATCACCTAGATGTGCGTTGGCGTGCAGATTTGGGTCTCGTATGTTGAGGCAGATGCGCGAAATGAGGGTGGTGGAGAGGCTGCGCGAGCGCATGTGCATGTCAATGGCTAAGGCGGCCAGCCTTCTACGACAAGAGTTGGAGCGGCTTACGCATTCGTCAAGGTGGTCGCGAGTCCCCTGTTCGCGTCCGTGATCTGCTCGGCTTAGGATTAAATGTCCAGGTGCGGTGGCTAAAGACTTACGTGGGGTGCCTGCGATGGGGACGAATTAGTGGAGAAATCTAGCGACCCAAGACCATTGTATATCTCACCAAGAACGTGAGTAAATTCGCAACTCCCGCAACCACCAACACCCTGGCGTAGAGGTCAATCCATCGGATCCTGGCTGGCGTCCATGTGTACGCACCCGTAATAGACGGCACCTTAGCTTGGATGAGTTTCCGCGTCTCTGGCAACTCAATGTTCATTCCTGAATCCAACAACTCACCGTCGCGGAATAGAACCGAAAACAACCCGTGATGCATGTATTCGCGCATTTGGGCAGTCTTGGCAAGTGTGAGATTGAATACGGTTGTATCCAGACAGAGCATAGCTATCCAGCCTACAGCACTGCCTGTCATGGCCTGTCAAATCTGCGACGGTACCTGAGGTAGGGACGCAAACTTACGGAGGCCTCTGCGAGTTGAATCAGGAATAGGGCCGCATCATCAGAAGGGGTCGCACTTACTGAGCAAACGTTAGAGAGAGATCGCATCCCATGGATGTCTCAGGTTGCGGTGCGCTTGAGGTGACGACGGTCGTCTTCGCAGTAACTGCAGCAATCGTGGCCTGATGGCTCCTCAGGTGATGGCAGGAAGCAAAACTCGGATTCGACTCACTGCTAGTAGGAGTATTGCGAATGTCAACAGCCCTATCAAGACTCGCCTACTTCGGCTGTATAGGGCATAAGTACGAGCAATGAGAATCACTGAGCGGTCCTCAGTGGATATGAAAGTCGAGCAACGCGATGTATAACGTACTGCCTACGGTCAGCTGGCAGATAATCGCGTAATACTGGTGGTACATCTGCAATTGTCGGCAGCTGTGCACGTTACGTCGATATTAGTTCATGAGAAATTGGGCGACAGCAAGATCAACGGACCGCTATACGTGATAATTTCGGTATATCATCCTTGTTTGAGCATTGAGATGCCACTCACTAATGGCGGCAAGTCCATGAAGAATTCGGCAATGACGGGAATAGGTCCCAAGAGACCGAGATATCGGTTGAACACAAATAGCACCGAGACTAAAGACAGTTTGGCCTTTCCCCAAAAATGCCCAACCTCGTCGCCAAAGGTCAATAGATAGTCGTAGTATAGTATCGCTGCTCTGGAGTCAGTGAAGAACTCCTGTTCACAATGCACATATCAGACCGACACAGTGCTAAGATAGTCAGATATCTGTTCAACCATATTGAAGCCGCTCTGTAAGAATGCATTTGGTCAATGGCCACGGTAAAATTGTCGAGCAATCAAAACGTACTGTATTGCAACTGGAGCTTGCGTCTCGGAGTCCATGGTAGCTGTGCGCAGCAGTGAGTTCTGTAGAAGGAGAGTTAGGTGTGGCAGGACATGTTGCTATCTTTCCAGAAAAGAGGTCTGAGTACATATATATATGCCGTCCCTCGTAACTTGATTCGCACCAGATGCCAGTGTCGAACCGCAGTGTCATCACAGCTGGAGTTACATCTGTGGGAGATCGTCGCTCCGTAGTTCACGGTCTATCCCTCAGCGGGTTCACGCGGGACACCAGCGGCATTCCCAGGACAGCAGTACCAGTGATATTTCTGACGCAGGCAAATGGAAGCGGCGGGTCAAACCTCCCGAGATGTCGTTCCCGTCCGACTTCTTTGTCCAGTCCGATATTGACGACAGGTTAGGCGGACACAGCGAGGTGAAGATCAACGTTTCGAAGAAATAAGAGGATGATCTCGGTATAGCAGGGTCGAAACCTCCGAGGTGCTGAGTAGCTGCCTCATAATCCTCCTGGGATCATGGCATGAGTGCAACAGGACAGCCCAGGGATCGTCGTTTCCGCGTTGCCGGCTGGATCCAACTCTGATCAGCTAGTGGTGACGCTGGGAGGCTGCGATCTGATTATGTAACACAGCTATTGAGCATTAGGGGTGGTCAGAGTTCGCGATTATGGGGCGATTCTGAGAGGGATTATGGAGTGATTATGAGATCCTTAATCATAACATAATCGACCTGTACTCTGACCACCCCATGTCGCAAAGCGATTATGAAAACGATTTCTGGTACTGCGATTATGCTTTTCTCAGCTATCTGCTCAACGTCTGCCTTTGGTTTCGAGCTCTGACGCGCCCCTGAACACCCTACATATTCAAAAAGGTCATTATAAATTGACTCGGCATTTTTTCCCACCGAAATCGAGCGATTTTGAGGCGAAATTGCCAATATGGGTATAAATCTTCTGTAGAAAGTCGTTGTTTCGTCGCAGTTACCTCATGGGGTACTTATGCAACTATTTTGTCACTCAAATCCGCACGAAATATGTCTTGTATGGGCTATAGACGGGGAGACAAGTGAGACGAAGGGGGTTGACACAGAATCGCAAGAAGCAGAATCGCGATTATGGAGGGCATAAGCTCCTCCGGAGGAGCTTACGCGATTACACGCGATTATGCCAAAATCGCGATTACGGCGTCGGAATCGTCCTCAAAATCGCATCTCATAATAGGGGTGGTCAGAGTTCGCGATTACGGGGCGATTCTGAGAGCGATTATGGAGTGATTATGAGAGCCTTAATCACCTCATAATCGACCTGTACTCTGACCACCCCATGTCGCAAAGCGATTATGAACACGATTTCTGGTACTGCGATTCTGCTTTTCTCAGCTATTTGCTCAACGTCTGCCTTTGGTTTCGAGCTCTGACGCGCCTTTGAACACGCTACATATTCAAAAAGGTCATTATCAATTGACTCCGCATTTTTTCCCACCGAAATCGAGCGATTTTGAGGCGAAATCGCCAATATGGGTATAAATCTTCTGTAGAAAGTCGTTGTTTCGTCACAGTTACCTCATGGGGTACCTATGCAACTATTTTGTCACTCAAATCCGCACGAAATATGTCTTGTATGGGCTATAGACGGGGAGACAAGTGAGACGAAGGGGGTTGACACAGAATCGCAAGAAGCAGAATCGCGATTATGGAGGGCATAAGCTCCTCCGGAGGAGCTTACGCGATTACACGCGATTATGCCAAAATCGCGATTACGGTGTCGGAATCGTCCTCAAAATCGCATCTCATAATCGTCATATAATCGCTCCGTAATCG